GTCAGCACACCCTGCCCCGTCTGTGAACGAGCGATACACGCGGCGGAAAGGAGAACCTGAGCGCCGGGTTACCGCTCACTCCTCACAGACCGTGATTACATCGCCCCCGGTGACAGACTACAAACGAAACCGGGGTGGCGTCGCGCCGTAGCGGTTCGAGCCCGGTTCAGAGCGTGTTCAGATGTTACGGTATACATGACGCCAGGCCCAGGCCGTGACGCTTTCGTTCATGCAACTGGGAGTGCAAACCGGTTGTGAGATTTGTATGACATTGACCTATAACAAGCCCGGTGTGAGACCCAGTCGCATACGATTGCAGGATGCCTGATTTGGTAAACGAACATTTGGTCAGGTGGGTAGTTCCGTTTACCGTTTGAAAGCTTACGATTGAAACAGCCACATGACAACACAGCTGCGGTCTGCAGAAGATCCTAACCTCGCTATGATCCCATCCATCACGATAGGTCTTCTTGGTATGGAACGCCGGAAGCGTTTATATGCCAATGCTCTGTCATAAGTTGATTGATGCATGATGTCAAGGAGAAACAAAGCCTTACTACACCGGTATCTACGACGCTAATAGCTTTACATCCGGCGCATCTTATTCTTACCTGATCGGATAGCTTACCTGTCTGTCACCGATGAAAGGACTTACATTGACACTGTTACGTTGCCCGTGGGCTTGACTTGTTCTTTGCACATTCAACACAGTGCACAGTGCATACGCTCGTTCGATGCCGCGTTTCCTTATCACGCAGGACCACGTCTCCGCTGGAAGGGGCCCGCGTCGTCACGGGAGGTCACGACACGGTGGCACCGTGCCAGCCGAAGGTGGCGTGACTCGGGGGTCCTCCTCTTAGCTGCAGGGTCATGAGGGCCGCGGGCTCTGGGATCAGGCATGGCTGCCCCAGCGTATGGGTCCGTCAACTTTCCGTGTAAAAAGAAAGAGGTTATGGAGCTAAACTGATTGCTTGATGAAACGTAATTGAAGTTGCTTTTGTTGTATTTACATTTACTTGTCACTGCTAGTGGTCATTATTGTGCACAAAACGAACGAAACCTTTGCGGAGTCAACCACGGTTCCTGTTCCCAAAGGTTATTATCAGTTTGCCTGTTATGCATTGCCTCATTAATATCTGCTGACATCTGCAGTTGATTACGCCTACACCAATAGTGATCGCATTCATTACATTTAATTACCATATATCCAGCAGTCATGCCACACGCCATGCCACGATATACCTACCCACATCAACGCACTACCGTACCGAGCACCGACCACCTGCGCAACAGCAAGATGAATCTCTTAACTGCAAAAAAAAAAAACACGCACATATGGGAGCAGCACCCATTGAGAAAAGGCTCCGTACGGCGCCAGAACTCCGATACCATCAGACAGACTCACACCCTGTAGACGACTCAGTCGTGGTTCAGAGATCAGATCTGAGTAGTGATATCAGTGTCAGATAGGAGCACCTCTGCTGTCGGTAGGTCTGGGAGACAGCGGCTCTTCACAGGGAGAGACAGCGGGTCACGAAAGCCACCTGGGCTGGTGGAGAGTGAGCGAGGGGAGGGGAGAGAGAGAGAGAGAGAGAGAGAGAGAGAGAGAGAGAGAGAGAGAGAGAGAGAGAGAGAGAGAGAGAGAGAGATAGAGAGAGAGAGAGCGAAGAGACAGAGATAGACAGACAGAGACAGAGACAGAGAGAGAGAGAGAGAGAGAGAGAGAGAGAGAGAGAGAGAGAGAGAGAGAGAGAGAGAGAGAGAGAGAAAATAGAGATAGATATAGAGACAAACAGACAAACCGACAGACCGACAGACCGACAGACCGACCGACAGACAGACAGACAAACAGACAGACAGACGGTTCATTAAATGTCGGTCAACATGCTGATATTTTACTCGTAGAACTAGGTAGTTTACTGCAATTGAATTGCGTTTAGAGATGCAGGTGAATATAAATATATCAAAACAAACGATTAGGGCATTGCTGAAAGAAACCGCTTTTAATCAATCCTTCTAACCGTTGTGAAATGGCATAATGCTTAGAAACCCCGCACATGATGAGCATCAATTTACTGATGACCAGCACATCGACAAAACCGCACCATCTGACAGATGACATAACATTTCCGCTGCAGCCTGCAGCACTCGGCCAGTTCTCTATCTCACTTACATCACTGATCACACCTCCAGATCACTACCCCACCACTTCCAGGATATCAGCTAAGTCGATCCTAAATCTCTCGATTAGCCGCAGTAAGCGGATTAGGACTCCAGTCAGTAGTTGAAGGCAGGCAAAGGGCAGCTGGTCACTGGTTAGTCCTGTGGCCTGTGAAGTGAAGGGTGCATCTTCCTCTGCTCACGCATTGTTGACACCCGCCCGCAGTACCGGTGACCTGTCACCCCTGAGGATGGGTGTAGGTCACTTCCGGCGGCTGTACCGCTCCGTTACTTCAATGGTCTGACCTGCACCTGAACAGGCCGCAACACTCGCCGCTCCGGTGGGAGCGCGGGCGTGTCAGTAACCGTGAAAACGACCACGACTCTTCCTCACTTCCCGCGCGCGGACAGGTGCCGGGTCAGCGCGGCGTTCAGAGGGTCCCACAGAGGGTCCCACAGACCCGTCCGGCGGTCCCACAGACCAGCGCAGAGTCCCACAGACATCACACCGAGTCTCGCAGTCGGTGACCCCTCTGGCACCGCGGGAGCCTCCCGCCGACCTCCGGAAAAAGGCGGGAAAACTCACTGACCCGGTGAGAACCCGTCTGGCCGAGGTGGTGGGGCGCATGGTCACACCTGTGCTCCATGACGCAATGGGGCTGAAACGGTCCCATGGCTTATCCAACATACGTGTCCAAAATCTCACATACCACTTCAGACGGTTTCAGTAATTATATGCACTACAATATATTTCGGTCCTTCTATTGTATACTGATGTGGTCGCTTCAGCTCACAAGTCACGTTTATACATTTTGTTTTGTAATTGGTTTCCTCTCGTTTGTAAGGGCATAACAGGACATGATCCCGCATGTTCCATCTTGTCGAGTGTCGACGCTTGGGTTTGGTTGTAAAAAGACGAAGTATATGAAAGAAACCAAGCTAAAGTAATCAAAGACTCGCTGCTAAGTGAGCTTGCATTATTTTATTCCTAAATTGGTTCTTTTTTCATTGATTATTTATTGTCTTTGAACTAGTTAAACCTTCCAACGCCAATCGACGTTTAATTTTAGTGTACTGTCACGCAGAGCAGTGACCTTTAAACCACGGCGCCGCCGAAAATCGATAGCCGCTTCCATAGGACCAGCGACCTTGGACACGTTCTGCTAGGGGACCCAGACGGTTGGGTGGTAACAACTAACAGACACGCGTTGGGGAACGAGCAGGCGCGTGTTGGGGCACGAACGCGTTGTGTTCCCTACACAGACACGTGTGAACCCACGAAAGGCCGCCCGTCCGAGTTTACGGGTCCGGTCCCACGCGCTCATTGACTGCACCACAGGGGGCAGAAAGGAGAGCCCTTGGTGCGCCGTACCGGGCAGGAACAGACCTGCACTGTGCCGCTAAACGGACCGTTTGTAGCGGGACGCGTCGCAGCACGCCGGATCGATATAAGGAAGATGCGTGAGGTAAGAGGACACGCACACTATCTGTCGCAGGTGTCGAACATGGGCCGATGTCATCCCATCGACGGACGTCGTGACGAAGGAATCAATGCTTCACTCAAAGATGGCTTTAGATAGATGGAAGGATTTATGGGAACACTGATTCGTGTCTTGGTATAGGGATTGATGATTGGTAGGTGTGAAAATGGATGCAATCAATGATCTTTCGCTGAATGGATTTTAATGCCAGCCGTATGTTTCCCATTGATGACATGTCGCTTCTTCTAGTTACATGCCTACGCTACGTCTTATTATACCATTCCAAAGCATCCTTTTCTCGTTTCCTTTTTCCAATCGCAAAGCGTTTCCCTAATACCGATGCACCGTGTGATCTAGAGGCAGTGGCAGCCAGAGTTGCACAATTTAATTTTTCTTAAAAGGCTGATACTCTGCTTGAGGCTCATGAATAATAATAATAATATAAGAATAACCAGTAACCTCATAATATATGTAAATCAGAAATAGGAGCCAAAAAGTTATACTTGAATTTAAATTAAATTAGATTAAAGTAAAGTAAATTAATTTAAATTCAATTTAATATTTGCAAATATAAGATTTACTTTTTATTGCATTTCCAATTAATTATCGAGGAAAAGGTCATTTGAAACTCTTATTACATAAATTTAATTTTCCTTACTTTTACGTCACAAAATAGGACGTAGAACTCAGCCTTTCATTTCACTCAAACCACCGGCTCCGTTGCGGGTTATTTGATGTTTACCATCTAATAATTCAGCCAAACGTCACGTCAGAGGTCACGTATTTTTAGCCTGCAGCAGTTGTTTACTATGAGGCCTCACTGACTGAGTGACCGGCCGACCCTGGTACGAGATGAATGCAATGTAAACAATGACTGAGCCCTGTGACGCTCGGGTAGCTAACAAATCACCCAGCCGTTCTCACTAAAATCCCTCAGCTGAAAGGTCACAAACAGACAGCCGCGTCATCTCCGCGGTGGCACGGTCATTTATCGGTTAATTTCTGCAAAATACACACGGAACTCGTCTCATCTGCCCAGTTGACCCGCCAGTCGCCTCTGCATCTGCGTCTGAATCTATTCTCGGTGTTTCTCTGTCGCAAATTTCTCCCGAATGTCCGTCAGAGCCTGGCTCGGAGCCTGTCTCTGGGCAGCACCACGACGCATGTGGTCCTGCTGAAAATCAACAAACATCCCGCACGTGCCCACGGCTCCTGACCGCGGGCGGTGGGGCACCGCTGGGCTCCCGCTCGCTCTAGTCCAGCTTCCGGTGGCTGCGGAGGAGGAGGCGGTGCGGAGGAGGAGGCGGCGCGGAGGCTCCTCCGGCCAGGCGGCGCCACCGGCGGGCGGCGCCTCCGACTCGGCGCGCCGCCAGAGTCACCTCAAATCGCGCCGGTCGTCCAGGCCAGAGGCAGGTGGCGACGGGTCGTGCGTCGAGTGCCGCGCTGGTCAGTGTCAGTTGCGCTCGCACGGACCCGCTGGACGGACGTCTCTGCCATGGCGCTCGGCTCAAGAGGAGGGGACGTGGCCGCCGAGAAGGCCGCCAGTCTGGAGCGGGTTACAGTGGACCCGGCGGCGGCGGCGGCGGCGGCTGAGGAGAGTGCCGCCCCGGCGCGCCGGTCCTGCTGTCCGCTGGGCCGGGTGCTGACACTGCTCACGCTGGCCGCCTGCTGTCTCTGTCTGGGTTTTGTGGAGCTGCACAGGCTGCGACAAGGCGCCGAGCTGCAGAGGCAGCTGGCGCAGCTGCAGATGAGGCTCGACCGGCTCGAGAGCGAGGCGCCCGACGGGCCGCGGCTCGACGAGGCGACAGACGGCGGCGGCGACGAATCAGTAAGGACTGAGCTGTCCAGCAGCGCTCGCATTCTGCACTAGTCTGAGTCTCTTCACTGGCTGTCCGCTATTTGCACAGTCTTACCTAGATGGTATCAATTTTGTCAACAATTCTTGACAAATTGTCAACCGGTCAGCATTGTCTTATTGGTAACTTGTAGCCAAGGCGCTGCATTATGTGTTGTTCATTTTAGCTTCGAATCTTCAGGAGGATGATATAATCTTTGGCATTGATATAGTGCATCATTCGTTGTATTAACCTCAAAGTCATTCATTGTTATTCATTCATTGGCATTAATTGGCCATTCAGGCGTCATTAATCCGTTCATTTTTAAACGCCGTTAAAAGAAGTTGTGTAATGACAGGCACTGAATAGTAGCTTTTACTTTGCCAGTGTTCCTTTCTTCTTGCACATTAGTGTAGATGCTTCATGCTTTGGTGATGGTCTATTTAAGTTCAATGTGCTTTGGTGTTGGACATCTTTTCGTTTGGTGCTGGCGCTCGTTTTATTATTTTAAGTTCCATGTTAATGGATGCTTCCTACTGATCAAAATCTTGTTAGGTTTTTTGTTTTGTCATTTTCAACCAAAATGGTCTATGAGAAAGATCGTTTAAATAATGATAACGCTTTCGTCGATATACACTCCCAAGCAGCTACGAGTTTATCGTTTCAGAATCAAACACTAAAATCGTTCGCGTTAATCCAGGAGTGGTTAAGGCCAGGCTCCCGGTCAAACCGCTCGGCGCCATCGCGGACGGGTTAAACTCCGACAAACCAGTCCACTTCCTCGGAGACGGTGACCGCTATCTGCACTCCCTAATCTGCCTTACCGCGGGTGTGTGGCGCTGAACGTGACCGATACAATCGCCGATGAGAATCGGTGCGCGACGGGGGCGCCGCGGCGGCCCCCAGTCATGTGCCCGCCTTTCCGCACCGATGGCTGAAATTATCACCAGGAAAGCCAGCGGCCGCGTGATGAGCCAGCTCTCTGTGATGTGATGATTAATGGGCTGCTTTAGAATATCACAACTGGGTTGGGTGTGTGGAGACGGAAAGTAACGGTGGACAAATGTAACGGACTGGTGAGCGGTACGTCGGTGAACGGTGGTGTTGCTAGTGTCCCCACCGTAAGGTGTGACCAGGAATGTAAAGCCCGCCCTCGAACGGTTTTTGCTCTAGTAAACCGACGTTTTCCAGAAAACCTGCCCCAAAAATTGTCCAGTCATGGTTAAACTGGCATGGCTCATGATATTGAGTTGTAGGTTTGGCTCGTGCCGTTTGATTACCACGCGACATTGCGTGAGAAACGGCACGTGCCTGCTACTGTTGTGATGAGCTCTTGTGCAAGTCCAGTCGGGGAACAATGAGATCGTCCGTAAAATTACTAATCGAGCTAATTGTTTGACAAATAACGTTTTGGATTCGTGTGCCCAGGATAAATTGACACAAACACAAAGCAGAATAAATGAAACGTGTTATGCTCCATGAATCATTTATGTAGCAAACACGATATCTTAATTACCATTAACCTCGAGCTAATCGCGAGCCGATTGTATGCGTGTTTTACGATTTGCTAATCGCCCACCACCTGTTCATTATTCACCCAGGAACGATACGGACTGCACCCTTTTTTGTATCACTTGTCGAGTACTATCTTTTCCGGGGAAACTAAGCCTGGAATTCGCTAGCACACACACACATAGGTACGCGATAGTTCGGTTTCCGAACAAGTGCCGAACATCATGACGATGCAGTGACATCTAAAGGGAAATAGCGTGTGGTATTGCCATAGGTATTGCTTTTCACTGTCAGTCTCCCTCATATAAGCATCGGCGTATAACATGATATCGTCGTACAACACCGGGCTGAATTTTGTAATCTGTTAAATTTGACTTTTTTGTCTTTCGACGTCTCAGCTAGTTTCCAATTTACAATAAATATAACTACACTACTTCCACACCTACATCGTGCACGCCTTCGGCTTCTGATACACTAATATTATTTTTGCGCCCGCTATTATTTCATCCAGCATACCGTTCCCACACCGCATTTCGGCCGTATCAAGACGGCAGACTGATAATCGACTGAAGGCTGCTGTCCACTGTGACACCGGCTATTGTGTCAGTGTGGAACCGCGCTGCTGCATGGACTGTTTGTGCACCAGCCCTGTCGGTCGCCAGTGCTTTGCGCGGTACAGTTTACTAAACCCGCTTTAGGCACGTTATATGGAAAATGGATCAACTGCAGGGTGCTTTCCACAGTTCTCAACTATTACTTGTTTGAAAGTTTTCCCACCTGGCTTATGGGTCGTGCAAAATTGACCAATGTTTTGCTGATTTTCTAGTAAGCTTGAGATTTGTGCTTGTTTGTTATACCTCATATTTAATAGCAGACGTATATGCAGTTGGCGTGTTTTCATTATAAAGCAACTCGACCCCACCCCATGCAGTGTTCGCACCTTTCCAATGGCCTCTTGACGTTGCTTCAATCTGTAACTTGACAACTTATCCCCTTCGGCATATAGAGACAGAGGCTGATCGACATGATCGATGAGCCATCAAAACAATACCGATTGGTGTCGGGTGTCATCATTCAAGCTCCTAATGAACACAATGGGGTAAATAAGCCGGGGAACATCTGAAAATTACCGTCAAATTGACACATGGGTGTGAAAAACATACAAATCTATAATCTACTGGCGGCCTTCTGGCCGTGAGCAATTTCCTTGCCGTTGATTTTTCGGCCACCAACGACCCTGCAAACCGGCTTCTGGGTGCTACATTGTCGCAAACACGCGGCCGAGACCTAAAAGTTGGGCTGCACGCCACTGCAGAACATGGCAAGGACGAACAATTTTTGAGGGTGTTGCGACATTCGCCTACATGCCTTCCTTTACTCGTTTCGACGACGAAAAATGACACAAAGCACACTTTCTAGCATGAGTAGGCTCAACGACCCCAAGTTGGCGTGTGGGAAAGTGAATAATATTGAAAGATCATTGACTAATTGTGATTGTTGGCTCACTTTTCGCGTTTAGTGCTTTGACCACGTGGCGAAATACCGACCTTGAAAGGAGACCTTAGCACTGAACTTGGCTGGGGTCAGTTTGTCGAGGAGTAAAAACACGCTCGATTATTTATACATCTGCTTCGTCTCAGACGCCGGTACTTCTGTGTTTAGACATTTTCGGGGCTTTGCTGGTGAAGAAATCGTTTTGTAAGTCTTTGCCAGTGTTCTCCAGACTAAACGCATCCACTCATTTCTAGACACTACGACAAGTAAAATTACTCATAAAACCACGCCTCGGCCACTCCTTGGTGTTTCAAACAAAGCCCAACGATCACGCCGCGCGCGGCCGTAGCTAACGGCTCGTCTGGCGCCAACTGCAGCCGCTGGGAGGCGGTCACAGCAGACGTTAGCCTTAGACGTTACCCTCCAAAATCACCGGGCTCACCTGTCGGTGGCCGGCACCTCGTCCGCGCTGCTCAGTCTTTATGGCTTCGAGCGGCCGCCGGCTGGGAGTGTGGCGGTGCTCGCACCTGCGCCGGTCAGCAGGTGGGGTCGGTCGGCGCTCCACGGCGCCCGCCGACGCACCTGCTGCCGTCCCGAGCTCCACCCGGGCCGGGCAGGGCAATCTACGGGCTACCACCCAGGTCTGAGGAAGCCTGGACCCCTCAGCTGCCTGTCTAACGGCCCCAGACAGCCACCTGTACGACCTCAGGTATTTTTTGAGCGGCTGTCGTCGGCCGATCCCGGTGGCAGCGACCGTTTCGTGACTGACACATGCATGACTGCACAGCGGGCCAGATTCGTGGAACACATTCATGATTCAGTATTTGTGTTTGGCTGGACCGAGTACAAGCTGTTATAATTCCAGGAGCTGGCTCACTCGTAGCCCGTAAGGGGTGTGCAATATTGACGAGGAATGCATGCGATCTTCAAAGGTGTGGTGAATGGAGGTGGCAGTTATATGAACCCTTGAATGAAAGAAAGAAAAGACGCGGAAGCGGAAGGACTCCACGCCTGTTCCTTCCGTTTCATTGCGAGGCGCATGCAGCAACGACATGTAAATAATGCAAATACCGACCGAGAGGCCCCTTATAAGCCGTATCGACGTTCCGTACCATTTCTTTTAATGTGGCAGATCTTTCGCCTGTCTGTGTTAGGCGGCGGCTCATCGGCGGCGCTCCCGGCGCCGGTCGTGGGTGTCTGACCGCACTCAGCCGCGGGATCTGACCGCAGCCCTGATAGAGCCCCGTCCGTCTCTGGCCGACCCGTCCGCCCGCGGCGCCGGAAACCACGGTGCAGATTCTGCACCGATTCAGACGTCTCGGTGGTCACTGCATGGACCCCGACCGGGCACAGACCGCAGAGGGCTGCGCTGGTCAGCCGCAAGGCCGCTCGATAGTTTATGGCTGGTTTTACCGGTCTGTAAAGCGCAGTTTGTGTGATGGCGTTTTTTTATGCGTCGCGCGACGCGGGTGGAGGCGCGATCTTGTACGGTTGGTCTTTCCTTGTCTGATGGCTCAATAACAGGGCAAGGTGTGGTCCGCTTTTGTCCATGGTGATGGGTAGTGTGGTGGCGACCAGACTCCGCCGTCCGCTCGAGCGATGCGGCTAACAACGGTTCATTGTTCCGAGTCGGGGCTTATTCCACTTGGGCGCTTTTGTACTTGGTGTGGTTTGTGTCAACGAACGCTCAATGTGGTTTGGTAGACTGTCGTCGTTTGGCATGCTTTGCTCTGGTCCCTTTGCTTTTGAGGTTTCTTGTCGTCCGATGCTTCTTATTTTGTTTGTTTTTATTGTGCCGGCTTCATCAACTTCTGGCGACTTAAGCCGCAAACAACATAAACGCAAGCGGCAAGAACGTGGTTAATTGGAGACCCCAAATCCGTAAAGATCTTGAAGGTGTCTTGAGGATCACCTGTATCCGTCAAAACCACTCAACGGCGTCAGAGAATTACATCACTCGAGGAGATCACGAGTGACGTTCGAGAAATGCTCGATTCGCTCTCAAGATCTACTCGAGAGTCGAGACAACCTGCAGAGCCCCGCTAAGGACAGCCCCGGGATACTCCGGGCATGCCTCTGATCCCAATCGAAGTCGATTCCAGCCGGTGACAGTAGCTCGGTGGCGCGTGTTTCAGGCCCTCCTCCGCTCACGACGGTCGGTGGGAGACCCACTGCGCACCATCGACGGCGTGCCCATCCTTGACGAGCCGTACGGTCTCCGGAGTGGGACCCCCAGCCAGGGCCTTAGTCTGTACGGCACCCTCCAGGCGCAGCGCGAGGGACCGCCGCCGACCGATGACCCCCAGGTCGACGACCCCTCCATCCGGGCCCACCACAGGTCAGTAGGCCCAGGAACATCGTATCCATCCGTCTATCAACCTTCAACATCGAGTCCGGCCCTTGCAGTCCCGAGTCCAGCCAATATAGTCCTCTAGTCTTTGTCCGTGACTGCGTTATCCCGTATTCTCCACCAGCAGACCTTTGTCCAATAGACAAACCTTCCGTTTCAGCTCTGCAAATCCAAACCGTCTGCTCCTCGGGCCGTGGGAATTTGGGGACAGGTTTTACTCTGATTCAGACCATTGATTAGGCTGATGTTACGCTGCTCTTCCTCTAACTGTGGTGACTCACTTGTGCCTTGCATTGAATAAAACTTGAATGGAGATCAGTATCTGTAACTTAATGCGGATAGTTTTGGACCCGGTTCATGACGATTATTGTGAAAGTCAGTTACTTACCTACCGGTTGTCGGCTAACATTTTGCTGGTCCAGTTTAAAATCGCCGTACTGTGTTCAATGATGCTTAAGTTTATCGGTTCACCGAATGCCTCGATATTTTTACTCCCCTCCCATGTCAAACCTTGTCATTTAGCGCAACACCGCTCCTTTTGCCAGCACCATATCCGTTTACCACGCCCCCATTCACTGGTCATTGATCCCACCGGCTCTGCAGCGGCCCCGCCAGTTGTGCTGGCACGGCGACCTGACCTAGCCCAACAACCGGTTCCCTGCTGATCCGAGCCTGCATGCATAAACGTCCCGCGCTGCTCAGAAGTGAGAGCCTCACTGGTCCATTCAGGGAACTGACCGGCCCGTTCCGCCTCAGCGGCCCACTCCGTGCAACTCTCGCTCTCAGTGGGAGGTTACTACAGCTCCCATCCTCTGTCCGAGTCCGTTCAACCCGCCCGGCCGGCCACGCCAAGGCCGCGTCAGTCATCACCACGAGCGCCTCTCCCGTTCTCTTTCTACCTGTGTCCGGTCGTTGTCCGATGCACGCTGTTCCGTTGCTCTCTCCACTGCATGCACTGACAGTCTGGGGCTGGTGTCCGCGCAGAAGCAGTGCCGCATACCAGGTGCGGTTCGGCCGGGTCAACACGGACGCGCCCGCGGCCTCCGGCGACGACAGGTCACCGGGCGGCGCCGCGTCGGCCCCGACGGGCCGGCGAGCCGTCGCGCCCGGAGAGCTGCACCGCCGCTCCCGGGTAAGGAACACGAGTCGCGAGCGAGGCGAGGGAGCAGGAACGAAGGCGTACGAGCTGACCCGAGCGGCCGCTGGCGGGCGCCGCTCCGAGGGGGGCGGCCGGGCCAACGAAACTGGGAATCGACAGGTCAGGGACGGGCCGAGCGCGGGACAGGGCGGCTAACCGCATGGACACGCCGCACCAAGTACCTAACTGTGATGGGGGAGTGCGAGAAGTTCGGTAACCGATTTGTGATGTTGTGTTTGGTGACTGACGAGTTTTTAAAGGAAGGGGAGACGTTTACAACTTTAATACCGTGGATATTAATGCCTACTAATGAATGATGAATGATGTCCCACTGTCCCACTCAGATGAAGGCAATTTGTCTCTTTTTGGCAAATTTTGCGTTGGCATGTTTGGGTTCATTTTTAACACTTGTCTGGTATTAAACGTCATCAGTCAAACATCAACTAGGTACAAATTGCCGAAATAATGAGGCAACAGCATGCGTTTGCACTCTTTCCCACCACCCTGTCAGCGTACTGCACCATCACGGAGAACCGCACGAAATGCGAATGTCGTTTACCGCACGTAGTTTTTAGAGCAGCGCATGTTAGAATGCACAGTATGTTTTTGCACTAGTGAGCTAGCGCTCAGCATGTTCATTTCAAGTGTTTTGCACGTCACCGCTCATCTCTTCATTATTTCGTTTCTTATTTCTCTCATTTCATTTCATCACTCTGTATGCATCACTGTCACTCATTTCAGTGTAACTTTCAAGTTTCTTTCCATCTCAAAAGCTCTCACTTTGATTCGTCTCTGCTCGTTTCATAAACGTTTCTCTCTTTCCAACCCAATGCATTTACCATTCTACCCACACTACAGCTCCCCTTCTCCGCCGCGCCTCCCCTAACTCCTACCCCATGTTCGCACAGGCGGCGCCAGTTCTGGAAGCGCGCGGCTCGCCCACCGCCTTCGTGCCCGGCCTGCACGGAGGAGCGAAGCCGCACCAGCAGCAGGCGGCGACCGGCTGCGTCGCTGCGCACTTCGAGGGACATGTGTCACAGCTCAGCCGCAAGACGTCCTCCTATGGCGGTAGTGAAGGTTTTTATCTGTCCACTGTTAGCATGGTAGTTTGTGGGTGAAGGCATGTGCTCGCTGGCTTTCGAGTCCATTTCGCGGATAATGGTTGATAATTGTTAAAAGATTTTGTGCATTTAATATGTGGTAAACATTATCGCTATTTGGTATTAACTATAACTGTTCCTCTTACAAAAAAAAAGATTGTTTAGCGGTGCGTCGAAAACAATGCCATAAATTTTGGACTACAATTTTGGATTTTTTTTATTTTTTTTTTTGCTGAACATCCAAAATGTTACTTATGATTTATTATTTTGCTACCGTTTTATTGGAACGATCGCAATATGTTTTCTGTTGCTTTTGCCTTTTTCTACGTCAATTTAAAATTGGGCACAACAAAATATCAACAAACTTTGAAGTAACATGCTTAAGAATAAATTGCCCGAATTATTTTGCAAATGGACTCGTTTAACTTCGCCTTGGGGATCTTTATGCACAGTTTTAACACATGTTCACCCATTTAAATCATTAAGCTTTATTTTTTTGATTGATATTCAATGTCGTTGTTTGCTTTGTATATTTTGTCTCTGTTTTCCTTTACCGTATCCATATAAACATAATGGAACCGATTCTGAGGCAATTCAAATCCCACATCCCTGCATTTTACAACACCTCACCGGAAAGAGACATGCCCGTCATTTTTGTTGCTTGTTAAACGGGACGGCCAGACGTGGAGACTGAAGCCTTGACGGTCGTACAATGGCCCTGTCAACAATGCCCGTGATAGAGATCGGGGGGCACGCCGTCGCCGACTGGGGCTCGGCCAGTAGTGCAGCGGGACGGCCGCGTCTGGAGCATGACGGGAACCACGCATGCCTGCCCGCGTGCCGTGCACTGCTGAGTGCCCGGGCTGACCCAACTGGCCCCGTCCCAACCTCTGTCTGCATTTTCGGTCCCCGTTCCCGCTCCGACCTGGTTTCATTTTTCGTCTCTATCGTCGTTTCTATCCATCTCTATAAGTTTATGCCCTTTTCATTATTTTCATCTCGGTCAAAATCCTTTCCGGGCTTCTTTTTATGCAAAATTGCTTGTTTACATAAACGGTTTGATTTTGTCATATCCAAAGCTCGCATTTCGCCGACATCATCCGCATTTTATTTTATTTATTCTACTCAACCTTTCCTTCACGTTACCCCTGATATTTTCCGGCTCACGGGGTGGTATACGAACGCACTGGGATGCATCTCTGATTTCGCATCGTGGAGCATCATTTCCGACATCTCACCCTCCCTCCCTGCCTGTCGGGGATACCCACCCCGGTATTAGTGCCTGTATCTGGTTGCCAGTCCACTGTCCCTGGCAGCTGTACTGATAGTGCCCGGGTCTGTCTCTCCTCAGGGAACGGCCGGCTGAGGAACGCCAACCCCGACGGCATGTTCGCCAACTGGCGGCCTGCCGACTGGATGGAAGAACAGCGGTGTGACGAAAGCTTCCAGCTGTACGGTGGCCAGGTCACCGTCACAACGCCGGGGCTCTACTATTTGTACGCACAGGTGAGAAGAGATGAGATATAGAGCTAGAGAGACTAGCGGCATCATCGACTAGAGACTGGAAGACTTTGTGCAATCAGTATAAGACTGACAGACTACGCGGCACGTAGGAACTGAGTTTGTTCTCTATCGAAACTCCCTTGAATCTGAATGCGCCGACCAAGGAAGACGGTAGTTTCTGTGGTCAGTGCCTGAGGCTTTAAGATGCCTAGTTTTATTGGCTATTGTGTCGCATGATCCCTAGCTGATAGCATTGGTGACTGTCACACCCATTGCTATCACGCTAATCATCCTTGGGAATCTGATTAAATTTCCCTCTGAATGAGACATCAAACAAGCGTCACATCCGTTTGACAATCACTACAACATTAATAGGTTTGTCGGTTTGACGCGGAGCTAAAACAACTTCAGCCGTTAGGCTTCACGGACACTGATTAGATCGTTGATAAGACAGTTGTCAACAGCCGCGGTGACGGTCAAACCATCCGTTCAAGGTGATTGGGAGGATAAATTGGGCTATCAAGGGAGCAGACCATGAATAATTTGTCAATGAGAAACAGGAATGACTTTCTGGCTACATGGGATACAGTCAGCCTTTCGTTCGCGATATTTTGTACCATTACGCAACGCAACATGACCACTGTGCCGTTGGTAACACAATTTTGCGGAGATTCCATAACACAAAGAGACAAAGAAGCCGAATTTGTCGCTCTTGCAGTCCGGGAATTCACGCGGCATGACGTTTGCGGATGCAGTACTGTGTGGCTATGACGAGATGCGCCGATTTTAGCTACGCGTCATCATTTGTCACAGGATTCCTCTTGACCACTGCGCTTTGAGATAGGTCACAGTGCTTCCCGAGTTCTACCAAAGACGGTTCTTGCCGCTCGCATAGCGTCATTTTTCCGGCTGGAAAGGAAGCGACAATCAGCCGGTTCGTCGCAGACCGGTCGCCCACCGACCCCGGTTCCCCGTCGCCCGTCTTGTCTGCTTCCGGCCCGAACCGGGGCTGATGCCAAGTTTCCAGAAGTGATCCACACAGGAAAGCATGTCCGAGTTTTCCTGCAGCGCGTTGGACTCACGCAGCGAGCGACTGTCTCCGAGCCCTGCCGGGTCAGGCGGGACGGAACATTCGAGCAGAGTAACTACGGAGTTTGTTGGCTCAGCGCCCGGTCTTGGACGAGCGTTTGTTTATTTTATCACAGCTCGCTCAGCGGTATTCCGCGCCTCAATGTCAAGAGCAGAATCCAGACTCCTAATAAGAAATGTCAGATGTTTAGATTTGACGCACGCACGCACTGGGCCGTGGGGAGCGGCGGTCGACGGCGGTTCGGGAAAATGGGGGAGGGTCTCCTCACTACGCCAAACAACTGGACTGTGTTGTGGTCTGGTGGTTGTCTCTTAGCGCCGCCAGAACAGCACTTCTGCGAACGCTTGCGACATGACGTGTGGCGTATGTGCGCGCGCTTCGTCGTGAGCCTGGCCGTACCGGAATTTATGAAATTGTTTGTAGGCCTTGGCGTACCAGGACACTGGCGTTGATTTCTCTAGCTGTGCTTATGCTTGTGTGCCGTTACAAAATGTTTCGACAGGCACGTCCTGAGTTGCGAAATGAAGAGACCACGGTGTTTATAATAAAGCGTCAGTCGTAAGAACGGAAACAAGAAACACCATACATCATGTACACACTAACATGCAGGCGACATTTCGTTGAAGGAGTGTGCAAAATTCATCTATTAATTAATTAAGCCATAAGCCTTACGTTTTTCAGCAGTCTTGGTACGCACACTCGGCATTCCTTCGTCTCTGCAAAGACCATTTAGTCTTCTTGACGAAACATGGCTTACCTCTAGCCTTCGCCTGCTGCATGGACCCGTAGCAAGCAGTAGCTTATCGAACATCTAATTCCCAAGGCTGATTATGTAATTACATGATCTCATTTGGGAACCAATTATCAGTCTTTTACGGGCGATTGTCACAATAGCCGAAACAAATATAACATTAAATCATTGCAATTGCCAAACGGCAAACGTTATCAGAGATAAGTAAAAATGAGAATCGATTTATTCATATCTACGGATTCTCATCCCCTAAAAAGTAATTTGATTTAAACCTGCTGCTTGTCTAACGCTCCCGTGCTGACCCGGTTTTTCCTTTTTTTCCCCAGATAAACTATTTAGAAGACAACGACATCAACGCGTTCGAGATCCAGGTGAACGCCCGCTCCGTGGCCAAGTGCATCGCAATGGAGGCCAGCGACCTCGAGGAGAAGATCAACACATGTCACACGGGCGCCGTCACCTACCTAGGGCCGGGTGAGTCACCTGCGTATAGGACCCCCCCCCCCCCTCCGGTCACCTATACCTGTGTGAGTCACCTGCGCATAGGACCCCTCCCCTCCTCCCCGTCCAGTGTCCACCGCTCCGCAGCCCGCCGCCAGGCACCAGGTGCCACCCCGCGCCGCGCCGGTGCCTCCGGGCATCTCGTGCGCGCTACGGAAGCCGTAACGTGACCGGTCGGCGACCGTCAGCCGGCTGGGCGCCTCGGTTGGCCGTGGGACAGTGGGGTGGCGCCGAGCCCCGGGCGTCGTGACTCACAGCCAGCCGAGGGAGGGGTGAAATCTGCGGGGTGTGGCGACAGGCGTTAAGATGCGGATCATGCAGTTACGAGGCTGGTGATGTTTTGGAGAGCGTGCTCGGGTGGTTATTAGATCGTCAGAAATCGCATGGTTCGCTGGAGTAAACGATCCTTTATGGGCGGATGCATATGCGCCAAGGCTTCCGGAAGTGTAAATGGACTTAAAAGCATCGCTGTGTGCTAGTTTCAAGGCATTGCAGCTCGTTGGATGTAACAATAGGATTTGAAAAGTACATTTTATTAGGTTCCCAGCTTGGCATATCATCGATGAAAAGCATATTGGCGAGACTATAATATCCTAGCTTTCCTTACATGTCTGCTGTCTCTCATAGCAAAACATGCTTGTATTTGCCCCTGTTTGGGCCTGTTTTTACAATTCTAGTGGGAACTTCTGACACCTTAGCATGCAATCCATGTTTTCCAATGTAACTTCTCTGCTTGGTAACGCAGGTTAGCGCTCCCTGTCTAGTTGTGTTCGTTTTAAAATTAATGTAGCAAGGTCAACCACTGGCCACTGCCGCGGCTTCCCAACCTTCCTTACCCGACGCCGGTGGGTCAGCGGCGACTCTTTCGTGCTTTGAGAATCCAGTTTTCCGCGTTACACCTGTGAATTTTGTCGCGAATTTCCGTCCGCTCTTCGCCCCCGCTTTACCGCAAAAAATGGCCGCATTAAGTTGGCAGCATGACATCGAGCCATAAAGTGAGAAAGGCTTGACCGCAAGAGCAATAACTCCATCGGAGCACCCGTGCTATTAATACCATTAACGTGTTTCTGTTCTCTGTGGTACACTGTCATTGTTCTTCAGCTTGTTCTCTGGTGTCACTCCCATTTTAAGTCTCATCCTTATTAAAATGCGCCGGGCTTTACTACTTCCGACGCGGGTTATAGGACGGCACCCACTCCACGCCTTGTTTAATGCCCGGTTCACGTCGGCCTTATCACGTGTGAAATCGGCCGAACATCCACACCGTGACGGCCTCCTTAGGCGGCAACCGCTTCACATAGACGCTCAGCTCTAACTTGTTACTGCTTTTTACCGAAAACACCCAAAACAAGATACCTTATCTAGCGCTCGTTGCATAATCATTTTCAGACACCGCAGAAGGGATTTGCACACTCATGGTCTCAGGCTTGTTTTGTCGAGACAAAGTCCGACGAGACTACGAAGGTGCTGAACCAAATCTGAAAAACCTTAGTCATATTTAACTTTTAACAGGCATTAAACGAATGCATTCCGTTTAAACTTTTCGGCACACCATGCAACAGCTGAGAAAGCAAAACGCATCCTGACTTATGCACAGCTCTCAGCTGCTCAAGCAAATATATTTTATTTAACGTAAAACATAAAATTTAAGCTTACTTATGTCTGGCAGTCAACGTTTCGGTACATTTCTCAATCCTTGCGGCATGCCAGAAGCGTCTTTTCTCAATCACAAGCCGCTATTTGCTCACGCGGGCTGACGTTGCCGTTTTCAGCTCGTTAGCTTTTCACCCAATTACATCGTCCCATGGCCCGCCGTCCGGCGGCTCCCGGACGTTACATTACCGGTCACTCTCGCTGCCGAGCCGCGGCCGACCTTGACCGCGATCTCTGTCCGTTTTCACAGGCGACGCCGTGAGCATCCGGGACCTGGAGCCGAACCGGTACTCGATACTGCTCTGGGACCGCAGCTTCTTTGGCCTGGTGCGGCTCTCCTCATCAGGGTGAGCGGCCGCCGGTCACCGCCGGGGTCACTCGGGCATCCTCCGGCCAGCAGGGGCCGGCGCGGCGCCCGCGCAGCGCTGCGGTCCATCCCACCCGACCGGGAGACGGCCGGCACCTGTCCGGACGTGTGCGGCCGACGGAGCCATCGACTGTTACGTCACCGACGCTCACCGACGGCGGCGGCTGGACCCGGACCCGGAACCCGGCCGCGATGGCGCCACTCCGGAGTGGCGAGCGCTGCCGCCGGTCACCGCCGGTCGCCGGACGTTGGGTCAGGTCCGGGTCGCTCTCCCGGTGAATTCTGCGAGGCCAAACTCAGAGTGATGGGCGACGGACGGCCGCGTCCCTGTCGCCATACCGTGCCGGAAATGTAGGCGACGTTTTCCGTCGTCGACCGGCGCTGGGGATTTTTAGCCGTCAGTGCGACCGCTCGCCAATGTGTCACATCGCGTCCCGTCGCCGGCCGCCGGCGGGGCCTGTCCTGCCGCCAGCGGAGGCGGCGGCGCGGCGGCTCCGGTCGGCCGGGGCAGGCCGCGACACGCCCGGCCCGGCGCTGGCCGCCGTGGGAGTGTGTGGAGAGCGTGCTGCTCCTGAGTCATAGCGGCGAGCGGAGGCGACCGGTCCTCCACGCCCGGCCGGGCAGGCGGGCCGCGCGCGCCGGGCTGTGCATGGGGAGCAGTAACCAGGGCAATGTAGGCCGGCAGGCGCTTATACCCAACAGTGATAGTTGTAGAGTCAGGTCGGTCGCTGCGCGCGCGCGTAAGTTATGCATGCGAGGTGGGTTGCGCGGTGAGGACATTTGGTGTCACCACTCATGTGCTAGTGCTGTGTTCCTGAACTGTGAATATATTGTGATGTAAAATATACTCATAACTCATGTTCGAAACACTGTTTGGTGCCCAACGATGGGAATAGCTACTGAAGGCTCGGGCTGGGCAATCTTGCAATCATCACTCTATGTAATATGGTTCCGTCGAAGCACAACTGAAACCACTACCTGCCTTTTTTGCTTGGCCGAGAGCTTGTGTCTTCCTATCAATGAATCGAAACACAAACTTGACGATTCTCGCCATAATCGTTCGTAGCTGCCGCCCATATCCGCATCTCCGCTAACAAGGTGCTGCTTATCACTGCCTAATTCAATCACCCTACCCACACAAACTTCACGATTCACCTCACATGCCCAACTTGTCCAGCTCCCCTCACCACCGCCTTTTTGTGGTCAACAAGCCGCCTTACGCGAGTCATGAGTCACAGCTGAGTCACCGGAACATAGTTGGGCTGCTCCAGTACCTAAACCTCACAGAGTTTCCAGTTTGTCGGTACCGGGGCGCGTAGCATGTTCACTGGCCGGTCCGGAGTTGATGACTCAGTGACTGGAAGCAGATAGCGACTGGTGCTTCCGCCCTTCCACAGCTGATCATGACGTCACTATTATTCAATCGGTGTGGCACATTCACCGCAGGTTCCCCGGTAATCATCCCATGAGTTATGTCATCAGTGATGGAAACCAACGATGGTGATTCTGCGCTCCAAGCTAACCGTTCTAGCGGTTCCCCAAACGTAACAGGGCGATGTGGAACGAATGTGAAACAAACGAACGGGCGAATAGATAAGGCACCGAGCCAGACGACAGACGGGACAGACGAGGCAGACGAGACAGACGACAGACGACGAAGTCGCGGCGGCGGATCGCAGAGATAACGACAACTACACATGTTTTGACGGCTATCTCGGATCCAGCGGCGTCTTACGGGTCTGCCTGCCGTCGCTCTGCGCGGTCAGTCTGAGATGATCCACTCTTGTCGTGACTGCGCACCTCCGTCCCCTCCCCCTTCACACACCCACTTCCGAGCCTGGTCAGGGCGACTCAAAGGACCGACACTGAGGTAGCGGGTCGTGACTGTGACGCTCTATCTGCTTGGAGGATCTGCGGCCAGGTGAGAGTTTTTAACGGTGTCGGTTCAGTGGAGGTTTATGATGTCACTGCTCTCCGTGGGAGACACGAGTTGACGGGAGACACACGGAGCTGAAGGGAGACGCACGGAGCTGACGGGAGACGCACGGAGTTGGCGGGAGACACACGGAGTTGGCGGGCAGAGGGAGGTGGCTGGGGTGAGTGTTTGTGACGAAGCGTCTCAGTGGTTTCAAACTAGACTTCGGTTTATGAGAGCTGGGGACGGTAAAAGTGGAGAGGTAAGAATAGAGGCACAATTAGTGAATTACGAGGCAACGAGCTGGTGACGAGGAGTTAATGAGACCGTGGAGACATCAAGGAGACAGGTTGACAGAGAGGCGAGAGCCATGGAAGTTAAATAAAGGCAGACAATTATGTCATCGATATCGATAATAATCATCAGCTATTTACCTAAGTGATGAGTGACTTTCAAAAACCGACATTGAATCAAATGGAAAAGCTCTCACGCTCTCGAGTAGCAATATTAATGACGCTCTAAGCTTATAAAGGGTAAGTTGGGCAAGATAACATATGCTGCCGTTTCGATACGGGACAGTGAATCAGTTAACGGCTACTAATCGTAACGGCCCCAAAACTCAAATCCGGAAACCAACCGCAATCAGATAAAACTGTTTGCTTGTTGTCTCTTCACCTAGGTACAAGGGCAGATGCGCTCCCCGATTACACATGTCTTGTTTGTTTTATCAATGGAGAAGTCAGAAGGTAGAGGAAATTAATTCTGGGAAAACAGCCGCCAGCGAAAGTTAACTGTGCTTGCCTTAGTCGCTCTGATCTTTGCGATAAGATATATTGATAAGAGGCCCACCTGTTTCTTCGCCGTAAATCATTCAATTAGGGTTCGTAGTCGTACACAAGTATGATGGAGTTTTAAGGCACACATAAGGCTATATCTACTTACATGCATGTCGGGTTGCCCGCCAATGGTTTTGCGAAAAGGCTAGTCCTTTCAGTAGAATTATAGCTAATAGGCAATGAAATGGAGGAGCATCTGAAAAGTCCACCGCAGAGTAATTCCGCTATGACTAGATCAGTGCAAATACGATTACGCGATCGTAATAAAACAGCTGTTGCCGATACTACTGTATTCCATTAGCTCACACCTCTCCATAACAAATAACATGGCCTCTCGCTGGCGTCTGCCCGCTACCCGTGGGCCCTCAGACGCCTCAATGACCTCAGAGCGCCGACACTCGCCCTTACCGACCCGGCCGGTCGGATGGACGCAGCAGAGGGCCGACCGAGGTCAGGTCAGACGAGGTCACGCAGAGGTCACCCGCAGTGACAGCAGTGAACTCACCCTCCCCGATACGACTGACCAGATGGAATTGCAGCAGAGGGCCAGTCGCGGTCAGGTCAGGCGGGGTCACACACAGGTCACGTCCCAAAGACAGCAGCCGCCTCGCCCTGCCTTGACCCCACCGGCCCGATGGAAGCAGCAGATGGATGGACCGGCGAGGTCAGAGGTCAGGCGAGGTCAGCCGCCGGCGCCCCGGGCGGGTCAGCCCGTCGGTCACGAGAGTAGGGGTCAGCCTGGAGCGGCCGACGGGTCCCGCCGGGGCAGGACGGGTCAAACACCATTTCTAAGTCGTCACCATCCTCCTGAGAATCCAACTGCGTACCGGCGGATCACTCCATAAGAACTATGTACACCGCGGATCCTGCCGTCCAGCTCTACACCGTATCACACGGGTCTCACGCCGCGCAGAGTCGGCCGCGACCCGGCACAGGTCAGGTCAGGTCACCGGCCGCTCGGGTCAGCCGGCAGAGAACCATCCCTCCTCCGGACGTCGTCGCTACTCATAAAAGGTACAAACGCACAGACACGACACATTTTGATTCAGCACGCGGAACGGGGGACGGTGGGTGCGCGCGCGAGCGGCGGTCGGCCGCTTATTTGAACAGCTCCTGCGAGTAGTACCAGATTCGGAAGAAGTACTCGTCGCGCCGGAGCAGCGCCAGCCGGCTGTAGGAGTGGATGTCGGCGTCCATCCCGGCCTCCCGCAGCCAGGAGGAGGTCTCCGTGGTGGCGCTGAGGGAGGGCGTCCGGTCCCAGTCCACGCCGTCCACCGTCTCCGCTTCCAGGTAATCTGGGGGACATGGGTTAGGGAGGTCACGATAGGGGTCATGATAGGGGTCAGTAGGATTAAAGGTAGTGTGCCAGCTTTCTTGGACCGTATGGAGTTAATGGCCCAGATAAGGAGAACCGGATTTTTAGAACTTATCCATACCTTCAAAACTCATGGAAACGTCCTAAATTCTTCAAATTTTGAGTACCCCAGTGCGAAATTCGCCCCGACGGGTTGTCGGTCGTACCCCAACCACATTTCACACCACTATGAACAATAAATGCACACACTGAAATCGCTATTACCGATATGCTCATCCAATCAAGTTTCGATAAACCCGTTCATCATCATCTCCTGCGGTTTCGAACACGCCTGTTAGGTGGCTTCTGATGCTCGTCGAGGTCGGAATTTCCAAATACGCGTGGTGCGTCGGGCCGCGCGCTCTGACTTCGGCCAAGAAAAATGCGTCAGCTGATCATTGTCATTTCTGCCACTTGCGTGTGGTGAAATGGGGTCATAACTTATAAGACGGCTTTTTCATATCAATTATTTTACATAAAATCATATTTCAAACCATAAATAATGTTCGACAGCCATATAAAAGAAACAATACCAATACGGGCTTACAGTTTAAGGCTCGACATTGTGTTGTCTACGATTAGACAGCTGATAACTCATTCCCGTACGTCGTATGGTCGTAACACTATAATGACCTTTGCTTATTGTCACAAGTGCGCCGCATTCGCGATTGTTGCCCGACGCCTGTTTGCAGGTGAGCCCACTACAGTTGTTATACATATCTAAAAACCGAAAAACTTCTAGGCGAAAAAGGCACTATTCCAGGCCCATTTTTGATTTTTTTTGCGATATTAGGTAAAAACAGAAGCTTCTTATCCTAGGAAAAATAAAATGGGAAATCTTTCAAAGGTGGCACACTACCTTTAAAGCAGGTGTCGGTGGGGTCATGGGCAAAGGAGTCACGGCTGGGTCACGGCAGCGGTCAGTGGAATAACGAAGAGAGTCAGCAGGGTCACAACAGGGGTCAGCGGGGTCACCCGTCACAGTCGGTGGGATCACGGTCAAAGGAGTAACGGTCAGCGGGGTCAAGGTCATTGGGGTCAGCGGGGTCACGGCTACAGTTGGATTCAGGAATGTGAGTGAAGCGAATGAACTCATTCGTTTCATCCGAGGCATTAGAACGGCCTCCAGTGACACCTGTGTCTCAAAGTTGCGCAGGGTAAGTTCAGTACAAAATTCCGAGAACAGCAAATGCTCAGGAAATATTTGGCGCTACACATACTAGAAAATGCCGATGTCAGTGTTCGATGGGTGTATCACTGCTTGTCTCTCGACATGTAAGAACGTGAGAGTCGGGAAAAGTTCCACAATGTGGAGCGGTGAAGAGGTGTGGCAGGTATGAGGTAAATACTCTCGGTTGAAATTGCACAATGCTCTGATGAGTTTCCAGACCGTTCAATCGATGCAATTTTTTAGTTTTCTGTTATTGTCAAAATTGGAATGTCAAGTAAGGTGAGGTCCTTTTTCATTGGCCTGAATAAAAAGACTCGTATCCAATCAATCAGATTGCATTAGTTCATTAGCAATTACATCGTATATGTAGGGTGCTTCCTGTGTATTGTTGATTGTTCCTATATGTCCTCGAATTCTTCCGATTTGCCTTCATTAGTTTCCTTTGCGACGCTCGATTTTAAAATTGCACCTTTTGTAATTTGTTGTACAAAATAAGGGCATGGTGAATTTACTTAAGTGGACATAAAACGACGGACATGTGTATAAAATTTAATCTAAATATTAAATGATTAAATCAAATTACCTTAAGGCAGTCATGTTTGTCTCTATCGCTGCTATCAAGATCATCTTCAGCTGTTAGTCACCAGGGACTGCGGTTCAGTTTATTGTCAAGCGGTTTCATTGAGGACACAATGGGGTGAAGCAGAGGGAAGGAAGTGCCTGTGGGCTGGGTCATCTCCGATTGTAGGCTCCACGGTCATTTGAAGGCCCCGATGACACCGGTTTGAGGGCAGCAACAATGATCGTCCCTGCAAGGACGGTGATTGTTGTCTGATGCGCTCAGTCGAGGTGTGGCAAGGATGAAATGACAATTTTTTGCTGACTCGTATTGAATAAAGTTTCCATGCTATGAAAGCAGCGATTTAAAAAGCTTTTTCCTTTAGGAGCCTCTGTGAAATTTAACATCATCGAAATTCTGAAAAGTAAAAAAAGAGAGCAATTAAAAGTTAATGAAAGATTTCAAATGAGAGCAAATTATATCATCGCGGGGTGTCGAGAAAAAGGTGGTGACTTTTGGGCCGGGAAGGGTGCAGCAGTGTGCACCTTATTACCGTATGACCCACTGATCACTAAGTTTTTATAGACCACGATGGTCCGCATATAAACAGTAATGGGGAGGAAGGAAGGAACAAAACATCGACTAATACACGGATATCCTTCAGTCTTCACTCTTTAACCGGAGATCGATAATCCGTGGAGTTTCCTTGCATGCATTATATATGAACGGTGCACAGTTGCGTAACCTTTTCTACTCCGAGATATTCTTCACACAACTCGAATTACTTTGAATCTAGGACATCTCGAATGGAGCGAAATATGCATACCTGCCGGCCTGACCACTTTGACTGCGTCTTCACTCTCGAGGGGATCGCTGATCCCCACTTCATTCTTGGCAAAGATCCGCACGTAATACTCGTGTCCTTCCTGTAAGCGGAGACCGACGGATAATCAGCCGGAAAGTCCTCGCAAAAACGCACCTCTGAATGAGCAATCAACAGACATGAATACAAATCGTCAATTTAATCGATCGCCATCGCTGAAAACCGGCCGCTCTGATGAGGCAAACGGTGCGGTGTGTCCGCTGTCGCTCGTTCCGGACATCTCCAGTTTCCCGGACATTGCCGAGGACACACCCGTCTGCGAGCCGGCCGGCCAGAGCCAGAGGCAGCGACACTCACGTGTAGCTCCTTGATCTGGAGTCGTGTGACGTCGGCACCCACCATGCCGACCTGAATCCACATGGTTCGGCGCGCATCGCGGATCGCCACGTCGTAGCCCTCCAGCGGCGCACCTGTCAAACAGTGGTTCGTCAAAGTACCGCCAGGGAATCGGTAAACGACGACGGCACCTGTCATAGCGCTGGCCCGTGATCTCGAGAAAATGCGATGATTTTTAGACACAGCTACCAGAAGCGGATTAATGACTGTCAAAGATCTGCTAGAATTACCATTCATAGTAAATCCCAAATGCAAGGAAAATTAACTACCAAAGCGTACGCAAAAGTGAGACTGAACCATAACGGCGCCCGACACATGATATCTTTTTATGAAAGCTGCGCACAGTTTAATACAAAGTCAAGGAAAACCGACCGACTCCCAACATTTCATGGCCATTTTCAGCCTTCCCTTCCGTTTAGTGGTCAAAGCGAGCAGCCATTGAGGCGTGTATCCTGATCCTGACCCGTGACCAATGACCACTGGAGTGACCCGTGACCTCTAAGTGACCATTGATCCATTAGTGACCCCTATACCCTAGGAGTGACCCATGACCCCTGCAGTGACCCGTGACCTCTGAGTGACCGGCGACCTCTCACCTCCATCGGACTCAGGAATGCCCCACTCCACCAGCAGCGAGTTGGGCCCCGTGGAGCGCATCTCGAGCGGGGCCGTGGGTGGGGACGGCGGAGCTGCGGGCACGGGGGCGAAAAGGGTCAGTGGGGCTGGGGGGGACGGGAGGGGGGCACGGGCGGCAGAAAACAGTGCACAAAATGAAGCATTTAAATTTTTGATTACAAAGAAATAAGAAAATAGATAAAGGATCCACATCAATCTACAATTTTATTTTATGCAAATGCTACGCTAAAATATCACCAACGGTTTAGCGAATTCCCTTTCAGTCCCGAAGGCATTCATATTTCTGCTACCCTCCCATACCATCATTTCCGGCAATAATCTTCCTGATAATCACAGATGCCCGACACTCCCACACCCAGCACTGATCTACTAGTACTGGCATCATCATCACACATCCGCACTCACTGGCGTGCGTTTTCAGCGAGACCAGGTCGGTGTCGGCCGGCGCGCCGGCTCCGATCGGGTTCTCGGCGGACACGCGGAAGAACAGGGACGACTTCTCCCGCAGGTTCGAGATACAGTAGAGGGTGACGGAGCTGTCCAGCGTGACCACCTTCTCCCAGGTGGAGTCGCCAGCCGCCTGGCGCTCAATGATGTATCCTGCAACGGGTAGGAGTGGTGGGGGGAGGGGATCAGGGTCAGAACATTTGCCTAATTTGACTCATCAGATAACCGCTATTCATGAGGTTAAGCCAAGCATTGTTTCGATAACTCACTGTAGATCAGTACTCGAAAAAGCCCGACAGAAGCAGGTAAGTTATCTGACCCACTTCATACATGTTGCTGGAAGTACGCTTCCTTGACGTCAGTGGCCGTTAAATGACCGTTGACCATTAATCGGCGCGTCATATGCCTTTACAACGAAACCACAAACACTACGGCACCGCTCAAAGGCCAATCGTTTGCGGCACCCACCTGTGAGATTGGCTCCTCCCATGTTGGTGGGCGGGGCCCACTGCAGTGTCACGCTGCGACTCGTCACGTCTGAGACCGTCAGGTTTGTCGGCGGTGACGGAGGCGCTGAAAACAACAACAGCGCGTGATACGGGCACGATATCACCAACACAGAGATATACTACACAGATGGCATTGACCCGCCCCGATACAATGCTACCGTCACTTTCCACGACACATTTCCTGCACCGATCTTGATATGACAACATCATAATCGTGGAATCCACTACTGGATTTTTGCCAGTTTCCAAAAGATTCCGCGCATACTGGGGACTGGGTTCTTTGTTGGCGCCGTCGGGCGGCCCCGGGCGGCTCTTTCCTCGTCGGTCAGTGGCGGGGTGTTACTCATGGCGACCGCACCCTGCGCCCCGGCGGGCGATCCTTCCTGTCGAACGGCCTTGCCGTGCGCTGAGCCGTCTGAGCTCGGCCGCTCCCCTCGGCCGACGGCCTTCCCATGGCTGACCCCTCCCCTCCCCGTCCCCGTGAAAGGTGCCCTCAGCTGATCGGTGACTGCACTGGTTTACAGACCGTTTGAATAAGGCGGTGTGCGGGCTTAATCTTTGGCATGCTTGTCTCGAACCTTATGAAATGTAAAGGGTGCAACAAACATGGCACGTAGAGAGCACGCATTAGCCGTTTCGCCCACTTGACTACTGCCTCAATCCTCAGACATGTTGCTTTTTTGTTTTGTTGGGTTAGGCCCTTTCGGTCAATTGTGACCATTTCAGAGCCGGAAGGATGATAGGATATAGGGGGAGACATTGGTCTGGGCAGGCACCCTAGTGAGTCGCCGGGGCTGAGCCCGTCCAGAGGACAGGCCACCCAGCCCCAAGGCACTCACTGCACCCGGCTACGGGGTGCGCTCCCTCGGGAGCAGCGGTGCCGCTCCAAGGGAGCAGCCCGCATGAGATAAAGTTGCCTGTCCAGCCCGGAGGAGGGTTGCGGCGTGGAGGAGAGGGATTTCAGTGTCCTGAGGATAGAAGCACGGAACGATGACATGTTGCTCTTCCCCTAAAACTTAGATACTCAGCCACTCAGCCTATCGGAGTGCGTTCTATACGGATAAAGTTATCGGGATTGGTCCAAATCCTTTAAAACATTCCTAATAATGACATCCTCGACTAATTACCGAATACGTTCTACCCGTCCCACCACCGTTCACCTGTCAACCGACCCCGCCACACCCCTCCCTTTACTCACTGAGCCGTTTGCCGACGGTGATGGCCTCCTCTGGCGCGAGCGGCGGGCCGGCGCCCACCGCGTTCCGTGCCGACACGCGGAAGTTGTACTGCATGTTCTTCTTCAGGCCCGTGACGTCAATCCTGAGCGTTTCGCAGTCGGTGGTGCCCACCTGACGGTCGTAACGGCGTCGATAGTGTCAGAGATGAATTGGGTGGGTGCAGTAAAACGACGGTTTTAAAACACGCAGATAGGCTGCGAATGGAGTAGAAACGTTGGGTTGCATGGTCGTTTCGACACAAGTACATCCCTATACATTCGTTTCCGAACGCAATTATAAATAATTATAACTCCAACCTGTAACCATGGATGAGATAATAAGATAATAGTGTTATATCATCCATGCTGTAACAATGTGACGCATAGCGTTCAGGACCGCGGGTCAAATCCCGTAGAATCATACAGGGGTTTGGTCTCGTTTATGGTAGGCGGGGAACGTTGTTCGCCAATTATTGACATTTTGTGTAATGGGACATTTCTGAGGACACGCCCTTGAAGTCTGTTCAGCTGCACTACCAATATTTTTCGATGCGATAATGCCGAATACAGAGAATGTTATTAGTAACAGCAATCCACATGGTTAGGATTTGCCCACTTCGGCAGTTTCTGAGCACGTGGCGCGGAAAAGATTCATATACCTAACCAGTAACCAGCAAAAAGATAACAGACCTTTGAGTTTCCGCAAATCGGAATTAGATCAATTGAACATATCGTCGCATGTCTGATTTAGTTAGATAACAAGTGATTGTCCTATAATCAACGTCCATAAAAATTGTCAAAGGCTAATAAAATGCTGACAAGTTGACGCTAAGTAGTCAACATGTCAAAGCGCTCGTAATTAAATCCAGCTGCATAAAGTAGGTAAAGCGATCTGAGTCATCGGTTCCCATCGTCTGAAGATCGGTCGGACATTGCGAGTTTCCTTCCTGCAGTACCCGTGCTTTGCAAGTTGATTGAGTTATAATTATTTATAATTGCGTTCGTAAACGGACGTAGGTACTTGTAAAGGGATGTACTTGTGTCGAAACGACCATGCAACCCAACGGACTGACTTTAAGATGTCATTTGACTCACAACATGATGCAATATGCTGATTGAAGTTAAAGTGTGCCTTTGCGTGGCATACGCGAACCAACCGCATTGACCTTCACCGTCAAGCATGGCCTCTGATCCCATCTAGCTACATTGTCCGAGAGAAACCACTTTTTCACGCACCTTCTGCCAGGCCTTCTTTCCGACGTTTCTCCTCTCGACGAGGTACTCGACGATGGCGGCCCCGCCGTCCGACTCGGGCTCTTGCCAGCACAGGGTCAGAGATGTGTCACCCATGCTGGATACTTCGAACGGACCCACCGGAGCGGACGGCAGCGCTGCGAGTGGGGTGAGGTCAAAGGTCCAGTCAGATCAGAGGAGGTCAGATGTCAGTTATAAGTCAGTCATGTTTAGTCATGCCGATGAACTTAACATGAAATAAACACAACTCTTCAACTCGACAAATTCAAGTCAGACGACAGGTTTACGGTCAGGTCAAAAGTCAGATCATCTTTCCACCAAAAACCGCAGCCAAGTGTTTCAAAAAAGACCAGACGGCAGACATCCGGTGCTACGTACTAAACAATTACACATCTTTACCGGTGCATTGTTTTCATTAATCGGAACCGTTTAATGTCACTCAAAAACAATCCTTGATCGTTATCGTGGTATAATCTCAAACAACATACGATAATCTCAAGGAGAAAGGAAATGCTCCAACGGTCCGGTTCCCATCCATTGTGTGGCTCTATCCCTCCAAATACGGTGATACTGGCAACTAATCCAATAAATCGCCGTCTTTCTAGTACAATCTCGTACCGAATGGTTTCGTGACGACGACCGCCTCCGCTGTCTCGAGCGGCTCCGAGTTGCCGAACACGTTGAAGGCGTACACCCGGAAAAAGTACTCGTGTCCCTCCAGCAGGTCTTGTACGCAGTAACTGAGGATGTCGCCAACGATGTCGGCAACCTGGGGACAGCCGCAGGTCAGCCGTGGAGTTTGTTTTGTGGGTGGATCACTGACGGTACTAAATGTTACGCTAGTGAAACGAACTTTGTCTCATACAGTGTCATTATCAAAATAGCCCTTCGAACGATATTTTTTCTGGGTGTCCGTGGCATCTGATATGTGCCACACACGCAAACGATATGCTTCGTAACATTGTTCGATTCTTCCTCTTATAGCGTAGTTAGACAGCCAAGTTTCATCGAAATAAGTTCAAACAACTAACCACATCCACTATGCCCACCCCCTCGAGTGGTCAACTGCTCTCACTTTGGTCCACGTCTGTTTCTTGCTGTCGAACTTCTCGATGAAGTATCCGGCCACATCACACCCTCCGTCGTCGGCCGGGGGCTGCCAGTCGAGGGTCACCGACTCCTGGTCGGCCACCCGGGCCAGCAGGGGACCCTCCGGTCGGCTGGGTTTGTCTGCCGGGGCGCCGCACACACAGGGGGGTCAGTGGGACGCGGGAGGATGGTAGCAAGGGAGATGCTACAGATAGGGACATGAGAGTTTGGTGGTGTCTGGAATTTATTCCGTTAATATGCCTTCAAAATTGAAAGTAATAGGGTGCGATTGCTTAGCTTGGTGACAACTATAGCTACATAGACCTTCGAGAAGTTGTGTGCACAGTATCGAGCCGAACACTTTCTTAGAAATATTTCTTAGAAGTTATCATCGATTAATTTAAGGTATTATTTTAGTTGAACAGTGGAGTGCATAAAAAATGGCGAGTTATGCATTGTTGGTTACTGAGCGCCCGTACAAAACTTTGCGATGACTGTGATTTTATTTGTTGGCTAGGTTCACAACGGGTCGTATGTAGTCACTCGTGCCCAATGGTAAACAAGGATTGGTGTTCGAACGCACCATCGGCATTCATGAATAGAGCGTTTTTCCTACCACAGAGGACGCCTATAGCCCGCACACCAGCCGAACAGTCGGGCACAATAGCACAGTAGTTTCTACATCTATACGGATTGGTCAACCCTCACCGTCACCAGGCAAAAGCACATCGGACACATTGGTTTGACTCGGGTCTCACACAGTGTCAGAGATGAGGAAAGTCAGGAGCGCCTGTGAGCTTGTAAACTTGCAAGTTGCAAGATACGGAAAAGAAGAAATAGAAGAGGCCGAGAGAGAAGAGAGAAGAAGAATATAAAGAAGAAGAAAAAGAGGAATGAAAGACCAGATCGTCACATTATCACATGCTTTGTTGCGCCGCCACAGCTGCTTATTTATCACACATTTGGGTAGCATATTTGGCGGTCCACTTGATGCCTCAGGTGACTGCACAATGCACATTGACCAGTGAAAAAAATAGGAGTTGGTGCCTCTCGACAGTTCCGACTGGCCCAGGAGACGGGCGCATCGAGGAAGAGAGAAAATAGACAGAGAAAAGAAAGAAATAGAAAGAGAGTGGGAAAGAGAGGGGGAGAGGGGCGCGGTTCGGCGGAAGCTCCAGTCACTGGGGTGGGTGGACAGAGGTGACACGGTGCCTGCCGCACACTGGCACAGGCGGACCCATTTACCGATGCTCTCCAAACTACTGGATCGTGTTCGACTCATAGAGCGTCGACTGTAATCTAAACGGGCGAATACAACAGAATGTGTCAAAGAGAACGAAACGTCTGACGAAATAAACAAATTTAGAGGGTCGTAGTAAATACTTCTAATGCCTTTCAAACGGAAAAACAAAACAAAAAGGTAAATGGTTGGAGTCTTTGGGACCGATCGCAGAGCAGGATCAGTGAAATATCTAAGACATCTACGAACATCTACGACAGTCGACACCGTAACGAGTTCCGACAATTAACGACATTTCAAACTCTCGCGGAGAAAACTTTAAATGTAACGCAATCAATGGACACACAACAAAACCCACTGTTAAACAAAAAAGAAATAATGAAGTCAAAGTCAGGATATAAATATAATTAATTAAAAAGGTAAAATGTTTGAAGTTAAGATGTACTACTTTCACCAGTAGACGACCGACCAAACGATCAATACCCAGACAGAAAATCACTGATTTTTCATTTTCGAACAGCCCACACAACCACCAGCCGGCAGCGTCTCCACTCACCGAGTACCCGGAGTGTGAACTCCTCTGTGACCGTCCGCACGTCATTGGTGGCCACCAGTCGGTAGGGCGCCGAGTCGTCTCGCTCCAGCCGGCTGATGGTGATCTCTGTGCTGTCGGACTCTGTGCGCACCTCCAGCCGCTCAGAGGAGGTGATCAGCTGCTCGCCGCGGTACCACTGCAGCGAGGGGCGCGGGATGCCGCGGGCCCGCACCCTGACCGTCCAACTCGCTCCCACTGCCAGCCGCTGCTCCTTCAGAGCCGGCTCATACTCCAGAGACGGCGGCTCTGTGGAAGGGAGAAGGTGATTGCGACAGTTACACAGTTATAGTCGTGAATCGCCAAGGATGCCTTATTTATGGATAAATAATTGCATTAGCTGAAAATATGTCCAGAATAAGCAATGAATAAAATAATAAAATGAAAGTACCGTCGTTAACTGACTTTACCATCACTTCAAATCCGCAGAAAATACCATGGACACAGTTCACCCTAACACTCAACTACCCCCTATCTACCCATTCCGTAGAAAATGTCCCGTTGAGGCAGAAACAAGCATCCTCACCCTGGATCTGGACCATGCAGCTGGTCTCGACCTCGCCGGCCGAGTTGGAGGCGTAGCAGGTGTAGGTGCCGGCAGACTTCTCCGTGGTGTCCTCCAGGGTCAGCGTGGCCACGTGCTGGTCGTACTGAACCTTCCGGCTCTTCACCGGCTTACCATTACGCGTCCTGAACAGGAAGTGCACAGAAAAGAATTAGCGGAACGGCGAATAGTGGGTGGTAGAGAAGCGCTTGTTTTAATCGTTTATCGGAAGCGTTAAAGTGGGTTCGGAAGAAGAGCTACTAATGAAAGATGCTATGCTTTTAAGAGACTTTTGACAACGTATACAAACGATTATTGGATGTAGGCTACGTAAATCAGCACATTTAATGCAAGTACATCAAGTCACGAAACCCTTTCCCGACAAGAAACGGTTCGTCTGGACGCAATTTCACGTAAGTTGCAGAGTGTAGAGGAGAGTGACGACGCTTTCGTAAACGTACCACCGGATGTCTGGTTCCGGGACGCCGGTGATGACACAGCGGAGGGTGACCTTCTCGGCGAGTCCGGCCACCACATCCTTCAGGTCCTCCACCACGGTGGGCCGCTCCGGAGCGACCGGCTCTGCGGTGAACGGGTATCGTCGTCAGAGGTCAGTGACGCATGCATGGAGGTAACCGGTGTAGACGGATTGAGTTTTATCTACGTTATCTATAAATTTGAGTTACGTAGCTATGACTTCTGCTAATCACAAATCACCCAATCACGCATCTTTTCCGATATTTACATAGTGATTAAGTGGCTTCGTAATAAAATACGGCGTACATTAGGTAAAACACATTGTCGATCAATCGAAATACATTGAGTCGACTTAATAAGCAATACATCATACAACCACTGACTTTTGACTTTGATGAACTCGGACTCTTCTGACGGCTCGCTGGCGCCGATGTCGTTGAGGGCGTACACGCGGAAGCGGTACTCGGAGCTGGTCGTCAGGGAGGTCACCGTCCGGGTCGTCTCCTTGACGATCGTCGTCTCCTCGAACTTGGTCCACCTGCACCCGATACGCGAATTGGCGTCAGTGAATCGCTTATTTGTGCTGCGCATGTACCGCGGATACAAAGAGTATGGGTCGAAAGCCAATCATTTGGATAGAAGATGCATGATATATTTCCGAACTGTGTTTTGGAAAACATTTGTGAATCTATGGGTTGTCATCGGCTTCGGTACCCAATACTCATCCACTCATCGATGCGTGTTATGTCATGCTTCTTATGATCCTAGTCAACCCACATATGATGTAGTATTTAGTCGATGGATCGACTATAATAGTATATTCACTATTATAGTGCCGCTTCACTCACGTTTTCTGCTGTTTGAGCTGGTACTCGATGCAGTAGTTTGTGATTGGCGAGCAGCCGTCCGTCTGAGGCGGGGTCCAGTGCAGGGTGACAGAGTCGTCCGTGACCTGCACCGGCTCCGGACGACCCGGCTTCGACGGCGTCTCTGCGGGAGACGGGGCACCGGGTCAGAGGTCAGTTCGTGGGGTCACATTCAGGGTGTATGGGAAAACTTGAAAGATGTTTTGGGACAGCAAAAGACTAACGGTTTCTAAGGACGTAGACTAATCATATGCAGTGCTTGAAGATGGCGGACAGTTTCAACTTGGTTAACCACAGCGCTCCCTTTGAAATAGCAGAAAGAAACGACGAAAGCTTACCCATGATTTTGAGTGAGATGTTGATGAAGATGTCTCCGACCTCGTTGCCGAGTTTGAGCGTGTAGGTGCCGCAGTCGGAGTCTTCCACCTGCTTCACTGTGATACACGCCTCGGACTCGGTGATAGTCGGCAGGTACTGCAACAACGGCGTCACGTCAGGTCACATGCTGAACCACAGTTACACCAGGATCAACAGAAGGTGAAGGGCACTGGAGCTGAGACCCTGAAGCCCAGAGATCACATAATGGAGAAGCTAAAAGGCTAGGGATGCTCAATACTTGAGCCTTTGAAAAAAGTATCGATGACTCCTCAGGTGCCTGAGCAGCTAAACGTAAACACCTAATGGCAGACCTGGGTCTCACCTTTCTCGACTTTTTGATGGTCTTCCTGTTGTGGTGCCACTCGGCCTTGGGCGGCGGAGCGGCGCGGAATGGTACAGTTATCTTGATGTCCTCTCCTCTCCTCACTAGGTACTCCGTCTTCAGCTGGTCCTCGCGGATCTTCGGCTGCATTTGGACCACTGGGAACGAAGAAAATGCACATGTAGGACGAACATTTTTTACGTTTGAACACTTCAAGATTAAAAATTAATTTTGTCGTTCTTAAACTTTCAAAGAAATCAATAACATGTGAAGACCTTCCACACCTGGTGCTGTCACAATCCTACTGCAATACCCTTACAACGTTCCCGCGATGTTTCTCATCGATGTGAGCTAGTCGTTATAACACCGTCAGTCAACATTATCGTACCCCAGCTCTCACACACATCCATCGTCCCTCACCGGTAACCCTGAGTTTGCTGGTGCACTTGACGTTGCCGGCCGTGCACGTGATCTCGGTGCGATCGTCCGAGGACTGGACCTCCTTCAGCAGCAGGGTGCGCCGCGGACCGTCCACCAGGATCGTGCACGAGTCCGACTCCGTGACGGGCTCGCCGTTCTTCAGCCAGGTGACCGGTACGGAGGCGTCGCTCAGCTCTACGGTGAACGAGGCCGTGGTGTCCTTGGGCGCCTCCACCTTCTCCGGCAAACGCCCGATGAACTCCACCGTCGGCTCTGTGGTGAAATGGACGAAGGTCAGTGTGACATCAGGGGTGTGCACAAGTGCTCTTATTTGAATTTCATCGAGAGAACAATTTTAGAACAGTTCCAGAAACGCACGTCGTACACTCAACGTCTTAGTGAGGATTTCGGCTACCGAGGGCAATTACGAGGCCCTGTGTAGTTCTTTACCGCAGCCATAGTCAATAGCTATCTCCATAGTAAAATGACATTCTAATGTCATTTACTATGGAGATATGGCTGGAGTCCTACATTCGCAGATGAGTGTCTCTTTACCTTGGTGAGCGCCAGCCATAGACTATTGACTATGGCTGGAGATAGCCATAGTCAATAGCTTCATCTATCAAAGTCGGTAAACACAAGTATTGTAAACAGCCAGGCAACTTTTATGAAACGGCTATGCAGCAGGACACAGACCTTCCACGGTGAGATTGGCAGTGCAGGAGTCGCCTCCGATGCGACAGGTGTAGGTGCCGGCATCCTCAGAAGTCGCCTGGTACACCATCAGCCTCTGGCGCTTGCCGTCGATGCCCAGCTGGATGTGCTCAGAGAACTTGATCTCTTTGCCGTTGAAGAACCATTGCACCAACGCGTCACCCTACGAAGGTTATGGAAACAGCGTTACTGCGTAGTGCGTAGCCGTGATTTTGTTTGCGATACATTCGGGAAAAGGTAACGCTATAATCCTACTTCATGGATCCTGGCATGAATAATAGACATAATGCGTAAACACTAACCGAACAATACAGCCTGGCCCATGGATGCACCCGAAATTCATCGATACTCGTATAACAGAAAAAGTCCTACATACGCAGATGAGTGTCTCTTTACCTTGGTGAGCGCCACCTCGAAGATGGCCCGCTCGCCGCGGGTGACGGTGGTGTCGGTCATCTTCTTGGTGAGCACCGGGGGCAGTTCGACGACTGTCACCTCGCAGGTACACTCCTGGTCGTCGAGCGAGCACGTGTACTCGCCCTCCTCGTGTACCGTCGCGGAGCGCAGCACCAGTCGGCGCGACACGCCCTCGGCGATAAACTGTGGGGCAAAGTGAGAGAAGATGGTGTCAACTCGTGGATCGGACGATAAGAAGTTGCAAGCTATGCTTCTAGCTTCCTGTAAGTTTTCAATTTCATCGGGCCTCACTTCCACATTGCTACAATATATAATGTTATGGATTATGTTAGCTACGTTTATGATTAACAAGAGTTACGAACGAAAAAGAATTAGGGAACTGTAAGCCGACTAGAAGTTGAAGGAAACGCCAACATCCTTCGCTTTTCGTCTTTGCCATGGGTAAATCACCCTTGGTAAGATCTGTCGACCCCGACCTCGCACTGACCTCGTACTGTCCGTTGTCCTCGCTGATGGCGGCGCCGTCCTTGTGCCAGACGACCCTGGCAGTGGGTGAACTGACGGTGACGCTGATAGCCGCCGTCTCCTGCTCCTTCACCTCGATGTCGGTCAGCTTCTCCACAAAGAACGGGCCGCCCTCTGCGCGAGAAAATGAACACGGTGGAGGTAAACCGGAAGGACGGAGCCTTTGGTAGTGTTTGGCATAGCTCAACATGGCAATAAAATAAGAACAAAAAATGATATGACGTTTTTATTCTTATTTATTGACTGACCTTTGACGTTGACCTTGCACTGGGTCTCGGCGCCGTCCGTGCTGCACGTGTACTCTCCGGCGTCCGCCATCACCACGTCGTGCACGATCAGACGGTGCGTCTTGCCCACGTGTGTGATCTGAAAAAGAGGATATTACCGACGTGAGTAAAAGCCCACAACTTCTCGAACCGGTGCAAGACATCTGTGTGTTGTCTTTAACGTTTTGCACTGACTTATCACCAACCCGAGGAGAAGCACATGCTGTCAAGCTCACCTCGTATCTGTCCGACTCCTTGATGACCTTCTTGCCACGCTTCCACGTGACCTTGACCTCTTGTGACGTCTGACACTCGAGGGCGACCGTTGACCGTTCCTCGACGTCAAAGTCCTCCAGGTCTTTCACGAATCTCCTGCCAAGCCAGCCACCGATATCGGTTAAAACGATGACAGAAGCTGCTTCACACAAAACCCACAAGTAACCTTCTTAAATAAAACATACATGTAAGCCTCGTAGCCTCGATTCTCCCCCAAACTTACACGACGTCGGCGTCGATGTCGACCTGGGCCTGGTGCGTGGCCTTGCCGTTCTGGTTGACGGCCACGCACTTGTACTCGCCGGCGTCCTTCTCCACGCGGCTCTCGTGCACCTCCAGAGTGGTCTCCTCGCCCACGTGCGTGATGGACGTCGTCTTGCCCGACTTCAGCTTCTTGCCGTTCCTGGGGATGTTCGACAGGGGCATTTGCGTTAATAAAAATGCAGTGTCGTGGCTGAGTGATATACGTTTCCTTGACTTATTAGATTAACTATAAATGGTACTGCCATACTTGGAAGTTGGAACCCTATGACACTTGCTATAAGACGTAGTACTTTGTGGATGAGATATCCGATACCGTCTGTAAATTTTACTAAGCACCGTTATTTCGGTGTCTGCTATATTTTTCCGTCACAAACTTCAGAGTCATGACACTGACCTGTACCAAGTGACCTCGGGACGCGGGTTGCCGACCACCTTGGCCGTCAGCCGGATCGGCTTCTTCTCGGCCACACGGACGTCGGTGAAACGCTCGATGAACATGGGTGGCTCCAGCTGAGACTCTGTGGATCGGACAGAAATGAGGCGTGTAAGCTTGATAGACATTGTGAAAACGATAGATGGTCACGAGACGTATTTAAAAAAGAAAGTATTTATATAAAGCGCATCAATGCAGATTAGCACGTTGCAATGTTTCCCATTCAAACTGTTTTTGTGTTTAATGTTTATGTCCACTGTTTAATACCAAAGGCCGAAAGCCTCAAGTCCGTAAATGCCACGAAGGAGTGATCGGATAGAGCTTTCAGCCGCCTGACCACTGACCTTGCACCACGAGCGTGGCGGTCGTCTTGGCGGAGCCGGCGGCGTTCTCTGCAAGCAGGGTGTACTCTCCGGCGTCGCTGCGGTGCGAGCGCGGGATGTGCAGCGAGTACACGTCGCCCTCCTGGGTCACCGTCACATCGCTGTTGGCCAGCATCTCGGGCGTCAGCGGGTGTTTCCCAGTGAACCAGGTGGCACGCGGCTGCGGCTTTCCGCTGATCCGCGCCACGAACGTCGCGCGCGCGTTCTCGGTGACGACGAGCGGCTGCAGCGGCTGCACGAGCTCGGGCGGCTGCTTCTCGCCGCGTGGCTCCACGGCCAGAGTGATGGTGTTGGCCGACTCGCCCTCCCGGTTGATGGCGACGATCTCGTACAGACCCTCGTCCTTGGTCTTGGCGCCGCGGATGCGGATGAAGTGGCAGTACATGTGCATGTCGCTCTGAGTGGTGATGGTGACCCGCTTGGACTCCTTGACGGGCCGGCCGTTGAGGAGCCACTGGACCTCCGGCTCGGGCACGGCCACCAGACGGCACTCCAGCTCGACGTCGTCGCCCTCCTGGACGGTGCGAGTCTTGGGGCGCTGGCTGAACGTGGGCGGGATGCCCTCGAGGATGTCACAGAGCGACGACTCCCTGGGGAGCAAAAGTGGGAGATGATAATGGGATCGACTTGCGACGTTGCGTGCATACTGGTCGGCATAGCTTGAACAGATGACCCACTGACTCTTGGGATGATCAAAATGATTATTTCTTTCGCCTTTCGCATTGACACTAATCACGACAGATATTCTTTCTCATGAAATAGCGCACTAGTGCCACGCTACACTACTGCGATTAACGATACCTACCGTATTACTCGACGAACACTAGCAAATATGAATCCAGGGTGGCCAGGTAAAAAGTATCGATGCGGTTCCGTATGCTTCTCTCCCCAGTCATATCCTCGCAGTGATGCTGCACAAAGTGGTAGTATGAAAGCCGGGCCCACCTGCTGAGACTGCGGCGGCTGGTGAGGGTGACGTCCGATCCGTGATCGGAGAGCGGCGCCTCCACCACCAGGTCCGCAGAGCAGCTGCTGAAGCCGGCCTCGTTCTTGGCCACGCATGTGAACGTGCCGGCGTCCTCGGGGAACACCTCCTTGATGATAAGCGTGGCCACGTTGTCGTCGTCGTAGAACATCTGGATGGAGATGTGGAAAGTCAGAGCGGGAGCGATCCAGCCAGCCAACGTAGGTATTACTCACCGAGGCTTTTTTGAATCATTCAATTGAAAACGAAACATACAACGGAATCCGGTGACGTAAATTCAGTAGTGACAACAAATGCCTAGTGGTGGCTGTGCACGATATTTCGAATTGTGCACAAGCCCACGGTGTTCTCTGCCGTCACCTCCACGTATGTACCTGGAAGTCGGTGGAGGGTTTAATGATGGCGGTCTGGCGGAACCAGGTGATGGTAGGCCTGGGCTCGCCCTCGACCCGACACTCGAGCTGCACCACCGCGCCGTCCACCACGTTCACCGGCTGCAGCTTCTCCGTGAAGCGAGGCGCCTTCGACTTCTGGCCCGTCTTGGGCGCTGAGAACAAACACGTAGGAGTTTGTTAAATGAGGATTATAGCGAATGTACGTCGGGCAAAGACCATTGTAAAAATCACGGCAATGCGATCAGGATGCCTATCATGTCACGAGATGTCGGGGCACAAGATGCAATCAATACCTACCTAATGGAGCAACATGAGGCAAACTGACTTGACTTCAAGGGTGTTTGTTCAGGGTGACAGCGTGAAATGAGTTTCTGATCCTCTCACAGTCACAATAGTCTGCGACCATCTTCATTTAGGCTACTACCGATCGGCTAGCAAATGAAGCGAGGTATTTTTCCTTTTTGTAGTGCTCTGTGCTAGCAATGCGACTACATGATGCAGCAATGCAGCTTGCTGCTTGCAAAACAAATTACAATACCGAAAAGTAATACCTGAAGCCGAGTGTAACTCAAAGAGGGCTTCTCAATAGCCAAAACACATTTATGTTTATTTAGAGATGCTTGCAGAGCTGTTTTTACTTTTTGCAGCTTTTTAGCAACTGTCCACCTGGCGGCCGAAACACATAACAAAAACAAAAATAAACAAGCCTGCGGCAGTTCGCGAGCCACGTGGGTCGGGTGTGAGTGTCTCAGTCTTCCGGCTGGTGATAAACGTTTGTGGTGACTGACATTTTGAATGTGAAGAAGATCGTGAAAGTATTGTGTCGGTTGTATGTGATGTCAAGATTGCTGGTGGCAATTGATCGCACAGCCGAAAATGGGAGTGTTTTCTTTCTTCCGGAAAACTAGGTGAGTGGGGCGCGGAGACACTCTTCCGCCGCTAGTAATATTTTGGCCGAAGGTTGGAGGGTGGTTGGAGGGATGATAGCTGTTCACACGGATCCGGTTTCCGATAACAAGCTCGTTTCGCGCTATTTTTTTCTTTCAGTTGGAGCCCATTGCCGCTTACCATACGCTGCAATGTGCATTGTCTGCCTTGTGCCTGTGGAGAGTATCTATTTGATTGCAATTTTATCCAGCTAGCGTATATTGAGTGAAATAACTTTTTTCTCTGGAATATGTCCACCTGGTGGCGCAGTCGGTTAAGGCGTCGACCCGCGGTGCGGGCGGTGCCGGATTCGGGTTCGATTCCCGGTTCCGCCCGTTCCGCGGGCGTCGTCCCCGGCTGTGCGGGTGTGGGGTAGGCTCCCACTTCAGCCGTAGCCTGGGGGGTAGGGTATAGTGGCCGGGAGGAGATGGAGCCCTCCTATAATTGGGACAACACAAGAGCCCGTTGGAGGGAGGCCTGAATAAAAAAAAAAAAATATGACGGTGGTTCATCAATCGCCCGTTTTTTTTTTGTTCTCTGGGAAATCCCCGTGTAGTGCAGTGGCGGCGGAACACCTGCAATTAAGGGGGGGGGGGGCGGGGCACTGTCGACTTTTGGTCCCATTCTTTCCATGCAACGCCGATAGGGCTAACGTTAAAATGCCAAAATCAAAGGGGGGCACGGTGCCCCGGTGCCTCCCCCCGTTCCGCTGCGGCTGCCTCAGTCTATGGTGTAATGAATGGCCTATTTAGGTACCTTCCGGCCGGGGCCCGCTTATATTTGAGGATCCAGGTATGTACATAGTACATACCCACATATACCCATGTACCTAGGTATTGGATTGAGTGGGGTGGACGCATGCCCTCCAAATGGTGTCCAAATCGTAAAAAGTGTTCGGAGTTAGCTTCCCATGATTTGCAGTCATATTCACATATTTTTTTTTCTTTTTTGCAAGGTGTAATTTCATAAGTTTCTTGTCTGTGGGAAGGAAACTGTAACATTTTTATCAATTTTGGACGCTTACACGGGGGGGGGGGGGGGGGGGGGGCATATGCCTCTGATGCCCATCCCGCACCCGCCAGTGTCAGCCCGTCCTGCTTCATGTCGGTGCTATATGGTGCAGTGACTGAGGTAGAAGCGGAAACAGGGAAACAGGCTGGTACCTATATATTTTCCACTTCCACTGTACTTTGCTTTGTGAATAGCTAGATAATTACGGAGCGCACGGGCGTAGGAACGTCACGAAAAGTGGGTGGGCCACCCTGTCAAGGGGCCTCCTTTTCCAGGGGGCCTCCTATTTTCAGGGGCCTCCAACTTTTGCCTCGTCCTGCTGGCTGCTTTCAAGTATGACCAAATCTAGCTTCTGAGATCGGGCAGATGTACCCAGGGGCGTAACCGCTTAAGCGAACAGCGCGGAAAGTCCGCACCATTTTTAAAATTTATTCCCCCTCCGATTTTTTTTAGAATCTATTTGCCGCAAACAGCGCATGACCCCTGAAAACCCTTACACAAATGTCTTCCTCGTTTCCCAGGTGCCCCCATTAGCTTCATAGGCGCCCTCTTTGGCAATAAGCGCCCTATGTAGGTATAGTCATCAGAGACATCCCTATTATATGTCTCACAGTCGCCCCGTTGTCGCATACATTGTGCGCTTATCATAGGCGTCTCTCTTTTATGGACACTTGAAGGCGCCTCTCTTTGCCATGCCGGCGCCCCTGTTTCTTATGAATACACCCCCCATGGCATTGATCAATTGCAGTCTGCAGACCTCTATTGCATGTGGACGCCCATATATGTAGGCCTCAGAGGCACCCCTCTTTCGCATTGAGGCGCCCCTAGGGGCTTCATAGGCGCCCCTCTATTGCACATAGGTGCCCTACTGTCTCAGAATCGCTCCCCTTTGGCATGCAGACGCCCATCTTTCGACGGAGGAGCCGCTGTGGTTCTTAGAGACGGCATGTTGCTCCCAGACGCAGATGGGGCTCTCGGAGTCGACAGTGTCGGACCTTCAGTCGCTGATGGGTGCCCGCCAGATGTGGACCCTCGGAAACGCCGCTATGGGGCCCTCAGAGATGCCGGTATTTTGGCCCTTAGAGACACCGGTGTGGAACCCTCAGATACTTCAGTGTGAAGCCCTTACAATTGCTGGTGTGGAGCTATGAATGCGCTGGCTTAAATCCCTCAGAGGCCGGTACATGGACATTAGAGCTCAGTGAGAGCTTGTGTGGTGCCTTCAGTGGCCTTGTGGAGCCGTTAGACATCAACATGGTACTCTCAGGAGCCGGTAAGTCCTCAGAGCCACCGGTGTGGGGCCTTCAGAGCTCCGAGATACTGGTGTGGGGCCCTCAGAGGTGTCGGTGTGGGTCCTTCAGATGTACATACCTATATACAGGGTGGGGCAGCATAATCGGGAATAAATATCAAACGGGATTATTTGGTCATGAATTTAAAAATATAGCTCCAAGCACTATTTTAACAACATCCCATCAATCGGTCACCTTTTACCTATCCCTCATCCTATTTGACCGCCCTTCGCGTCGATGACCTTCTCAAGGCGGGTCCAAAAGCACGCGCATGCACGTGCAGCCTCCTGCTTGTCCATGATCGCCCATCAGCTTCGTACCTTGCACTGAAGACCGTTTTTACTGATGATAAGTTGTTCATTAAACTTCTACCAAAAAACGCTCCATATAAAGAATTTGGTCGGATTTAAATCGGCGGAGTTGAAGGACCAGAAGTTTTTGGTTCATCTCAGGTGGAGGTGCCCTACACAATAACATGTCGTCCTCACTGCAGTACCAGCACGGACAGAGTCCTCGTAAGACGTGATCTGGACCGTCAGTGATCCTCTCTTCCGACGACTCCACGTGAGTCTGCCAGAGTGTGGATGTATTTACCAGAGGTGCTCGTTTTATCCGGGCTCGATGAAGTAGGGTGCACCACGTGCACCTCCCTTGAAGACCACCCATAGGTCCATCACCTCAACAGGATGTTTACTTTGCATGACCGCTGCAATATTCTCGATACAATCCCCTATATGGCATGCCATTCTTTTTTATCGTATTCCAGTCGGTGATAAGATTTTTGGTCGCTGAAGTTTTGAACATTGTTTCTTTTTAATATGCTCAAGAGCTTCTTCCTTATATTCAAGTGAGTCATCTTGTATGTCCTCTGCTAAGAGTTATTTTACGACGATTACGTTAACTTTTTGTCCTAAGTATCCCCACACAATCCTTATCGTCCGTGATAACACGTTGACCTGTCCAGCAACCTTTACGTGGAATGGCATTGTTTTAAACAAAATGTTCTTGTTTTACTCGTTTAACATTAGTGTCTATGGCCTATGGGCGCGCGCAAAGCACTTGGAGCACCGTCGAACTATTTTGCTGCTCTTTTCCAGGAAGTTGCATGCTCATGGATGTAGTCATGTCAGATGATGCACAACTTTTGGGCGTTTCATTGCCATGATATAATTTATCAAAATAATGCCATGCCTACTCATGACCAGAGCCCAAAAAGCATTCCCGATTATGCTGCCCCACCCTGTAGAGCCTTGAGGCTTGAGATGCACAGGTGTGGTGGCCCACAGAGGCACCGGTGTGGGCCCCCAGAGCCACCGATATAGGGCCCTAAGAGACACTAGTATGACCCTCAAAGGCGCCGCTGTGTGGCGCTCATAAACACTGGTGTGGAGCCATCACAGGCGGGTTGAGCCGTTAGAGGCCGGAAAGGGCCCTTAGATGCCTACAAGGAGCCTTCAGAAGCCGGCGTGGCACCCTTATGGGGATAAGCGTGTCTACTTAGGAGCCCTTGAGGTGCTCTCATGAGCTCTGTGGGGCCCTACCGAGCCGAAATATGGCCACGGCCAGTTGCCGCCGCATGGCTCTTCGGACTATCATTCTCAGGGGCCTCATCTGCCTAGTTTGAATAGAAGGGCCTCTCAGACAATCAGTTCATTCGTTCGTTCATTGGGGTTTACGGGCGCGTCGACTGCGGTGGTCATTTTGCGCCCATAACGCTGTACTGGTAAAGCGGATATGTCAACAGAGAACTGACGAACTGAAGAAGACTAGAACTACTTGAGATACGTTATACTAGTAAAACGAGTATATCACAGGAAAACTGATGGATTGAATATAAGAAAAGATGCTGCCGGATAAAACCCAGGGTGAGTCATCACCCAGCAGGTGGCGAATGGTGGTGCCTGGGGCAATGCGGCCGAGGCAGCGTGTCCGGTTTGGTTCGAGGTGCGGGCAACTTAAGAGAATGTGAGTGACTGTGAGCGGCACGGCACAATGGCTACATGTTGGTTGAGCATCTCCACGGAGGAGATAGCCATGCGTTGCATACGTATGCCCTATCCGTAGTCTGCAGAGGACCACTTCATGGTGTCTTTTGCCTTGAAAGCAGGACTGCCAGGGCTCCAGAGTAGGTTTCACCTTTCGTAGCTTCTCGGATCCATGGAGACGCCACTCTGTCTGCCAGCTAAACGTCGTAAAAGATCGAACGGCTGGGTAAAAATCGCGAGCCGGCAGAGGCAAACGACGGAGGCAGGGGGCCGCGGCCGCGCGTCTTGCGGCCGCGTCGGCAAGCTCGTTGCCTCTTATGCCCACATGGCTCGGTATCCAGCAGAACTGGATGAATTTACCTGCTCGTTCCACCGACGTAAGACGAGATAAAATGTCTTGTACTATCGGGTTGTCTGGATTAAAACTCCGTAAAGATAAGAGGCTGCTGAGGGAGTCTGACAAGATCAGATAGCAGGAGCTGTCAGACACCTCGATAAAACACAAAGCCTCCTCAATTGCAACGAGCTCGGAAGAAAAAACAGAGGCAGAAGTTGGCAAAGAGAATGTGCGTGTGTCATGACCAGTCACAAAAGCGCAGCCGACACCATGTTCTGTTTTCGAGCCGTCTGTAAAAACCGAGGTAAAACCATCATATGAGGCAATGTGTTCCAGCGCCCGTGCTCGTAGTGTGCATGGCGGCTGATCGTCCTTCCTGATGTCTGTCAGTAAAAGATCGATTCGTGGATACGCATTTCTCCAGGGCGGCGAGGGCGCGCCCCACGTGCGCCTCACGCCGCGAAGAGAAATGTTTGCTTTTGAGAAGAGAGCTTGCATACGTCCACCGAAGGAAGTCGATCGACCAGCCACTCTGTCAGACCGACTGATCTCTCGCGAGAAGACATACGGGTATGCCGGGTGCGAGGGAAATTGACGAAGTTTTAAAACATACCGCATGCCCAACATCTGGCGACGGAGAGATAACGGTGGCTCGTGAGCCTCAGCCAGAACGCTGCTTGTTGGCGAAGTACGGAAAGCACCCGTAGCAACGCGAAGTGAGGCATGGTGAATGGTGTCAAGCATTTTCTTACGCGACTTGCTGGCGCTGTCATAAATGAAACTTGCGTAGTCGAGCTTTGAACGTACCAGAGAGCGGTAGAGTAAAAGCAAGGTTCGTCGGTCAGCTCCATACGACGTACGTGATACACATTTTAAAATATTTAGAGTTTTAAAACATCTCTCACGAAGAGTTTTAAAATGCTCGTTGTACGTCAGACGTCTGTGCAAAACAACACCAAGAAACTTTGCAACCGGCTGCGTGGGGATATTTCGCCCGTAGAGGCGGATTCCAAGATCAGGATCGTGGCAGCGGCGACGGCAAAAGTGAACAGCCACAGTCTTTGAAGTTGAGAACTTAAGGCCATTATCCTTGCTCCACTTTTCTAAACGCGTCACAGCAAGCTGAAGTTGTCGTGACGTGTGCCGCGCACTTGAGGCGGAGAACCATACCGCCAAATCGTCGACAAAAAGGGATCTCCCTATAGCCGTTGGGAGTCTGTCGCCAATGTCATTAATCATGATAGCAAAAAGTGCCACACTCAAGACGTCTCCCTGTGGAATACCATTCTCCTGAAGGTGGGAGCTGGACAAGTGGTTTCCAACCCTGACACGAAAGGTGCGATAAGATAAAAAGTTGCAAATGAAAAAGCCCATACAGCCACGGATACCATAGCTGAGAAGCTTCCTCAAGATGATCTGCCGTAAAACTGTGTCGTAAGCAGCCTCAATATAAAAAAGATAGCCCCAAGGTGTTTCTTTTCGGTAAAAGCGGTCCTCACTTCGGTGTCAAGAGCTAAGATATGGTCAACTGAACTGCGGTGTTTCCTGAAACCACACTGCGCGTCCGTAAAAATGTCGTTATGTTCCAGAAACCAACTCAAGCGAGCATTCACCATCTTCTCCATCAACTTGCAAAGAGCAGAGGTCAATGAGATAGGACGGTAGTGAAGTGGGTCAAGTCCCGACTCGCCAGGCTTTAAAATGGGGATCACCGTGGCCTCTTGCCATGCTGCAGGAAACAAACCGCTCTCCCATAGCGAGTTAAATATCGCTAACAGTGTTTCCAGGGCGCTAGAAGGAAGGTGCTTCAACATGGAGTTGTGAATGGCGTCTGGGCCCTCGGCGACACTTCGAAGCGAGGATATGGCGTGCTTCAGTTCAGTCATTGTAAAAGGCTCGTTATATTCTATATGTTCGTCAGTGGAAAAATCCGCCAAGCCAAGCTGGGGTCGGGCTCGCCCTAGTGCGGGCTGCGAGGGAGCGTCACCCCGGCAGCGCTCTGAGAGTGTTCTAGCTATAGCCTCCGCGACATCAAAAGGATGTATTATATCAGAGTTGTTCACCCTCAGAGTCGGGAGTTCAGACAATCAGTATCATGGGCCTCCTCTAGCTAGTATAAATAGAAGAGCCTGTTAGATCATCAATCCTAGGGGCCTCTTCTGGTTAGTATAAATAGAAGAGCCTCTCAGACCATTAATCTCAGGGGGCTCCTGTGGACAGTATAAATAAAAGGGCCTCTCAGACCATCAGTCTCGGGGGCCTCCCTAGAAAAGTGTAAATGTGGATAGAGGGCCCCTCAGATTCATTAGGAGTGGACCTCTCTGACTATCAGTCTCAGGGGCCTCTTGTGGCCAGTATGAATATAAGAGCCTCTCAGACCATCGGTCTCAGGGGCCTCTTCTGACTAGTTTGGATAGAGGGCCCTCCCAGACCACCGGTTTCAGGGGCCTCCAGTGGCCATTTATATGAACAGAAGGGCCTCACAGCCATCAGCCTCGGGGGCCTCTTCTGACTGGTGTAAATATGAGGGCCTCTCATACCATCAGTCTCAGGGGCCTCCTCTGCCTAGTGTGAATATAAGGGCTTCCCAGGCCATCAGTCTCAGGGGACTCTTCTGACTGGTGCCGGATTGAGGGACCTCCCAGACCGAAAGTTTTGGGGGTCTCCTGTGGCCAGTATGAATAGAAGGGCCTCTCAGTCCATCAGTCGCATGGGCCTCTTCTGCCTGGTGTGATTATAAGGGCCTCTCAGGTCATCAGTCTCAGGGGCCTCCTCTGACTACAGTGTAGATGGATAGGCCTCCCAGACCATCAGTCTCAGGGGCCTCTTCTGACTATTGAGGATAGAGGGGCCTCCTCTGACTAGTGAGGGTAGGGGGCCTCGGCTAGACCGCCAGTGTCAGGGGCCTATTCTGACTAGTGTGGATGGAGGGGCCTCCCAGACCACCAGTCTCAGACCTCTGACTAGTGTGGATAGAGGGGCTTCCCAGACCGCCAGTGTCAGGGGCCTCCCCAGACCAGTGTGGATATTGGGGCCTCCTCAGATCCACTAGGGCCTCTCAGACCATCAGTCTCAGGGGCTTCGACTGACAGGTATGAACAGAGGGCCTCCTTGGATCCATCACGGCCCCTTGGAGTCCGTGCGTGGGGATTCGTGGAACTTATTTTTACCGAGTTTGTTTATTCTGGAGCGTGACGACGTCCTCTCAAATCGAGACGAGGGGCCTCGAGTAAAAAGTGGGTGGGCCAAAACACATGGTTGGCCCCCCCACCTCGAAAAGTGGGTGGGCACTTGCCCACCTGGCCCCCCCCCTGTTCCTACGCCTATGACGGAGCGAGCGAAGCGAGCGGAGTCTCATACTGAATTAAGGGAAAATCCTGAGTATGAGCGGCCGGCCGGCCGGCCGGCCGGCCACCCAACTTGATCATCTTGATGTCTTGCTCTTCAAAAGCTAATATCTTAGGAACGGGACATCCGATTGACAAGCGGTCTTCTTATGTCACTTGGACGTAAAAGTTCTGTGGTGTGATGGCCACCATGCGTTCTTGCCAACCACCGCACGTGGCGCGTGGTAAAGTTGGACATTTTTTAAGAACCCCCAAAATTGCAACCTCAATAACGGCACAGCGGTTGGGCCGATTGAATTGAAACTCGGTACACAGTTAGGTCTCCATCAGATAATTCATCTGCATGTTTTAAGGTTGGGGTGCTACAGCACGTGTGCACGTGCAGGGGGCGCTCCCAGATCTTGAGAACGGCTGGGCCGATTGCGCTCAAATTTGGTACACGGTTGGGGACCAGTTAGTAGGGTGCCGTGCAAAAGTCAGTTTGGACCCCGCTTGCACGTGCGCACGTGCAGTGTGCCGCTTCCAGATCTCGAGAACGGCTAGGCCGATTGCGCTGAAATTTGGCACATCGCTAAAGACCGGTTAGTAGGGTGCAGTGCACAAGCTAGTTGGAGGTACCCCCTCGCAATTTCGCACGTGCAAGGCCCATCCTCTCGCTCGCTCCGTTGGTCGCCCAAAACAAGGCGCCCAAAAGGCGTTTTACTGGTAGATATGGTAAGACAAAAAATAGCTGCAGAAGAACGGACACCCGGCTTACCTTCGAAGACGGGCAGTTTTCCGATCTTCTCGCTCAGTTTGCGCTGCACGTAGTGGTTGTACTCGTCCTCGTTCTTGAGGTACGAGGCGGGTACCCAGCCGGCCTCTTCGGTCAGGTGTTTGCGCACGAACCACCAGTCGCTGTTGTGGCTCTCTGCCAACGTGTTTAGGAGGGTCGTCAGTGGTTGGCTTTTTATCAGGCATAGTGATGTCTGGTGAACGGGGATTTCAATGTTGAGCGATGAACTTTTCTTGGGGGTATTTTTACGGTTTGTTCGGTGTACGAAAAATTAATTATGGCGTGTCATTTGACATATATGAACATTTAGCCCTCAGCAAACTTAAACTTCGGTTCTTACGCAGATGCACCCCAACATGATCATCTTGATGTCTTGTTTTCACCATTCCCTAATGCCAGACAATCTCTGCAGCCACATAGACCTCTCCACACGCACTGTGCGACTCGTAAGTCGCACGATAACGAAGACACTCACATAGCCTAAGCACCGACTGGCTGGCACTGAGCTGCGAGTGAATGCCGCTCCCTCCCGCACCCACTTCCCTTTCTATGAACAGTGACCACCCCCAACGTACCCGCTCTCCCTATGAACACCCCTCACACGTCCGCTTCCTTCTATGGGCTCTCTCCCCCCCACGCACCCGCTCCCATTTCTATCGCGCCATTTCTGTTGCCGGCTTTCTACCGCGCCGATTCCGTTACCGGCACACTTACCGAGGATGTAGACGCGTTCTCCCTCCACCAGGTGCATAGTCTCGTCCGACTCGGCCACATAGGTGGACACCGCGTAGAAGGTGTCACCCTCGGTCACCTCGAGGGCTGTCGTCTCCTCAGCCACTGGCGACGCAGGCGCTCAGGTCACGACCTTTCCCAGGTCGCCGGTAGGGGTCACTATAGACGTTATATCGTGGCGCGATTGTGATTCTGTTGCTAAAATGCCAATAATAAGATGCATAAGTTATCGATTACATGGGGTACGACTGTTTCGACTAAAAAACTATCTTGTGGTTTTGACTGGGTGAGAAATATCGGGCATGGAGGTATGCCAATCGACCACTTTATTTAGCGCGACCGATCACACGGGGTATTTTCCAGCTCGAACTCTTCTGGGATACAGCAAAGACTTAATCAGCACCGTCAATCGCTGAAATAGGTTTTGTCAGACCGAAATGGCAAAAAAAAAACAACAACAACTGAAAAAAGGATAGATAGCTGTGAAAGAATTCCTGGTAAGATGCTCAATGCTGAACGCTACCAAATGTTTCCAATGGATGATATACATTACATGAGGAGTGGGACAGGGACACAATATAAAACGAGGAGTACACAAGGCATTACTCGTTGAGAGTAGGTCAATGGAATAATTTCGCATTCACCTAATAGACTTCACGATATTGAATGCAATGGAGCAATCATGCAAACCATCATGATGCAACGTCAGCAAGGCATAGGGGACAGTTTCGAGCCACAGAATGAAGATAAGTCTGATACCCACCTATTATCTAGTGTAAATGATTTTAAGTGTGATCATTTCACGGCAGAACATTTTGCATTCTTGGAACAGGACACCAACAGATGGCAGACAGGGTTGACAATACAGATTGACACAGATTACACTATCATTCAAAAGAGGCCATCTTCACCTAAACAAAATTTGTGGATCAGTGAATATGACAGCACGATGGATTTGTGCGCGCAGATACTGGCAGACACAAATCTTCAGCCAGGGGTCGATGCTCTTGTGCCTTGCGCATACCTCATGCTGTGTCCATGTCATTTATAAAAAAGATTAATATTATTGCATGCTATTCATCAATGATGCAATATAGATGCAATTTACCTTCTGTTACAAATTCTGTTGTGTGCCTATGCTCAGTAAGCACAATATCGGCTGTAAAATATCACAAGGACGAAACACAGTGAGGGAGGTCAGTGCACCAGAAAGCGAAAAAAATCACGAAAGCGCAATTAACAACACATTAGCTTCTCTAGGGGATGATCTTTCGGTAACCTATTGGTCCGGATTTATGTTTAAACACAACTTGGTTGATGGTGACTGCCAGGAAACATGTCAACTATGACCTCTTTTAGTATCTGAGTCAGGTTGGAGTAATGTTTCGAAATGCAAAATAAGAACTGAGTTAATTTTAACGGTTTATTTGTTACCAATGCTTTATAAATCGTGAGCCACTGCAATCTAAGGTGTGATGAAAATCTTACGGGCAATGAATATCACGTATTTTCGATCAAATGAAGTAGATTGAACTGCCACAAAGACACCGGGACATCCTACATACACGTTAATATCAAGCACTTGTGCATCCTTCGCTACCTATACAAAAGACATCGGAAACAAAACGAAATAAAACAAAACAAAGGGGCAAACAAAGGGGTGCTTAACGCGGTGGAATATGAAGAAGGCGACGGTATTTATAATTTACATATCTGAACCACAATACATGACATTGCCTGATCTCATTAGTCTTCTACCCATTGAGAAGCGGCTATTTGAATTCTTGGTAGACCTGCTCGAGCTCCTATGATATCTATGAAGTAGAAAAGGTACCTGCAATTGCTAATGATGAGTTAAGGAATTATCATATGAAACAGATCTTATAAGAAACCGTTCATATTGTTATAAGCACATGCTATGCTCTAGTGTGAAAAATCCAACGACCGTAGAAGATGGATCTTCTGATGAAAATTAATACGGTAAAACATCAGTTGAAACAATGTGCATTTGCCACTAATCGCTAACCATTTTCACGGACTATCAGCATTTGTGACACCATTTCGCTAGCTTACAGATAGATGATCCAGAGGCAGACCGTACTCTTAATTTGAGACCGTCCATTCTCAGCTCCCATTTGGCATAGCTGCACGGACTCAAGTTAACACAATGGAATATTCAACTCAATTTTGTATGTATGTATGTATGTATGTATTGACGATCAAGAGCAATCCACAATCGGCGTGGCGATTACACTTTTGAGCCTCTCAAACAGCAGAGCTTGGGTCACTATGACCAGATTAATGTTGCAATGCATGGGATTGGTTGCTACCAAGTTCCTAACATACCTACCTAACGAACCTTTGAACGAACCTACGAATGAACATACGCTGTTACGAACTCCGTCTAGTTTCACTTTACATATATGGCCACGAACAGCCTCGGTTAAAGTGAAAGTAATATTCAGGGTGAAAGGTAGGCAACTTCTTCAGATTTCAATAGTGTCTCGGAGTGATGAGATTTGAGAACCCCAGGTGAAGATATTCCGACCCCTCTTCAATCTCCGTAACAGATAGTCGTTAGTCATAGAACCAAAATGTACACGTTCTCAGCAGTTGTGCCTTTTAGTTTACGGCATACCTACACCAGTTGGCGGCTAGAACCACCTTCGGTCAATATTCAGCCTTCGGTCTAGTAATACAATATACACTATGCATGATACTTGAGATGCGACTTAAATCTGCTGCTGGAGAAAGTCAAACTGGAAAAGTGAAGTTGTGAGAGCCTGAAAAGGTCCACCTGGAAACGAAAGGTTTAGAATGTTAGTGCACATGTTTTTGACGAACCAAAAATGAAAAGAACACAGCATTCTGGCTTGGATTCCGTGTCAGCGTATATAAAACATTGTTAGCCTTTGCACCACAACACGCAAATCGCGGATTCCTTTGCAGCAGCGCGGAAGACCGCTGGTAGACAGCACTCGTTGAAGTATGAAATTATATGAGCCATTAGAAAGCGCTGATGATTAGAGCGAGCGCCAGCCAGAAAGGGAGGCAGGCATCCATGTTGCCTCGACAGAATGTTAGAGACAACAGCACCACTCCAAAATTCGACCTCACTGGCCAGCTGACCTTTCTTTTTGGGTCGCAGCTTAAGCTGCAGCGACGCGTCCTCGCTGTCCTCGCTCCAGACTGGCGCCTCCTTGTCCGGAACGGGAGTCAACCTGAAATCGAATTCCTCGCCCACAGATGAGCCAGGAGAGCCCGGCACAGCGCCTATGGTATCCTGACGCAGCTTCATTTTAAACGTTTGCCGAACGGTACGACTTGCACCGTCAGCTGAGTCGTCTTGCGGCTCGCGTTTTTTGCGCGGTGCTTTGACACCAAATTCGGTCTCAACGTCTTCCACCTTATACTCAGGCTTTCGACGTCTCGGCAGAGCCAACTCAACGTCTTCGCTGATGTCATCTGCTACTGAGGGCATGTCGTGGAAGAAGACCGTCTCAACTGTTTCCTGAGACGCACTCTTAGCGAGCTCGATGCGAACTTGCTCCTCGTCGTCCAGTGAAGCGAAGGGGATATGACGTTTCTTGTGCGGCTTGTCACCCTTTTTGATCTTCTTGATTCGGACGCTTGCTTCTGCGTCTTCGTCCGGCTGTTCGGTGTCGCTGACCTCCTGCGTTTTACTTGTCTTAAATTCAAACTGAGTGTCTTGGTCTTCGAAGTGCTCTTCAACAGTCTCTTCAATACGTTTTACAGTGATGTCCGTTGATGTTATTTCCTGTTCTGCGGAATCGATTGATTTTTTGGGTTTCCTTTGCTTCAGGGTAATGGCTTCTTCAGGCTCTTCTACTGTTGATGGTTTTTTCTTTGGCCTTTTTATGACGAACTCTTCCTGAACGTCATCAAATTCTTTATCTGGCTTTCCGAAAACTGCGTCCGCCTTTACGTCATCTTCTGAAGAATCACGTCTTTTCAGTAAGGTCTCGGTTTCGGGCTCATGAACGACAGTTCGCTTCTTTTTGGGCTTTTTCTTTTTGATGATTTCTTCAATAACTTCTTCTTCCACCTTCTCGACATCATCTGGGGTTTTTACCTTCTTAATAACAACTTGCGCCTCAGCAGATTCATCTTCAACGTCCTCCAGAGGGCTTTCAGTCCTTGTCTTTTGTGGTAGCTCGAACTCTACCTCTTGATCTTCGGGTAAAGTCGCTTCTGCTTCAACGTCATCCTCAGGACGTTTAATTTTCAGTGTTGTTGATGATGCGACTACCTCCTGATCTGTCTCTGGAACGCGTTTCTTTGGCTTTTTCTTCTTGAGTGTTACCTCCTCACCCACTTCTTCTTTGACTACAGGTTTTTGCTTGGCAAGTTTTATCGAAACCTCCTCTGGTTCTTCCGGGAGTGACTCTTCCGGCTTTTGTTCTCCCTCTTCGATTGGCTTTTCTGTAGTCGGTTCCTTTGGTTTGTGCTTTTTAGTTTTACCCTTTTTGATTATTGTAATGCTTTCAGCGGCCTCAGGCAAATTGTCAGGCGTTACTTCCGTTGCCTCAGCATCTTCTTCAGTGTCTTTGGCAGTGATCTCAAACACTGTTTCCTGATCTTCAGTCAATTCCTGAGGCTTTTCTATCGACGCTCGCCTAAGCGTTACCTCAGTATCTATAGTCTCAGATTCAATTTCATCCTCAGTCTTGTGGACCTTAGATTTCTTTTGTAGCTTAACAACCTCTTCAGTTTCCTCTGTTACCACTGGTTTCTTTTTCTTTCCCTTTGGTGTTTTTACTGTCACTGCTTCTGGTTCGGTGATCTCATCTAATGGTTGCTCATCTTCAGGGACATCAACGGTTACAGATGTTTCTTCGATCGGCGTCTCCTGGTCTGGTAAGCGTACACTTGCGCTTTCTTTCACGTCATCAGACTTGTCGACTGGTTTCTCATCAGGTCGCTTCTTCGCTTTTGGCTTCTTCACTCGCTTTGTCTCTACCGTAACACTTTCTTCTATTTGCTCCATTTTGGGTTTCTGCTCTTCAGCTGCGACAACCAGGCTGTCCTCTTCAGAGAGCTCCTTTGCGCTATCCGTTATTATGGGCGCTGTCGTAATCTCTTCCACTATCTCTTCTGCAACGGTGTCAGTGCCCTCAGTGTGCTTCTGAAGCGACTCCTCAATAGGCTTTTGTTCTGGCTTGTCAGGCACTTGGTCTTCGGGAACTGCCTCAGAAACATCCTTTGGTCGACTCTTTGGCCGTTTGCTCTTCTTTGTCTTAGGCTCCTCCTCAGCGGAAGGTTGCTGAGCTGAAACTTCCTCCTGTGGCTGATCTTCGTCCTCTTTCTCATCGGTTGGTTTTTGCACTTTAGTTTTTGGTTTCTTTTTCTTTTCCGGCTTTTCCCGAGGAGCTTCCTGCGTGTCGGTTTTTGATTTGGACACCGCTGTTTGTAGATCATCAGGGGAAATGCCTGTGATAGCTTTTTCATCCGGTTTTCTAAGCTCTTCAAGCTCTTCAGGTGTTTCTTGAGTAACTTGTTCCTCAGTGACCACTGGCTGCAGCACATCTTGTGTTTTGTCTGCTTTTGATCTTTTTGGTTTCTTTTGTGGCAATACTTGTGTTGTTTCCTCAACATCAGCTGCAGATACTGTAACAGCGTCGTCAGTTGTGTCAAGACGCGGCTCCGCCACTTCTGTTGGGACTTCTTCTTTATCATCTTGTTCTGGATATTCACTAGTAATTATTTCCTCATTTTGCAGGGATTCTTGTGTAACTAGTTCTCGCTTTGCTGATTTCTTCTTTGGTTTCTTTGTTTCCTGTTCTTCGGTTTCCTCTGCTGGAATGTCTTCTAAAACCTCCTCAACAATTTCAATGGGCTCTTCAGATCCCTTTTGAATGAACCGAACTTTCTTCTTGCGGATGGTAGTTTGTTCGGGCGTTTCTGAGAAATCAACTCCTGATGTTCGAGCCCATTGAAGTTCTTCGTGGTGTACACGCTGTATTGCCTTTGCATATTCCCAATTCACCCAGAACTCAACGGCATCGTCGGTTGTTTCCTGACCTTCCTTCTCATCTATCTTAATATCCTTTGAAGGCTTCTTTTTCTTTGGTTTCTTTTTGATCGTGACGTCTGTTGTTTCCATTTCGGTAACGTCTTCGTCGGTCTGCTGGATCACAGTGAACTCCTCTTCCTGTGTGTCTGCTTCCTTTGTTTTCACCGTAAATTCCTCTCTGACGGTGTCTTCCCCTTGCTTTGGTTTGCGTTTTTTCTTCAGCTTGATTGTTGTCGATTCCTCTTTGTCATCTATGAGTTCGGTCACATGTGACTCATCAGCCTCAGATATCTTAGGCTTGGTTCTCTTCGGTTTCTTGACCATGAACTCAGTTGTCGTCTCTTCGACGATGTCTTCCGTCGTCTCGTCCACATTCTGATCAGTCACACTCATCGTCACCTCTTTTGTAGGCGTAGTTTCTTCAGTAACTACGGCCTGATCTTCTGGTGTTTGCTCTGTTGGCTTTTTGGCCTTAGGTTTCTTCGGGCGCTTGGACTTGATTGTCTTTTCCTCTTCCACTTCGACTTCTTCGGTGATGTCCTGGCTGATGATTGTTTCCGTTGTCGTTGTATTATCTACTTCTGTTATTTTGAGGTCCTCTTTTTGAGGAATAGTCTGAACAACGAACGTGGTTTCTTCTTCATTCGCATCTTTTGGCTTTTTGGATTTCTTCAAAACTACTTTGTTGTCAGTTTCTGTATCAGTTTCTGTATCTGGTCCTTCCTTCTTTGGCTTCTTTTTCAGCACCACTGTCTCTTCCTGTGTATCTTCGACGGGCTCTGGAGCCGTCGTATCCTCTTTTCTATCTTTCGCTGGTTTCTTTTTCTTCTTTTTTATCGTCAAGTCAGTGATGGTTTCATCTGTTTCTTCATCGACCATTTGTATATCAATTGTGTGTTCAACATCATGATCCGTCTTTTCTTTGTCCTGGTCTGTTGTCTTTGGCTGTTTCTTTAGTACTGCTGTTTCTTCTTGTGTTTCTTCAACAGGTTCCGGACCTTTTGTTTCTTTTGTCTTTTCTTTAGTTGGTTTCTTTTTCTTCTTCTTGACCGTGAAGTCAGTAACAGTTTCGTCGGACTCTTCATCCACCAGTTGAATATCGATGGTATGCTCAACAACCTCTTCTTCTGTTTTATGTGTAACTGTTTCTATCTCTTCTATGTTGGTGTTATCCGTTGGTTTGCTGGCAAACGTATGAATGACGACCTTTCTTTTCTTTCCATCCTTTTCTTCATTTACCACCCTTCGGGTCGTATCCATACCATCCCCTTCCGTAATGAGAACGTCATCTTCTTCGGTTATCGTCGGCTGTATGGTTACTTCTTCAGATATGCTTATATCGTCATCATGGACTTCTTGTATTGTCATATCCAAAGAACCTCTACGAATTTCAGTGACTGAGCCACGGCGAATTTCTTCAACAGATTCTCGTCGACGCTCCTGTTTCGAACGTTTTCGTTTGCCTTTAGAGTCCACTACCTCTTGCTCCACTATAACCGATTCCTCCTCCTGGACTATTCCTTCTGATGCCGTCACCAGCTCATCAACTGAAGACTTCCTGGCCTTGACAGCTACTGGCTTCGTTTGGTCAAGTTCAATGATGTGCTCATCGACAAATTCATCGGATTTTGTTGCAGTCTTTCGGTCGGGCTGCACCGCCTTTGGTTTTATTGTGAATTCTTGAGTAGTCTCAGTAAAGTCATCCTCCTTTTCATTTGGGGTGATGACAAGTGTAGCAGCAGTCTGTCTGTCCTGAGGAGTCATAGTTTGTCCCGGTTTCGCGTCCTTCGGGAGGTTAACCGTGAAGTCAGCTTCTCTGTCACTTGTCACCGTTTGACTGACAGTGATTGTTTCTGTTGTTATCACAGTACCTTCTGCTGTTTCTGTTTTGGTGACTCTGGTTTGATATGTATCCTCTAATTCGGCTGGTCGCACCTCTGCTTGCGTGGGAGCTTGCTGAATTTCGAAACCAATATTTGCCTTCTTTTTGTTGACAGTAAATTCATCCAAAGAATCTTCAAGCTCTGTGGGTGCTGCTTCAGTAACTTCAACTCCCCTAGTCTCATCCACAGCTGGCTTGGCCTTTCTGTCTTTGGGTTTAACTGACTCAAAGGTATCTTCATGTTCCTCTGTAACAGGCTCTGAGCTAACAGCAGATGTGCGCTCAGTCATTACTGTCTTTGGAGTGACTTTAATTCCCTCCGGCTTGTCGGTGAACGTCACTTCCTTTTCTTCGACTTCAACACCGAATCCAACGGCTGCTTGGCGGTCTTCCGGCACCATCGATGCCGACAGTGTTTTGCCAGAGGGAAGTGAAACATCAAAGTCTTCACTGGTGTCCCCTGTGATAGCTTGTTTGACAGTTACTGTTTCTTTTTGTGTGATTATTACCCCGTCCGCTGTTTCGGTTCTGTAGGGTGTTGATGTGAAGACATCTTCGGACTCATCGGTTGTTGTGACTCCTGACACTGGAGCCTGCTGTAATTCGAAGTCAACATTTGCAGATTTTCCTTGGAACTTGAAGTCCTCGAGGCTCTCTTCCCTGTCAGTGGGCTTTGTTTCTAGTACGACCACGCTTTGGTGTTCGTCAACCGTTGGTCTCGCCTGCCTATCCTTTGGTGAAGTGATGTCAAATGTCTCTTCCTTCTCATCAGTTGTATTATCAGCGGTGACCACAGTTTTTCTTTCGGTTATCACCGTTTTTGGCTTAACAGTAATGCCTTCATATTTGTCGGCGAATGTACCTTCCTTCTCTTCGGGATGTTGCTGATAAAGGACGGGCGCTTCGCGGTCTTCAGGCGCCATGGATTCAGTTGGCTTAGCCACTGTTGTGGAAGGACTTTCAAACGTCTCTTCTCTGTCCTCGGGTATGGTCTGCTTAACATTTATGGTCTTCTTTTCCACGAAAGATCCCTTTGCGGTAGCTGTTCCAATGGATTCGGAGGTGTATGTTTCTTCCGTTTCGACCGTCCTTGTTTCATCAGTGACTGGAGCCTTCTTAAGCTCAAAGTCAACGGAAGCCTGTTTAGAGTTAGTAACAAACTCCTCCAATGAGGTTTCAGTATCGTCAGGACGAACTTCTTGTATTTCCACACCTCTCTGTTCGTCAATAGAAGGTTTCGCAGTTTTCTGCACGATCTGGGTGATGTCATAATCTTCGACAGTGTCATCTGCTGTTACTTCTGAAGTTGTTGTGACGGCTCTAGATGTGATGGTAGGCTTGCCCTCGATCGTTTGACCAGTTGGCAGGGTTGTTGTAGCATCCTCCGTCACCTCCTCGGTCAGCGTCTCTGAAACAATAGTGGTTATCTGTTCGTCAACCTGAGGATGTGCGGTACGCTGCTTAGATTCAGTTGGTGTAAATTCCTCCTCTGCCTCAGTAATGGTTACTTCGTCTCTCGCTATTGCAACCTGAGAGTCGAATTTGACGTTGGCTGATTTTTTATTTGGAAGTTCACCTGGCTGGAATTCAACTTCTTTAGTCTCCGGAGCTACCTCAGTTACTTCAACTGTTTCATGCCCCAAAATCTCCTCAGTGGGCCTGACTTGCTTCGTTTCAGGAGTTTTGAAAGTATCTTCTCTTTCCTCTGTGATTTGCTGGTGGGAAATAGCTGAGCGCATTTCCACGAGGTTTGTCGACTCTTTTGCTACAGATGTATCCAAAACAGCATCTTTGTGAATTTCAGTTTCTTCTGATGTCTGTGTTTCTGAGGTTTCTGCCACAGGCTGCCCTGTAATGCTGTCTGTGGCACGTACTCCCAAATCGGGCTTGCTCTCGAAAGGTTTTTCTTGCTCATCAGCTAACGTCTCAGATGTTGACAGCGTTTCCTGGAGAGAGAATCCTACCTTCGCTTCCTTTTCTTTTGGCTTTTGGAATGTCTCTGTTTCTTCTTCTTTTTCCTCAACAACTGATTCGGTGACTTGGATTGAGTCCTGCTCTAAGATCGAAATGCCTGGCTTTTTCCTTGTGACCTGCTCAGAGGAGTATTCTTCCGTTGTTTCAGCTTGCTCTGTTTGTCCGATGGTGGGTGCTCGCGTCCATGGTGTTTCCGTTTCAACCGATGCTTTTGCTCCACTTGGAGTCTTCTGCTCTTGAAGAACGTCCTCACGTTCAGCTGCATCGGTTTGCTCAGTGAGCAGTGGCACCTGTTGAATTACCTCGACACCAGCGGTAACTCCGAGGTCAGGCTTTGTCTCAAAGGTTTCTTCCTTCTCATTTGGAAGTGCTTCTTCGACCGCAGTAGGCTCCATTGGTGAAACTTGGAGCGATGCATGTCTGTTCTTTGGCGCTAGGTCTGGTGTAAACTCGTCCTCCCTATCGTCAGTTATGACTTGCGAAATTTGCAACGTGCGCTGTTCGATTACCTCAACTCTCGACTGTCGAATGTCAACTTCTTCGGCATCGTACCACTCCTCTCTTTCTTCTGTCTCCGGCTGGCTGACCTGTGGAGCCTTATACTGATCAAATATCAGCTGCTCAGTAGCTTCTGATGTGGTCGGTAGCATACCAGGCTTGAACTCACCCTCTCGTTCATCCTCCACGACCTGGGATACATCCACCGAGGTCTGCTCTAGCATCGTAGTTGTAGCATTACGCTGTTTCGTCTCCGGTGCCGACCAATCTTCAGTTTTATCTGTTATCTGGGTAGTTGTTGTTTCCAAGGGACTAAACGTGGAAACGTCAAGGCTTGCTGTAGTAGTTTTCGGTAAAACTTCAGGGTTGAAATCGGTTTCGCTTTGATCTGTAACAATCTCTGAAACGAGAATGCTTGTCTGGTTAATCGTTGATAAGGTCGGCTGTCTCATTTGTTCCTCCTGGATGTCGTACCATTCCTCCTTCTCATCAATCTCGGCCTCATATGTCGACGCTGCCTTTTGCGACACAAGATTAGTGGAGGGAATGAGTTCAACAGTTTGTGGTAGTTGTTGAGGGCGATATTCTTCTTCAAGCTCGTTTGTTATGATCTCGCTGGAAACAGTAGATTCCTGGGGGATAATGGAGTCTAGGGCTGTAACCTTTTGCTCCAGTGTGCTTTCGAATTTTTCTTCAGCTTCTTGGGTGGTTATTTCTGTCGTATCATAGGCTTGTTCTGTTGTGAAGCCCACTTGCGCATCAACGGTTTTCGGAAGAGGCTTCTGATCAAACGTATCCTCATCAGAATCTGGCTGAGCCTCAGATACAATGAGACCTTCAAGTGGCGAAATGCGACCCTCAACGCGCACAGACTTTGCCACGAAGTTCTCTTTGTCACCTTCTCTCTCTTCCGTCACAATATCTTGTGCAATCGCCGTCTTGCGCTCCCTAAGCTCAACCACTTCTTTCAGTTCTTGTAGCTCTGGCATGACATCAGGAGCATATTCTGACTCAGTCTCGCCCGTTGTGATCTCAGAAATAGCAGTGCTCTTTTGCTCGGGAATAGTCTGTTTTGCCATCTCTGTTGGATACACAAACTTGTCGAAGTCCTTCTCAGTTTCTTCTGATTTTGCGTCTTGCGTTATGACAGGTTCAATAGGAGACAAACAGACGTCAGCACTTCTCTCGCCTGGTTTATCGCCAACGACATATTCCCCTGTTTGCGAATCCGGGGCAACTTCAGTAATTTGCACAGATTCCTGCTCGGCGAAAGAACTTTTTGGCTGTACTTCATTTAGCTTGCCGGGTGTGAAGGTGTCCTCCGATTCACCGACCAAAATATTTTCTGTTTGTGCGGAACGTTTTTCAACGATGTTAAGACGCACTGTCGGTTTCTTCAGATTGAGCTCTCCTGGAGCAAAATCAGTTTCCGTTTCTACGGTCTGTGTCACTTCACCCTGCATGGACTCCATCTCCAGAATGCTGGATTCAGCTGAAACTGGTTTAACGTCTGTTTCCTTGTAGTCGGTGCCTTGTTCCGTAGCTTTTACTTCTGATGTAATGATATTCTGCTGGGGGACGACATCCAAGGCAGCTTTCTGTTCTGTAGGCGCTACCTCATCGCTAACCTTCCCCTCTTTGTCATGAACGATTTCTTCAATTCCCTGAACTCCAATCTGCTCGACCATGGTCATCTTAGGCTGTTTTTCTTCCGAAGGCTTTGATGTGATGAACTGTTCTTCAGCTTCGAAGCTGGTGATGTCCTCCGATTCTACAACTTTACTCTGAGCCAGCTCTTGTCGTTCAGTTGCCTGTTTCTGCTCCGGAAGCTGTTTCTGATCGAAATCACTCTCAACTTCTCCCAGCTCTACTTGCTCTCGAACTGGTGCTTCGAGACCAATTAACTGTTCCCTTGGAGATGCGGTGGTCGGCTGTTCTGGCGAGTACTCTTCTGTTTCCTCCCGTGTACCAACATCTGTGAGCAGTGCCGTGTGTCTCATGACGAGCTCCGTGGTCGTCTCAGGAACCTGTTCTCCAGCCTTGAACGGCGCCACCGTATCCTCTCTCTCGTCTATGCACACCTCGGAACTGAGAAGTGACTGTTGCTCGAGTATCTCGGTACGGGCTGTTGCTGGCGCAGCTTTGAGTTCGTCGACTGTTCCTTGGACGTCTTCAGGTCTAGCCTCGTCGGTGATGACGGCCTGCTGCTCGACGACCCCCGTCCTTGCGCTCGCCTCCCGCCGGGACTCTGGAGTGAAATCCTCAGGAGAGGACTCAGCGGGGAACTCTGAAATTTCAAGAGTGTTCTGTGGGCTGAGCCTGGTGTGGGCTTGGGTGGATGGAAGGATGTCACGCTCAAAGGATTCCTCGATATCCCCTGGTTTGACCTCATAAACATCGATTGGCTGCACAACAGTATATGAGGTCGCAGCCTCATGCACATCAGGTCTCACACTATCCGCCATATCACTTTCAACATCACCACTGGATACAATGTCTACAGTTGCAGCCTTATGCGGCTCAGCTAGCCTAATCACGCCATGATGAGTATCTAAAGCTTCACTGGTCTTCTCTGAAGATTCTTCAGTCAGTGTCACTTCTTGAATTTCCATCGCTTCAGTCTCCTGGATGGATTCAGAGCCCATAAATTCTCTGGGTTTGCTTCCTTGCTGCAATATTTCTTGAAACTCCTCAGCTGTCGTCTCAAACACCTTCAGGCCCTTGAGCTCAATTATCTTTTTCTGAGCGACTTCAGTTGCAACAAAGCTTTCAGGTAAAATTTTGCCTGTCATGTCTTCTGACAGAATTTCTTCGACTTCCAGATGATGCTCGGGCACCATATCGCCATAGGTTCGGAATGATGAAGGAATTTTGAAATCAGGTAAGTCATCTTCCAGCTCGTTTATATCAGTCGCCTTCACTGAAATGCTCTTGTAAGGTAATACACTTTCAGCAGCTTTCTCAGTGGCAACAAACTGCTCCGGGAAAAATTTACCAGTACCATCACCAGGCTGCACTTCTTCTACTTGCATACCCTCGCTTGGGATCATTCGAGACTTGAGCTGAACAGCTCCGGGCATTTTTCCTGGAGTGTACTCATCCTCTGCCTCGTTATGCTCCACAACTGTAGTCACTCCGGCCTCAGCAAGACCAATACCTACCTCGGCCTGATGTTTACCGGGCAGTGCCTCGCTCTCGAACGTATCCTCCGACTCCAACCGCTGCTGCTCGCTGGCGCTGAAGCCGTGCTGCGCCTCGATGTCCGTCTCCGCCACCGCCTTCGAGCTGGTGAACTCGGCGAGATCGGTTGGAAGTTCATCGGTTCGGGTGCTTGTAACTGAAACACCTTGGAGGGGAAACATGTCCTGGGTGGCAGAGTGAGGGACGGGCAAAGCTTCAGGGACATGCTTATCGAGGGTTTCGCCTGTTTCTGTTTGAGTGACAGTGATCGTTTGCCTGGAGGTAATGGACTCGGTGGGTTTCTCATGCAGCGGGGTGCGGAACTCGTCCAAGGGAGCCTCCTTATATGACTCGGACATTTCAGAGACGGTTATGTTAGTATGGGAGCACATCTCTATGTTAGCAGCGTCGGTGGCTGGTGATGGTTTTGCGTCGAGCGTCGTCACGCTGAACAGATCCACGCTCTCTTCAACCTGAAGACCTTCTCGGTCAGTAAGCCCCACGTTGGCTTGTTCATCTCTTGGTTTCTTCATTTTTGCTAATTCCTCTTCAACGTCTAGTGTTTTTTCTTCCACCGCTTGAATGCCCTCGGCCTGCGAAAATTCTACTCGAACGGATTGCGATTTCGGTTTGTCTTCTGAAACATTGCCTTCTTTGATATATTGCTCTTCTTCTGTGACTGTTTTGGCTATCTGGGGCAACACAGTGAGAGACGCTTCACTAGACTGAGGCATGCTTTTCTCATCGACCTTTCCCTCTTTCACATACGACTCTGAAGATTGAATGACAACTTCCTCGTTGGATGTAACGCTGACGATGGCCTCCGTTGATGGAATGGTCTTGAAGTCGTCCATTGTATCTTCGCTGTCCATTGGTCCGATATCCGACACATCAATGCCTTTCTTTGTTAGGAACTGAACATGCGCCGACGCCTCTCTTGGTTTTTCGAAATCACTTGTTGGCTCGTCTTTGATTAAAGCTTCATCTAGAGATATCGATATGCCCTCGTGCTCAGTGATTGATGATCCAGCTATTTCTTCGGCGGCTTTCGGTTGACTTTCTACTGATGCTTCAGCTTCCACTGCAGTATCCATCGTAATTTCCACGGTTTCTGAGTGCGTCACGTCAACTGCTGCGTTTTCGGAGCGCGGTTTTCTAAATTTGGCGAATTCTTCCTCAGCCTCCACTGCACCGGTCTCCTCAACACCAATGCCCTCTGACGTTATAAGGGTCTGAGACGCCTCAGACATCTGTGGTCGTTTGAAGTCGTTCATCTGGGACTCTCCGTGATATGTGTCTGCCAGTTCAACAGTAATAGGCTCATTTTCAGCAACGGTCAGTGACGCTTCCATTGCTTTTGGCTTCCTGTCCTCCAAGAGGTTGTCTTCCGTCTCATTCACTGCAGTCTCCTGGACAGAAACGCTCTTTGATTCCAAAACTGATACCGTAACGGTATCTGTATTTGGCTTGTCTCCTTGAATAGTTTCTTCTTTCGACATGGGAGTATCATTGCTCTCAACGGCGATCTTGAAGTGGGGCGTCAAGTCAGTTTTAGCATCTCGAACGGTTGGCTTTTCGTATTCTTCCATTGGTTGTTCTGATTGGAGCACCTCAGTTTCAGTCATTTGAGTCGGCTCGAGGGGTTGAATATCCATATTGGCCTGATTGCAACTTACATCTTTCTCTTCGAATGTATCCTCTTTCTGCATAACTACATCAGAAGTAGTGAAGACAGTTTCGAAGTTTTCCATTTTCTCATCTGCAGCTTGCGACTTTGGCTTTGCGTCTTCTGGCAACATTTCTTCTGTCTGCAAATTTACAGTTTCTTGCATCATTGGAACGGAATGACTGTCTAGCTCAATGATGGCGATCTTAGGCTTTGGGGTCTCTTTGTCTGGAAGTGTTGCTGGATGTTCCACCACTTCAGTCTGTTGAATTTCTACAGCCTGAATTGAGTCTACATCCATAGATGCCAACTGTGTCTTCGGTAGCCGCTCATGCTGAAGTATATCTTCAGAAGCGAAATCTTCAGCACCCGAAACGACAATGCTTTGGTTCTTTGTAAACTCAACAGTAGCTTGCTCAGATTTAATTTCATCTGTAAAGGTTGACTCTGAATGAAAAGCATCTGTCTCCGTCTTCGTTATCACTCTCAGCTGCTGGTTCATTTGTACGACAGCTTCTTCGCTGCGCGGCTGTTCACGAGATTCTAAGATTTCTTCGGAGAGCATTTGTTGATTTTCAGTAACCTGAACCTCATCAAGTGGCGTCACAGAAGTCTGTGGCTTTTGCTGTTTCGGAATTTCCTCTGGTTTAAGGAATGATTCACTTTCTTGGGTCAATTCTTCTGTGACGTTAACTGCCTTCGATGTGTCAATGCCAATGTTTGCTTTGTCGGTTACTGGTTTCTTCTCCTCAAGCGTTTGTTCGGCGTCCTGTGTATCGGCTTCAGCGATTTCTACGCCTGCCATCTCTTCCATTTCGACATGCCCGACAACCGTTTGTTCTGGTTTCGTATCAAATGTCTCAGGAGTCTCGGAGGTGCCCGTTTCAGTGGTGGTGATGCCTCGTTGAGGCAGCATGCCCGTTTCAGCTTGCTCAGCTCTTGGAGTCACCTTTTCTTCAAGAACAGTTTCAACTTCAGATGCTTCGGTCAACTGGACCTGAACTGGAGTGGACTCGGGAAGGACTGTATCACATTGCTGTTGCTGCGGTTTAGTAAACTCCTGAAGAGGGGCTTCCATGCCGCTGGACTCTGTCTCTGTAACATTCACTGATTGCATCGGCACCATTTCAACGCCAGCGAGCTGGTTGCCAAGATCCGGTTTAATCAAATCTTTAGTGATTCCACTCGTCTCTTGCGCAGTAACTTCAAGACCCTCAATGGGTAAGAGACGCAGTTGTGCTCGTTTTTGTGGCGTTTCTGCTTCAGTAACATCTCCAATGTTCTCATCCGTGACATTTTCTTCTGTAGTTAAAGCGATAATTTCTGACATGATGTGCTTTGCCTTCTTTGTATCTGGTGTGACTGAATGCGCCATTTCGCCTTCAGTTTCAAGGATTTCTGAGCTCGTGACGTCAACAGTGACTTGTTCATCAAATGTAGGCTGGGCACTTGTTTTTCTGATAGTTTCTTCGTCAAATTCTTCAATGGTGTCCATAGCAGCAACATCCGATGTAACAACAGATTTTGATATCGTAACTTCGGTCTTAGCTGTCTCTGTAGATGTCTTAAAGTCTGGTGTTTCGACTGGTGCTTCATTTGAATCGATCTCAGTTACTTGAAGCGAACGGTTTTCAGGGGCCTCTTTCTTGGCTGTTTTCTTAGGTGCATCCTCAATGATAAGTCCTTCTTCAGTGTCCGTTGTTTTTGTTTCTGTGACTTCTACAGCTTTCTGACTGGTTACATCCATCTTCGCAACGAAGGAAGTTGGCTTGGTTTCCTTTGACGAGGCTTCGGTTTCCGTTGGCACCACTTCCTCAATAAAGATCGAACTCTGAGGGTTTATTAAGGGCACAGCCTTATCATCAACCATATCCAACTTCTCCACATCTGACACCGTGTCTTTCAGAACCACCTCGGCCGTCTCTGGAGCCTTTCGCTCCCCTAGAACAGTTCTCTGCTCACTAGTGCATGTGGTAGCTTCTAGAGTCAGCGTTGTGTCTTCAGACATCTCTGTCGTCTCGGTTTCGCTCGTTGTTATTGTTTCCAGCGTGACCATCTCGGTGTCCGCTGATTCTTCGTGTGGGGAGTATTCAGCGACATCTCCGACGCTTTCTTTTTGCTGAATCTCCTGCACTTGAGGTGCGCGCATGTCTTGGATTACAGTGGAGGCTGAAGATGTTTTCTCATTCATCACCAATTTGCTCATTAAGTCCTCAGAGCTTTGCTCTGTGACAGTTTCCGTGATATTCACTGGTTCCTGTTTTATGATGTCAATCACAGCTGAGTCTTTCTGAGCAACAAAGTCTGCGATTATGTCTGTGCTGGATTTAGGAAGGAGCTCCTCCACTTCCGGCAATCGCATCTCAGTAATTGTAGTGGTCATTTGAGGAGTCTTTGCGTCCATAATAAACTTGTCACCGCTTTCCGTTGTGATTTCTTCAGTAGTCGTTTCAGATATCTCCAACGGCTGCTCAGGTTTCAGTGTGATCAGCGCTTCAACCGGACTGCTGGTGAACTCCTTGACGCTGCCAACATCGTCCTTTGTTGTGACGTCCGTCACTTGTGGAGCAAGCCTTTCACTTGTTACTTGGGTGACACCCGTCTGTTGCTCGTCGCGCTGTTCCTTCGGCTTCACGATGACCTGCTCGTCAGGCTGGGCTGTTTGTACTTCAACCGGTTCTTGCGGGCTCAAGTCGATACCAGCCTTGCTGTGTTTAGGCTGTGGATGATCTGTTGTCTCAGCGGTTTCATCTGCCTCTACTCCAGTGATTTCGGGTGCTCTCATATCCCGAACAACAGTAGATGTTTTTGATTCTTTCACATCCATGATAAGCTTTTCTTTGGATTCTTGAGACGATTCTTCTGTTGTTGTTTCTATAACTTCCACGGGTACTAATGGTTTTAATATTTCTTGGGCAACATTTTCCGTCATGTCGAACGGTTTCACTTCCTCTGTGGTTTCTTTTGGTTGCGTTTCTTGGACTTCCGGCACATTTCGCGCCATTATCACTTGGGTGACATTGGTTTGTTGTGTGTCTCTAACTTTTACCTCTTCATGCTCTTCCGCGCCCTCGTCCACCTGCGCTGATGTCACTTCGATGGCCTCATGAGGGCTAACGCTGATCTTGCCGCTGTGGGTTTTGGGTTTTTCGACGCAAACTCTGTCTGTAGTTTCCTCTGGAATAGTGGCCTCTATCTCGGGTGCCCGCATATCTGTCAATACGCTGGAAATCTTGGTTTTCTTCTCATCCATTGGTAGCTTTTCTGTCTCAACAACGTTTTCTTCCAGATGCTGCCTAGTTACTTGAATGGACTCTTGTGGAACTACTGATGGCTTAGCGCTATCCTCCGGAAGTTTTTGCAACTTAATTTCTTCCGCTGTATCATCTGTGCTGACTGCCTGCACTTCGGGCGCTTTTCTTTCAACTGTCACTATGCTGGTTGCTGTGGTTTCTCCTCTATTCGGTTTTTCTTTGTCTTGAGGGATCGATGTCTCCTCTGGGAGAGTTTCTTCCACGTGAATAGGTTCTTGTCCTTTGAGTGAAACACGAGCCGCATCCGTTTTCGGCTTTTTGTCGGGAACACTTTCCACCGACTCTTCGCTTTGGACGGCCTCCACCGTGACAACATGTTTTCTGCGCAGCTCTGTCACCGACTTACCTTCGCCAGTGACCACCTTTAGCTTATCGGTCTCACCCTCTGTCTCTTCCTGGGGTATTATCTGGCTTACTTGGACTGCGTCCGATTTGTCGATGGCAGGTGTTGGAGAAACTGGCCTTTCGTCTTTGATGCTAACTTCTTCGACGTCTTCGATCGGGAATTCTGCAAGGCCGGGTTTTGGTAAGGGACATGCTTCATGCTTATGGTGCATCTAACCAGCAGGGAGGGTTTAATACTTTCTGACATTTACATTATTTATATTTGGGAATGCTAGGGACTTTAATACAACTAAGCAGGTCTAGACGTGGGTGGTTTTTGGCCTGATAATTGAGATACATATTGAGGGTCGACGAAGGACGTAGCGATTCTGATATAATATTAGTAACATGCACATGTAAGGAGGAAATGTGGAAAGCATTCACCATCTTGCTGAAAAAAATAGCATTTTACAAAAATCATGGCATTGCTATTTCAGTTCGAGGAGCTTCACTTTCATAATAAGTCATTCACAACCACCGTCAGTCAAATTCGTAAAAATGAACGGCAAGAAAGACAAAATGTCAGAATGAGGATACAAGAGCACACGCAGTGTACACTTAAGATATTGAGCACAGTCATAGGAAGGCACCGCATTACACTCCAGTTTAAAGTTCACCTCGTGAGCCGTATTTTGTGTTGTAATATGTGCTGCTGCTTGTGCATTTGTAGAATGTCGTCGTATGATGATGACGTGTCTTATTGCTTGTTTTAGCCCAATCGCAATGAAATACTGATGATGAGACTTGATCTGCCCTGCAAGTGATATCTACGTTGCAACGTATTTAATCTTGATCATAGGTAAGTCGGCATTATAATTAAAAAGAAGTTAAATAATCACCTAATGTTTTCTTTCACTCCTTTTTTTAACTTAGTTCTACTCTCCGGTTAGAAATTTTCCTCTAAATTTTATGTGAAATTCTCTTATAAGCGCTTCTTTCAATCTTTTTTTTTTGTCTGACCGATCGTTAATAGTCTCTCCTCGGACTTTTGGATGCCTGTGCCGTTCATAACAATTGTCTGTGCATGTATGTGCTGTTTGTTGTCTTGTTGTGTTCCCCTGTTTTGTGTCTTGCGAGCAATAACAATGTTTTGATTCGTCGTTTAGGTTGATTGTTATTATCGATTTATTGGTTTATGTTACAGAGTTAAAACAGCACGTCTGCAGCACAGAGCTGCACTGGGCACGTTCAGCGGAGCTGGCGGCAGGCTTTGGGTAAGTATACTACGTCGGTAACCAGATGTCGACAGATTATGCACATCTTTATCAATTACGAACGTTACCAATAAAAAACAGGTTAAGGTTTCAGCTCTGGCCAGTGCGCTTCTGTGCCCAGTCGCCCGTTCCTCAGTATTACATGCATAATGACCAGGCTCCAAGCCAATTTTATTTAAGTTACAGAACAGGAAAACAACAAGAAAGAAGTAGAAATGAAGCATCGGAATCTGAATTGTTTCGGACGGAATAGTCTTGATATACCTCTTTTTTTTGTCAACGTTTCACGATTTCTTATAGGTTTACGGCTGGCAGTTAGCAACCATTGTTTGCTTTTATGGGTCTCTGAAAAAAATAAAATTTATATTTACTTGAACATATTGCTCTTTCTATGACAAGAGAAGACTGGGAACCACTGGTCTTCCGCATGTGTTACGACTCAATGAAAGCAGCTTTCAAGTCACACGAAACAACGCTCAACGGCAAGAAAACAAAGACGCTATGCACAGACAGAAGAAAATCGAAGAGTATGTATTGTGGTGCGGTGATTGAAGGTTTCAAAAACATAGTGATGAGTGCTTTGTTACACAAAATATAGAAGAAGGTAAAGCAAATATAACGTTGACTGCCCTGTTTTTCAGTAAAATTGCAGGCTGCTCAGAAGATTTGTTACAAAGTTCAGTAGATGTATGCATGATCGTTTTCTTTTTTTTTTTTGTTTCGTTGATATTTTATTCATATTTTACAAATGACGTTAACTTCTGTGTGACGAAAACAAATACTTAAATCGCACTTAAGTATGAATTTGTTTTTTTTTCTTGCAGCAACTGCGTGATTGGTTCGGCTATGTGTCTGACCTTCAGTGCTGAAGAAAGCAGACAGAATATGTAAACAATCACAACAATCGTTAGTAGAAAGAACATAGTGATTATGTGTTTGAATCTGCTCGAGAAACTGTCAATGATAATCCTTTTGCGATTAAAGTTGTCTTGAAGTTATCTTGAACATGTTTGTGGTCGATTATCGATTGGTACAAAGACACTCCACCAATAGTTGTTGCCCTTCGTTCACTTTCTCGAGCAGATTGCATTAAGCATATTTACACACATTGGCAGAAATATACAAAACAGCATACAACGTGAGCGGTGCTCTACAGTCACGTGACAGCAGCACGGCGAAGTGATTTTTAGTACAAAATCACCACATGAAAAATCCCCATACCAAATTCAGTAAGGCAAGGAGTGTTCAGAACTCGGCAGGTTAGGCAAAGGAAAGAGTGAGACAGTGAAAGAGAGGCGAGCGCAAGGAGTGAGCTGTGAGTTGACGGCCACATGTGTTATCTCTGGTTTATTCTTGTGATTATCTTGTTTAGGTCCGGTTTAATCGATATCTTGACGATGACTTGACGGTTTGCCGGTTTTCGTTGATTGTGTTTCGACGACTCCCGTTTATTTCATATTTACACATCCGTTTCATCGGATGACATGAATACGAACATAGAGCACTCAGCAATACCTAACTATGACGGCATTACGCTCATTTCAAAAATACAATTCGATGCGCATAAAAAATGGTCATAGAGGTCAAACCAGAGAGCAGAGGTAAAAAAAATACGAACAATGAAAATAAAAGGCGAAAGAGTTGTTACATAAAAAGAATCGAGTCCTTCGACACAACTCTCATGTATCTGGCAAGCTAAGAGACTGGTATTTATCAAAAGTTTTACGTTACGGTCTACCAAGACGAACATGACATCTAATTCAATAATAAACGATGAATGCATTTGTTGATTGTAATGCTTGGGGCAGTATGGCTAATGCATTCAGCATCGCTGAACTACTTGCTCTGAATCGTAAGTAAAACACCATTAGAGGCTGCTTGCTTAGCGCAAAGTGCCCTCAGCATTACACTCAACAATCAACAATTGTTACAATTAGCGTTACCTGACATGCAAAATAAAATGTTGCATTGCGTGTTGAGTTACGTCACATGGTTATAAATGCATTCAAAGCGGTAGCTTATTGGCGCTGCAGTAGTATTCGCTCAGCGACCGGTTAATTCATTCATTGCGTCGAATGATGCTTGAAACCGGTCAGAAAAGCGTTAGCCTTGTCAGGTCAGTGAAAAATGCCTTCACAAAGCAGATGCCAGAAAGATTCGGTGACACGGATGACTGGAAAGAAGAAAGACAGATATTTCCAAGAGAGTGAACTGTTGGGGCATCGCACGAACGCCACTGTCATGAACTGACGCTGTAGAGTAGATGACCTGTTAGATCGTATCGTGAGTGATGTTAGGTCACATGGAGTCACGGTGAGACTCGTTAGGTTACCGCTCCGCAGAGGTCAGCGAACCCGGTGAGTGCTGCGTGCTTAGTGAGTTTGGTGAGTTTCGCAGCACGCCGGCCGCGGTCGTGAGCGGGAAGAGTGGGGACAGATGGCACCGGCAGAGTCAGAGGCAGAGACTTTAGAGAGCGGCGGCAGAGGCTGAAAGAGCGGTGGCAGAGACCGAAAGAGCGGCGACAGAGACAGAAGAAGAGGTCGCCCCACGCTGAGGCGATATATTAGACAGAGCGAAACATAGCGAAGTGACACGAGGCTCGAACCTGGCAGACGCTCTACGGAAGCAGTCCGCGGCTTCAGCGTCTTTTTCTTGTCTGGAAACGGTAGAGTGTGTGAAGTTGTGACCGTGTGGCTGGCGGCGAGCTCTACATGATTCATTGTATGGGTTTGGAAAAAAACATCGCATTCTTTTCAATTTATTTAAAAAATGTACCGATACGAGCATTATGCGTTGCAGTCGAGTTATTGGGGGCGCCCGTAAGGCGGTTGTAAATACGAAGCTGCGGAATGTTTTGTTCAAATATGCATCATTCATCTGAACCTTGGCAGTTTATGCTCATACAATCTTTAACTAATCTAACGAAACAGGCACTCGAAACATAAAATATACGGACTTCCTCGACCTACCATTCATTTAACATTCATCACTGACTCATTGCTAGCCGAGTTCATCAGGGGAACCTAAACTTCACTGGACGTCTGACTGCAGCTGGATATATCGCGCCGCATTTCGTCCGCTGTGCGCCACGACTGTGTCCACTGTGCACGGCCAGACCAACACTGTCCTTAGATAGTGACTGGTTATGGAGAGCAGCGGATTATTGATAACGCCGCTGCCATTGACACACACAAGGGTACGGAACGACGTCTTTTCCGACCTCTCCAGCACACAGGGGAGCGTGGCCAGGCGGCGGTCGGCGCTGCCTCCTCGCAGGGTCGCTGACGGGTCACACACAGACTCCGACAGCAGCTCAGTCAGGTCACGGCAGGTCACGAGAGCCGGGCAGGTCGCATACACTGGACGGACAGAGCAGGGTCACGCGGGGTCAGGCGGGACAGTTAACTAGCGGGTGGGCAGCACAATGGAGCACTCAAAACAAAAGCAGACCAAAACAAAACAAAGCAAGCCAAAAATAAAATAGTGGTACTAAAGGAATGATTTGCTACGAAGCTAAAGTGCTCCTTTATACAAATAATGAGCAAAAGGAAATAAACATTGCTTGTGGCGCAAGCGAACAAATAATTAAATTCACGTCGTGTTGCAATACAACCAAAATTGAACTACAACGCAAAATAATATTCGAACGTGCATCGAAAAAGGCAGGTAACATGCGACGGAGGAGAACTAAACGCTGAAGTGTAAAAGCAAACGTTCAGCCTATAAGCGCAAAAGGAGCGTATTTCCATGCAGAGTATTGGGGCCAGCAGGAAATCGAGGGTTGTTGGCGCCACGGTACATGCATTAGCTTGTGAACGCCGGTCGTATCTAGGTGGAGTTTTGGTAGCATTCGACTTACGCAGCTCGTTACGTACCTTTCACAGTTGTTTCGGTTTTGGTGGCAGTGACCTTCTCTGTAGTCGCCTCGGACGTTTCCTTTGCCAATTCCGTCACATACTGAAAACATGTTGCACGTTAGCTGAGTAAAGGGCTATTCGCTGCAGATGGCATGTGCCCGCAATGCCTCATGTGATGATTGAGGCAACCTGAGCTGATCAAATAGCATGCATACGCTGCTCATTTTTGGTAAAACAGAACATTGTCGTGTGTCGCGCGAGAGCAGAGTGTAGGTTCTCCGGGGGCTTGGGTTATCTCCCTGGAATAGTTAGTAGATACCCGCGAGGTGTGAGAGGTTCTGAACACGCTGGTGAAGCTAATGCTATTGAACAGGATGCTATGCTTCTCATACAGCCAACTAACCATGCACATCTACACGAGAGGTCAGCTGGCGCGATACACACTATTTTTCGGACACACGTGACTGAAACAACTTCTCAAAAGGATTACCGCCCACTCAAAAACGATGCTAGGCACCACATTTGCCTTACATTTCAATTGTTTCGTTTGGTTTGGCACTTCAGGGAAAATACTCTTAGAAGGTCTCCAACGGACATTCACTGATCCGAAGAACTGTGATTTTGCGATTTTTTGTTACAACTTTTGTAGTTAGTGACTGCTTTGAGCCTTTGAATTTGATTTGGATAGGTTTTGAAGTAACGTTATTGATTGTATTCTTCGACGCATATTTATGATCACAAATAAAGCAATGCGAAGGCATATCTGAAAATGACGGCGTGTGACGAAGTGATCGCGGAGTACTGAGGGGATAAACATGGTATTATTGTTTTATGACTATTGGGTCACAACGTCAAAAGTCGGAATGTCTCGCTGAGAACCACTTGCATGAGCATGTGGGTTACGTCGGTGCTACGAATAAGGGTGACACCAGCAGAACATCGAGTAGCCACAAATAGCCATTCTAGGCTAACTATCGACTTTTTAGAACTGCGATGACTAAACATTCTGCAGGGTATGTCTATGTGGGAATACGACCAAAGCTCAGTCATCTGAAAACTACGTGAATCAACTAAAAGCTGCAAATGTGAAACAATTAATCACGTACTTGGTTGTTGCTCCGTTGCGTGAAACATTGGGTTGTAGTGTTTTGTGGTTAGACAAGTTACTTTTATATTTGGTTTATTCTCACAAAGACATACACTGCCATTGTGAAATTCATCATAAACAATAGTCTAGCTAAAACTCCGTTTGTCGCAAATCACTTGAAGTTGGATAACACTTTGGAACATCTCAAACTGATTGCAAATTACACTAAACATTAATATCTTTCAAGCAATAGATATTGGCCTGGGCGTTTTGCTCGGCTGTGCTCTAGCGTGGACTAGTGGGAGGGCTGTAGCCCTCTACCGGTTCGATACGGAAGTGCTCATTGCTGCCCTCGGGCGGCAAGTAGATGGTGTAGGCAACGGTCACAGTTCCATAGAAGTAGTCCCAGAAGAGGTTCTGTCGCGGGACCGACATCACACGCTGTTAGTCACTTTGAAGTGTGGGGCTTAGACAATACATAGTGGAAGGGGTTGTTGAACTGATAGGGGTTAAGTTTGAAAATACAGGAAGAAAATAAACCCGCTCGTTTGTGTTATTTCACAAGGGATGTAACAAATGAAATAAAACAAAAAGTGACACGACATCAACTTAGGAGACATAACATAAAGAAAATAAAAGTAACGTCACAGTCGTTAAGAAACTTTGTACACATATAACACATCATTAGTACGGATTAGAATGTATTCTGCTAGATACAAAGTAGTGCCCTGAAGATGGTAAAACCAGATGAAGCGATGCTGTGTGATAATTATCGTTCATCGTGCGTAACTGATGGGTAGATATAAGCAAAGAGAAACCGAAGGTCCTACACGGAACAGGCATCCACGGGATCCCTGGGGCTGTTCGATATGTTACGCCACAGCCCTCACACACCCAGCACGAACCTTGAACTTTTTGAGTTCGACGGTGGTCTGCAGGAGAGTCTCCATCTCTTGTACGGCCTGTGGCTGGACCTCCTGCAGGTGCTGGAGCGCCTGCACCTTCTCCGTGCGGATGTGCTCGATCTCGGACGTGACGAAGGCCGGACTGACCTCGGTCGACTCCACCGTCTGGAGTGCCGTAGTCAGCACCTGCTCAGCCTCATGCTGCCGGCAGAGGACGCCACGTTAGCAACACTTCGTTGAGGCTGTCGTGATAGGACATGGTTGAGCGTCAGCTGCAGCGTTCAATGTTATTGTTGCTTTGAGACCTAGTAAGCGTGACTTGACGCAAGATGAGCTTATTCCAAGTTTTATTGTTGTACCTTTAAAAACAATGCCATGTGCTAAAACAGACTACAAGGGATTGTATCGCTGTCCGGTCTCGTCAGGTTGTCCGCGTACCCGCTCCTCGATGAACGTCTTGGTCTCCTCTGCCGTGGTGTCGGTGGTGACCTCCTGCACCGAGTAGGTGTTGAGCAGGTCCAGCTTGATCTTGGCCGACTTCTCCTCCACGGTGAGCAGCTGCGTCAGGTCCTTGGCCACCTCCTCGGGCGCAGCCTCCTGCACGGCCAGCGACTCCACCGTGGAGATGCGCCGCTGTGCGTCACGCTGGTGGAAGTGGAAATGGTGTCAGCGAGGTTGTAGGGAAAAGAGGATTGCCATGCGGACTACAAGTCGTGATGTTTTAATTGGGTTCGTAACAGTTAAACTTTTAAACCCAACTAGCAGATTAGTTAAAGCCAACTAGCCCTCGGTCTCCGACGCTGACCTCGGTTTTCAACATCTTCGTAACTTACAAGCCGTCCCCGTTAGCAACTCTCGTTCTTCACCACTGACCTTCCCCTCGATCTCTGTCACTAACCCAGAACCCTCCATCTCCGTCACTAAGCCTCAGTTCCAGTCACCAACCCTCTGGCTCCGTCACCAACCCTTGCCCTCTACCACTGAAGCCGCTCGGTCTCCACCACTGAAGCCGCTCGGTCTGCACCACTGACCCGTTCAGTGATGAACGTCTCCAGCTGGTCGGTGGTGAGCTCGGGCCGCAGCTCCTGCACCTGGAAGCCCTCGGTGAGGTCGAGCTTCACCTCGGCCACGGCGCAGTCCTGTTTGATCTGTTTGATCTCCTCGGTGATGTGCTGTTGCGCCGGCTCGACAATCTCCAGCGTCTCGACCGTGTTCCACACCTGCTCGGCCTCGTGCTGCCGGGTCACAGACACACGCTCGAGTCATGTGCAGGTCTCCGCAATGCAAGATGGATGGTATCCGTTCTCCTGTAGAAAGCTCGTATTGCTTTAACTACGGGGTTTCGTAGATTTTGGCAAGGAACGGGGATATTTATGAATAAGGGTGGTTTGTGGATGATTTGGTGGATGATAAAAACAGCGTGTGTTGTGTTCTAGAGCCATCAAATAATGCTTATCTGGCCGAAAATATTTACTGTTTTATAGCAGTATGAATGCACAACGCAACCAGACATTAATGGACATACATTCGTATTCATTTTGCATCATTGAACGCCTCCAACGTCTTAACCCGCGCACCGACGGGGGGGGGGCGGATATCCGCCCCCCCTGAGGTTTTTTGCAAATAGCGGGAAAACCGCGGCGCGTAGCGCCGCGAAATTTGGTATGACTATAACCTCATCAATTTTACACATGGTGTGCAAGTTTGAACTTCCTACCTTTTAAGGTCAGGTCACCAGGTCACTTTGAATGACCCAACCTCAAGTCACTTTTTTGCAACTTTGTCACCGTGCCACAGCTACAGTAGATGTCGGAGGCCTTTGAAAGTCGCAGGATATTATTAGGTCATTAGTAGCTACAATTTGTATATCTCGGAATTTTGATATCGGTGACCTAAGGTCAGGTCAATTTCGCGACCTCCCCATTATAAGTCAATGGGGGAAAAATCAACTCCCTGTTTTTACCACTAAAACGGGTCGGAATGGCCCCATATACTTTACATGACTTCATATACGATCAACCTTCACTACCTTGAGGTCTGTTTTGCTGTTGGGCAGCTGTGAGGTCATGTGACGTCATCAAAGGTCACCAAAGGTTTTTGGCCAATAACTCCGTACAGGAACAAGATACAGACGCGTGGATGGTCTTATTGTGTTCAGCTCGTCAAGACGCATCGAATGATATACATAATGACCTCGAGGTCACGTGACCTGAGGTCAACCTTTGACCTTGACCTTTCGAGGTCAACATATATATCATTCGATGCGGATTGACGAGAGGATCACGATGATGCCCTTAGTTTGTTCCTATCTTGACCAATTCGAAAGTTATTCGAGAAAAACTCTCTGCATATCTAGCGCCGCCATTTTGGCTTTTTCGACCCCTGTGACGTCATCTTTGACCTGACCTGAAAATGACCTTAGTAAAAATTGTAGATCTTGGCCGTGCGTATCCGATGCCGTTTACCGCTTGTCGCTATCTTGCTTCGTTCTCGAGATCTCAGGGGGGGGGGGCGGTCATCCGCCCCCCCGTCGGTGCGAAGTTGGCGCAGACCCCCGTCGGTGCGCGGGCTCTTCATAAATATTTAGCATTAAAAATCCTCTGCACTTATTTCTGCCGTCGATTCTTTGTTGTTTCCTCTGGTTATAGTTTGTCGCTTACCCGTTCGTCGACGAAGGCCTTCAGCTCATCCACAGTGGTCTGTGGAGTGATCTCGTTCACAGTGTAGGACTGCATCACTGCCAGCTTGGTCTCTGCCACGACCTGAGGGGACGGCAGCCGTGACTTGCCTATCAATCGGTATTGGAATGGTGCTTTTCATTTTTGTCCGATGTTTCGCTGTCAATGATCTTTTTTGTTCATAAGGGATTCGCAACATTGTAACCTTTGTGCCCTTATTAAGGTCTTTTTACATATCGATTGTTTTCTTTTGGTATGACTATCATTCGTCAAGGAAATAACATTTCTTTTCAAACTTTCACAAGCCTTCATGACTGGGGGTAAATTTTGTGTGTTGCTCTGTTCCGAGTGCCTCACCTTTTCGGCGGTAACCTTTTTGAGCTCCTGCTCCAGCAGCTCGGGCGTGATCTCCTGCACCACGGGTGCCGTCACCTCGGAGAGTTTGCGCTCGGCGGTCTCGCGCTCCACGATGAACTGGCGCACCTCGTCGACGCTCATGCCGACGGTGATCTCCTCCTGTGTGAACGCCTCCAGCGTGCTGATCTTGCGCCGCGCCGTCTCCTGTGTCACCCAAGTGGAAGCTCAGAGACGCGTCCGCAGTGTTTGAGCAAACACCATAAGTACTTGGGCCTGGGAGACAGACTTTAGAGACATTATATCACAGGTGGCTAGCTATCGATGGACTTATTGGTGGAGCTTGCATGCATTTAACCTTTTACGAGTGATTGGTGAAGCGACAATTAAAAATGAGAAGGCTGAGAAGAATTCGAATTATGTGAACTAGTAATAGCTCCAGTGTTGGCAAGTTGGTAAAAAACGCGCGTAACGAACAATTAGTAAATGAATTATCGTTCTGCTCTGCAACATTTTTAGTCACATGGCGGTCAGCAGCTGATCAAAGTCGACCAGCGCAGTTAGTCACCGATGTTTGAGAGACGGTTGTTGGTGGGGCAGGTATGCATGTTGTTATCACATAGTTAACATGTTGCAGAGGGCCTGCTGTAAAAGTGGTTCGATATAATATAATGTAAAATACATGAAGAACACTTCAAACGAGAAAAAACATGAATCACAGATGTTAGCCACACAGCTGCATACAAAGTGGCACTCTTTGAAATAAACACACGAAAAATTTAACGCTGGTAAAATCGTCAGCGTAATCAACGTTTTAAAAGTAACGTATACGAAATCATTCATTGATTGTTAGCTAAAACATGTCAGTCACCATTTGAGTTACAGCACTGTGCATCCGAGCACACATCTCGGACAAAAATACCTCGTCTAATTTTTCTATTGGCAGTTCTTCGACTTCTTCGTCTGGCTGCTTTGGCTTCCTTTCCTTAAACTTTTGCTTTATGGTAGTCACTTGGACTTCTTCAACCTCGACCTTCTCTAGTTCCTCGGGCTTTTTGACTGGCTTTAGCTGCACCTGTTCCAACTGTTCCTCGGGCTGTTTTGGTAACTGCTTGGGCTTCTTGGTTGGTTTTAATTTAGCCTCTTGCCACTCAGGCTTATCATCTTCCGGTTTCTTGATTTCTTTTGGTTTTTCATCTTCAGGCTTCTCAGTAGTGGGAGCCTCTGGAATCACGTCTTCATCCAGTGGAATGTCTTCTGCGGCAATTTCATCCTGAAACAGCCAAAACATCGTTAAAATCGTCTTACTTTTTGTCTAACAGTGCGTGTTCGTGAAATATGCTGCACATGGAGCTCTGCAGACTTAAATTTGCAGAACTCTTTGGCTGCACCTAATGAAATGCTATAAGACTATATAGTGTTAATAATTGCGCAAAACACAATTTTGAAGATTGTAATAGCATATAACACCGAATGCTCGTGACTTTTGTTTGTCATTTTTTTATTTACCTATTTATTGATGTCGAAAAATTGGAATCATGTTGCGCGAAATGAGCGTCAAACCATCAAAACCCCACTTACCGGTGCTGCTTGTTCAGTATGTTTCGGTTTCTTCGGTTTCTTTTTCTTTTCTCTCTTCCACACCTCAGGCTGTTCTTCAACTATTGGTTGATCTCCAGAAACCATAGTGTCTTCCTCTTTACTCTCCTCTTCTAATGGCCTTTCTTCAGGAGCCTTTGGTGCTTCCTGTGGTTTACTTAGGACTTCAGGTTTCGTCTCAAGAACTTCCTCGGGCCTTTCTATCTCTTCCTCGGGTGCCTTAGGAGCCTCAGGTCGTTTCGGTTTCTTCTTTTTCGGCTTACCTCTCTGCCACACCTCTCCTTGTTCTTTAGAAATATGCTCTTCTTCTTCAACATCAACATCTACTTCCTTAACCTCCTCTGCCAGTGGTTTTTCTTGCGGAGATTCAGGCTTTTCCTCCTTTTCTTCAGGCACCCGAGGTGTCGTCTCTGGAACTTCTTCAGGGGCTTCAGGCTTTTTCTCGGGTACCTCAGGTACCTCAGAACGTTTTGGCTTCTTCTTTTTCGGCTTGCCTCTCTGCCACACCTCTTCTTCTTCCTTAATAATCTGCTCCTCTTCTTTAACATCCACATCTACTTCCTGAACCTCCTCTTCCAGTGGTTTGTCTAGCGGAGATTCAGGTTTATCCTCCTTTTGTAAAGGCGCCTCAGGTGTCGTCTCAAGAATTTCAACAGGCTTTTCCGGTTTTTCTTCGGGTGTCTTAGGAGCCTCAGGACGCTTCGGCTTCTTCTTTTTCGGTTTATCTCTCTGCCACACTTCTTCTTCCTGAATTATCTTCTCTTCTTCTTTAGCATCTACAACCACTTCCTGAACCTCCTCTTCCAGTGGTTTGTCTTGCGGAGATTCAGGCTTGTCCTCCTTTTGTATAGGCGCCTGGGGTGTCGTCTCCAGAATTTCATCAGGCATTTCCAGTTTTTCGTCGGGTGCCTTAGGAGCCTCAGAACGTTTCGGCTTCTTCTTTTTCGGTTTACCTCTCTGCCACACTTCTTCCTGAATTATCTCCTCTTCTTCTTTAACATCTACATCCACTTCCTGAACCTCCTCTTCCAGTGGTTTGTCTAGCGGAGATTCAGGCTTATCCTCCTCTTGTATGGGCGTCTCAGGTGTTGTCTCCAGAACTTCATCAGGCTTTTCCGGTTTTTCTTCGGGTGCCTTAGGAGCCTCAGGACGCTTCGGCTTCTTCTTTTTCGGTTTACCTCTCTGCAACACTTCTTCTTCCTTAATAACCTGCTCTTCTTCCTTAACATCTACCTCCACTTCCTGAACCTCCTCTTCTACTGGTTTTTCTACCGTAGATTCAGGCTTTTCCTCCTTTTGTACAGGCATCTCAGGTGTCGCCTCGAGATCTTTCTCAGGCTTTTCCGGTTTTTCTTCGGGTGCCTTAGGAGCCTCAGGACGCCTTGGTTTTTTCTTTTTCGGTTTGCCTCTCTGCCACACCTCTTCTTCTTCTTTAATAATCTGCTCTTCTTCCTTAAGATCTACATCTACTTCCTGAACCTCCTCTTCCAGTGGTTTGTCTAGCGGAGAATCAGGCTTATCGTCCTTTTGTATAGGCACCTCAGGTGTCGTCTCAAGAACCTCCTCAGGCTTTTCCGGCTTTTCTTCGGGTGCTTCAGGAGCCTCAGGACGCTTCGGCTTCTTCTTTTTCGGTTTGCCTCTCTGCCACACCTCTTCTTCTTGAATTATCTCTTTTTCTTCTTTTACATCTACATCCACTTCCTGAACCTCCTCTTCCAGTGGTTTGTCGTGCGAAGATTCAGGTTGATCCTCCTGTCGTACGGGCACCTCATCTTTGGTCTCCGGAACTTCTTCAGGGGTCTCTGGCTTTTCCTCGGGCACCTGTGATTCTGGCTGTTCCTCGGGCACCTGTGGTGCCTCAGGACGTTTCGGCTTCTTCTTTTTTGGTTTACCTCTCTGCCACACCTCTTCTGCTTTAATAACCTGCTCTTCTTCTTTAATATCTACCTCCACTTCCTGAACCTCCTCTTCTACTGGTTTGTCTACCGGAGATTCAGGCTTTTCCTCCTTTTGTACAGGCATCTCAGATGTCGTCTCGAGATCTTCCTCAGGCTTTTCCGGCTTTTCTTCGAGTGCCTTAGGAGCCTCAGGACGCTTTGGCTTTTTCTTTTTCGGTTTGCCTCTCTGCCACACCTCTTCTTCTTCTTTAATAACCTGCTCTTCTTCTTTAACATCTACCTCCACTTCCTGAACCTCCTCTTCTACTGGTTTGTCTGCCGGAGATTCAGGCTTTTCCTCCTTTTGTACAGGCATCTCAGGCGTCGCCTCGAGATCTTCCTCAGGCTTTTCCGGCTTTTCTTCGGGTGCCTTAGGAGCCTCAGGACGCTTTGGCTTCTTCTTTTTCGGTTTGCCTCTCTGCCACACCTCTTCTTCTTCTTTAATGACCTGCTCTTCTTCCTTAACATCTACCTCCACTTCCTGAACCTCCTCTTCTACTGGCTTTTCTACCGTAGATTCAGGCTTTTCCTCCTTTTGTACAGGCATCTCAGGTGTCGCCTCGAGATCTTTCTCAGGCTTTTCCGGTTTTTCTTCGGGTGCCTTAGGAGCCTCAGGACGCCTTGGTTTTTTCTTTTTCGGTTTGCCTCTCTGCCACACCTCTTCTTCTTCTTTAATAATCTGCTCTTCTTCCTTAAGATCTACATCTACTTCCTGAACCTCCTCTTCCAGTGGTTTGTCTAGCGGAGAATCAGGCTTATCGTCCTTTTGTATAGGCACCTCAGGTGTCGTCTCAAGAACCTCCTCAGGCTTTTCCGGCTTTTCTTCGGGTGCTTCAGGAGCCTCAGGACGCTTCGGCTTCTTCTTTTTCGGTTTGCCTCTCTGCCACACCTCTTCTTCTTGAATTATCTCTTTTTCTTCTTTTACATCTACATCCACTTCCTGGACCTCCTCTTCCAGTGGTTTGTCCTGCGGAGATTCATGCTTATCCTCCTTTTGTACGGGCACCTCATGTTTCGCCTCTGGAGCTTCTTCAGGGGTCTCTGGCTTTTCTTCATGTACCTCAGGAGCCTCAGGACGTTTCGGCTTCTTCTTTTTTGGTTTACCCCTTTGCCATATTTCTGGTTGTTCTTCATGGACTTTTTGGTCATCTGCTATGTCAACGTCTGCTTCTTTGACTTCTTCTTGAAGTGCTTTTTGATCTGGGGCGTCCGGTCCCTCGATCTCTTCTTGTGGTTTTGTTTCCTCTGAAGGTTTAGGCAGTTCACGCTCTTGCTTTTTCTTTTCAATTTGTTTTACTTCAGTCACAACTTCAGTTTCTTCAGTCTCGCTTTCCTCTTGTGTAATCTTGTCAATAACGTCCACCTTGAGCTGCTCTTCTACCGCTCCTTCGCGTGTTTCTTCTACCTCCGATTTTTCAACAAATTCTGTCGTTTCCTCTGACTTATCAGTAACCTCTTTTGGAGCAGCAGGACGCTTAGGTTTCTTTTTCGGTTTGCCTCTTTGCCATACCTTAGGCTGTTCATCAGCGATTTTTTCATCATCTTCGATTCCAATGTCGGTCTCTTGGACCTCTTCCTCGAAGGGCTTCTTATCGGTAACCTCGGGCTTGTCCTCTTGTTTCTCTTCTGGTTTCTGATCCGGCCTTTCTTCTGGAGCTTCTTTCGGTATTTCAGGACGTTTTGGCTTTTTCTTTTTGGGCTTTCCTCTTTGCCAGACTTCTGGCTGCTCTTCAGTTAATGGCTGCTCTTCGGGAACGCTAACATTTGTTTCCTGCACCTCTTCTTCAAATGGCTTCTCAGGAGAGTCACTCTTTTCGTCTGTCCCTTCAGGAATATCTGGTTTCTCTGGCCTCTTCTTTTTAGTGATCGTAGTGTCAGCGATTGTTTCTTCTTGCTCTGCAACCTCATCTTCCTCAACCAGAACCACTGTTTCTTGTGTTGTTGTCTCCTCAGTAACAGTGGTTTCATCGAATGACTGCACGGTCATTTGCTCTGTGGTTTCTTTGAGGTCGATTTCCTCCGGTTGGCGCAAGACGGTGGGTTTCTCTGTGATGTCTTCTGATGTGACATCCTCTTCTGATACCGGAACGTTCTGTAATCGCATAGACACATAGGTCAATTGCAAAGGAATTAAGGGGGGCGAAATTTGTGGTTGTTTGAATGTTGCCTTCCACCATAACACTATGTAATGTGATTTTGGTAAATGTAACTTTCACCCTCCAGACACTCCAGTTAGGGGCGCGAATCGAATACAGTGATGTTTAAAATAATTCGAATTAGCCGAATTCATACTTTATGAAACAATCAGCACGCAAGATAATTTTGACTGATAGTTGATAGACACTATTGTTGGATCATTGATATTCATGACTTTATTTTCGTTGTTTAGGGATAACAAATGTCCTTGAACGACCTGGTTGATAAGTATCGTCATGAGAAACTTCGGTTGGGATGATGCTAAAAATTTAAGCAGCCCTACCATATTACATAACTCCAATACGTCTCACCTGTTAAGAACAACACGAGTTTCCCGTTGTTAAAACATGCACACTTTAATTGTTATCGATGCCATCAACATACATACATACAGTCATACATATCAGTGCACTGCATTTTTTAATCACATCAGAAAAATAAACACGATTTAAAAAACGTTTGTAAATAGTCATTGCACATTATTGCAATTCCATTGAAAGAACAACAACAGACGGCAAAGTATCGGCAAATAATTTTCGAGAAAATTACTTTTTTTTCTCGATAAATGAAAGGTAATCGGTTTGGAGAATAAAATTCAATTAATAATAACAATGATAAAAAATATAAAATTTCTTTCATGGTATCTGTTATTTCAATCCTGCTTTGAACATATTTTAGGGTTTTACAAATTTTACTTTTACAACAATGGACGTCTTGTTGTTGTAGATGAGAAAGAGGAGCTCATGCTAGTAAGTAATTGTTTATGGGAAAACATTCGGCTCACACTCAAGAATGGGTTTGCAACAACCGATAAAAACCATCGACATTGCCCTTGCCAGTTCATTTATGGGATATCAATAGTTTTTTTTTTCTACGTAGTTCATTAGTGTTCCTCCATTATGTCAGGGAAAGACAAGCATCGCGCTAAAAAATAATTGACATTGTATTAGGGCTCAGTATTGCAATTGTTTTTGTGTATTGTTGTTATTTCTCTTGGAGATAATATTCCATTACTCGGATGTGAAGTTATAGGGGAGAGTGGGGTAAGATGCCCAGGGTGGGAAAGACTCTAGCGGCGAAACAAAGAATCGGACCTGGAAATTAATGTTCTTAGCGTAAAGCGGAAGCCTGCCTTGTTAACTGCACAAAAATTTGCGAAGCTCAGTTGGGCAACGGCTGGCTGATGATTGCATGTTTTTTATTTGCTGCTTTCAAAAAATATTTTGGTGTCAAAACATTGTAAATATCAAAGAATGTAAATAATTTTTGCGTCCCTTGCTATAGTCGTGATACATTAGCATGCGTGTACTGTGTCCCAAACAGTTTGTTTCAGGGTGTAGTTTTATGACTAACAAATTGTACTGATTTAATGTTACTTCGGTACCTTGGGGTAAGATGCCCCCTGTCCTGATGGGGAAAGACGCCCCCCTAAATCCGTAGGCTGTCCTTCAAACAGCCGTCAAATCATTTATTACATACTTGTGATGTAGACAAAAGCCGATCTGGGACTATTGAGAGTCCAGTACGGTCGGGTGCTCCCCATGCCGGTCTCTCGGCCCACATAGCGACTTTTTGGGCGGCATCTGACTCTGAGAGCCCTCACGACGACCTATGTGGGCCCCAATATTGGCTCCAGGCCCCCTCACGACATCCTTTGAGGGCTCCCACGTTGGCCCCATGGGCCGCGTTGGCATCGGAGGTCCCCACGATGGGCTCGAGGGCCCTCAAGCATCATGAAGACCTATAAGAGCCCCACAGTGGTCTCCGAACGCCACCACGGAGGCTTGTTTGGCCGCGCTGGACTATGATGGCCCTAACGATGACCTCTGAAGCCCTTACGACTACTTTTGAGGGCCCTTATGATGACGTTTGAGAGAGAGAGAGAGAGAGAGAGAGATTTCTATATTTGCAGACTCGAGGTCCAATAAAAAAGGTACATGTAGGTAAAAGATCACTGATCAGTGATCGGCTATATGCTATATACAATCAGCTATATGCAAACAGTGCAGTGGACCAGGTCTGTCGAATTGACGACAAAAAGCGAAGATCCCCATGAAATAGGGATGCGATGATGCCATTGCGAGATTGTCCGATACGAGACATGAAGCCGAAAACAGCTTTCCGGTACATAGCCCAGAAGTTATCAATGCGCTCATTCACATACATAGATGAGGCACTACTAAAGCGGTCATAACCAAAGAACATTCTAGCGGCGTTATTGAAACAAACTATGAATTTACGCAGAACAGCAGCACGATGCGAATGCCATAGATGAACACCAGAAACATTCGAGCAATACATGGAATACAAATACTTCTTCACTTGATATGTACAGAGAGAGAACTTTCTGATCAGCGAATTGGCTCGACAACACAGAAGGCGATACTGGTGCTGCACCTCCAGATCATCAGATTTTGTTGGAACATTGCTCACTTCAAAGCCAAGATATTTATACCTATTCACATAAGTAAGCACAGTACCATTCAAGACTATATCTGGTAAAGACATATTTTTAAACAAATTGGGCAGAATAGCCATGCATACCGTCTTTTTAACATTGAAAACAATATCATGTGCATCGGCATATCTAGCACAAATGTCAAGCAATTTTTGCAGTCCTTGAGGCGTTGGCGATAGCAGTACCATGTCATCTGCATAACAAAGGTGATTAACACTGCCCAAATAATGACAACCAGCACCACTACTGTCTAATTTTTTAGACAGCTCATCAATGTACACGTTGAAAAGATATGGGGATAAGATACCACCTTGCCTGACGCCATTGGACACATGAAAGCCTTCCGACAAACAGGTGCCCCACATCACACGGAATGTTTGCGAACCATACCACGAAGCCAATAGTTGTACAATAGTGGCATCAACACCTCGACGCAAGAGTTTATCAAACAAGGTCCAATGTTTGGTGTCTACTGCAGGCTCGAAGGGACTACTGATTCGTTCAGGCGATTCACGTGCCCATTTATGTCACTTATAGTGCAGGGGGCATCTTTCCCAACGTCAGGGGGCGTCTTTCCCACCCTGTGGGGTAAGATGCCCCCTTTCACTTCTTCAGGAAAATGCTTAATAGCAAAAAAAGTTATAATATTTCGGGCACGAAAGTGTGATATTTTTGGAGAAAAATGATGTCGGCTTCCGTTGAAGCTTCAAGTTTTTGCTTTCCCATCGTCATTTTCGAATAATATATGACATAGCAAAACCCTGGGCATCTTTCCCCACTCTCCCCTACTAATTTTAATTTTGCCTTAGACTCGTCACACAATGGTATAGTCGGAAATCTGATAAGGTATTTGCGAATTATAGATTTAAAGTACATTGCTTATTTATTGGTTAGATATTTGTTACGCATAAAAATACGATGATATGAAAATCGTGAGTTATTATACACACGCTAGTGTCACTCCAAAATGTTGGCGAAAACTGTCAGACTGCTCTCTGCTCTGACCTGCTCCGGTCTAGTCGGTACCAACTCTTCTGCAACATCGTCAGCAGTTTCTTCAGGTTCAGGCTTCTTTGGTTTTCGCTTTTTCTTGTCCTTCTTACGTCTCCACTCTTCTGGTGTTTCCTTTGGTTCAAGTTTCTCCTCTTCGGGTTGCTGAATGTCGACTTCCTTCAGTTCTTCCTCGAATGGTTTGTCTTTTGGCAACCTTTTCTTTTGCGTTGTAACTGTAGTTGTGATTACTTCTTCTTCGTCTTCTTCAGAGCTTGCTTTGGTCACAATCTCGTTTATATCTGTCGTTTTTTCTGTCGTTATCTCTTTTTCAGGTTTGTCTTTCTTTGTTTTCGGGCCTTTAGGTTTCTTTTTGTCCTTTCTTCTTTTCCATTCCTCTACTTCGTCCTCTTGAAGTTCGTCCTTCTTTTCTACCTCAACGTCAACTTCCTGGACTTCTTCTTCGAATGGTTTTTCATCTGGTTTTTGTTCGGTGGCCGGAGTCTTATCAATTTTTTCCACGCGCTTTGAAAGCTCTTCTTTTACGATCTCACTTGTATCTGCTTGTTCCTCTACAAAAGGCCCCTCTTTGGGCTTCTCTTTTGTCTTCGTCTTCATGATCATTGTTGTCTCTTCAATTGTCTCTTCTTGATCGGATGATATTTCAACAAAGTCAGTGGTTTCAGTCACTTCTGTTGTCGTTGGCTTTTCTTTTTTGGGTCTTTTGAGTTTCTTTTCTTTCTTCCGTCTCCATTCTTCCGTTGTGTCTGCTTTTTCAACGTCCTTATCATCCGGTATATTAATATCAACTTCTTGCACTTCCTCTTCAAATGGTTTGTCTTTCGGCTTTTTCTTTGTTTTTGTTGTCATGACAATGGTCTCCTCTGTTTCCTCTTGATCTGAAATCACTTCACTGGACTCTTGAACTTCAACGACAACTTCCTCAGTCTCTGGCTTCTCACGCTTTGGTTGCTTTGGTTTCTTTTTCTTATCCTTTCGCTTCTTTTCCTCAGTGATATCCTCTTCGATTGTTGTTATGGTCGTGTCCTCTGTTAGTGTAGTATCAACTACTGTTGTTTCATCGATTTTCTCCACCGGCTTGAGCGTCACCGTCTCCCTGTCATCCTCGGTTCCTTTCTGGGTGGGTTTCGCGGGTTTCAGCTGCACTCTCTGCCACTCCGGAGTTTCTTCGTCCGCAGGAAGCATTCGTTTCGGCTTACGCTTCTTAGAGTCATCCGATTCCTGCAGGCATTGATCATGTTCATGATTAGCTATTAGGTCACGATCTGATGGTTCCTGACTCGGTGATGAAATGAATAAAATTAAGCTAAACTCTAAATAGGAGCAATATTTCCCCTTTTCTCCCAGGCTGCACGAAAGCAGGTGTGGGCTCTTTGATATTTCTTCGTTTTATTTCTAATTACTTGTTTACTGAGTTTTTGAATCCGAACCATTACGATACAATTTACGAACCTCCAACCAGTTGAACTTTATCAATAGAAATTTCATTTCAACCACAACGAAATAAGAAACGCGAAGATAATGAATGATAAAACTGGCCTGAAAATAACAACAGCTTCACTTGCGATAAGCATTGCTCGATTGTTAGTGTCATTTGGTATCAGTATCATATGCACATTTCCAAACGTGAGTTGCAAAATATCATTGTGATCAAATGTTATGTTTCATCACCACATCAAAAATAAAAATACCACCACATATCAGCACATGACCACATCAAAAATAAAAATACAATACGAGCGCATTGCTTTTAATGCAAATACCCGGTCCATTGGTAATGGACTAAAATCTTCAAAAATACAACTCATAGATCGTCTAAGTTTTGTACAGACGCTGAAAGCACGACAAACCTCAGGCGTGGCACTGACATCACTTGGCTTCTGCTCGTCTCCTGGCAATTTTTCTGTGTCACTTGTCTCTTCCTCTTCTGGTCCTTCCGGTTTCTTTGGGCGTTTCTTTTTCTTTTTTAGGGGTTTTGCATCAATGCCTGTGGGTTTCTCCAGTACAGGCCTATCCATGCTCTCAATCGGTTTCAACTCTAGAGAATCCCATTGAAGTGTTTCTGGTTTTTGTTTTGCCTCAATGGGACTTTCTTCGTCCACGTCTGGAATCGGTTTGAGATCCACGGTCTCCATGTCTTGTGCTTCCACTGGTCTGGGCTCTGCCTGGACTGGCTTGAGCGCGAAATTGACCCATTCCGGCTGTCCCTCCTCTGCTATGACTCGCTTCTTCTTTTTGGGCTTCTTTGGCTGCTCCGGTGTAGCCTGAAACGTGCATTTGAATTTAATGTACATTTTTACATAGTCTGCAGTGTCTGTTTATTGCATGCAACTTACCCTTTCATCCAAACATATTTAGAAAACTGACTCAGTTGTGTTAACATGCAATAATGGAAGGATACTTTTACTTTCTATGACTTTGCTTCCATGACCTTTCAACTGACATGTCAAATCATTTGTGTCAGGTATGATTTGTTTCATTATTGATGATTGCATTCAAACTCTTATATGTAGCCATATGAGTGGAACAGATGCTCACTCGTATGCCATTGCTTGGTGCATGGAAGCCGAATCATTATTTTGAGGCATTTTAGAATGTCCTTTACAAACATTTAGTTATATAAACATAATAAAGCAGATTTATCACTCCATTTTCACCCTCGCCTGGCCACGGGCCTCATATAATTAATTTGAATTTAAAATTTGAGCTCAACAGTCAGCATACTATTCAAATGAGAGAAAACTATCTAATGCAAGCTCATAGAACTCACATATGCTATGAGAGGTCTTCCTAAAATGCAGCTAATTTTGTATCTTGTATGTCTCATTTTTACACTAAGCCGTTTTGGAAAAAATGAATATATTGAGACCGCCCGACCGGACGAGGGTTTATCATTATTTAGGCTACTTTCGATAGCCCTGTTAAGCATAGACACCGTTTTGTCGGCCACAAACCTCGTCTGAAGTTGTCTGGTCTGGTAGCTGTTTCAGAGGCGTCGGCTTCTCTTCGGGAACCTCATCTGAATGTGCCTCGTCTTGAGCGGGTTCTTCGGTAGTGACGGCCTCAGTGGGCGCCTCTGGTTGTTCACCCTCCGTTGGTCGCTTTTTCTGTTTCTTCGGCTTCTTGGTCTTTTTCTTTGGGGTCTCGTCAAGAGTTTCTTCCTCGGTTGGCGCCGGCGCCGTCTGCTCCATGTCGGGTTTCGGCGGCTTCTTGCTGAAGTCGGGCAGTTCGGTGGTGGGGATGCGATCGGGTCGCGTCATGATGAGGGAGGTGATGGCGTCCTCCTCCTGCTCCACCTCCACCTTCTTCAGCTTCACACGCTGCCACTCTGGAAGGTGGTCCTCGGGCTGCAGCGGCTCCTCCGGCTGGACTTCCGTCACCTCGGCTGGCTGCGGCACCTCCTGAAATATTCATTCGAAATGAACGGTGAGCTATGTAAGTATCAGAGACCTTGATTAAATTCATTACATTGGACAGCCTACTGAGTACTGTTGCTAAACTAGCATAGATAACTACTGTACATGTTTTATTACGCACTATTTATATTAAATAAACTAGCATCCAAAGAGGCAAACCTGAGCTTCTTTGAATATCCAGTGCAACATAAAGATATGCTAGCGCATTAAAATAAGTATGAACGGCACAAACCTCATCGTCCCCTGACGGCAATTCCTCTTCATCCGGTTTGGCCATGTCGTCCGGTGTTTTTAGCTTCTTGATCTTTTTCTTCTTTGGCTTTTTATCGGGTTTCTCTTTATCATCACCGGGGATTTTCTTGAGAATCGTGTCCGCTTCTCCAGGCTGTTCTGGTTTTTTATCAATGCGGCCTTTGTCAGTGATGTCCTCCTCTGTATCACTTAGTGGTTTCAGCTCCACAGTTTCCAGCTTTTCCTCGTCTATCTCCTTGGGAACCTGTTTCACCGGTTTTAATGAGAAGTCGATCCACTCAGGAGTTTCTGAATCCAATGGTTGTCCGCGCTTGGGCTTCTTCGGCTTTTTGTCCTTGTCCTGAAAGCGCAATTTACACATGAGTTGACAGAACCAGTGGATATGGTACTAATTCAGGGAAAAAACGTATCAATATGGGTGCCATTGAATCCACCTTGGTGGCATGTTTGTTATTACGCATGGAAACGTTGATCGCGCTTAGTGAGTTGTAAAACTTTTCACTGTAAGTGAAATGATGCATTGATAGATTTAATGGCAGCAACAAATAAAGATCAAATATGAAAAATACCAAACCAGTATAACGCCTTTTGGGGCGACTAACGGAGCGAGCGAGAGGGTGAGCCTTGCACGTGCGAAATTTCGAGGGGTAACCTCCAGCTGACTTGTGCACGGCACCCTACTAACCGGTCTCTAGCGATGTGCCAAATTTGAGCACAATCGGCCCAGCCGTTCTCGAGATCTGGAAGCGGCACCCTGCACGTGCGCACGTGCAAAATGGGTCCCAACTGACTTTTGCACGGCACCCTACTAACCGGTCCCTAACTGTGTACCAAATTTGAGGGTAATTGGTCGAGCCGTTCTGGAGATCTGGAAACGACCCCTGCACGTGCGCACGTGCAGCAGCGCCCCAACTCTGGCACATGGATATGCAGTGCCTAGTGGGTGCCTACCTACATGCCAACTTTCAGCGCAATCGGCCAAGTAGTTACCGAGATATTGCAACAATTACAAAACGGACACCTCTTCGTTTTGCACGTGGCACGTGCATAAGGGGTCACCCACATGCATCAGGAATAGTCCAATACTTGGTAGAAGGAATGAAGCTACCCTACAAAAATTACCGCGTGTAAATCGGTCAAGTGGTTGCTGAGATATAAGCCTCGCAAAAGCGTGACCACGGCCGGCCGGCCGGCCGGCCGCTCATACTCAGAAATTTCCGTTAATCTAAGGAAAGCTACGCTCGCTTCGCTCGCTCCGTAACCAAGCAGTGACGGATGATATCTGAAGAGGATGGTAACAATTGTAACAAGGTGAAATAGCATACCACCCAACCATTTCCTAGCGCATATACATACACTAATCGGTAACCAAATTTTTTTTGTCAATAGTTAAAACACTATTCGTTAGAATTGTGTTTTTCTATTGAAAAACAAATCTGAGTTCCCTGACAATTTTGCAAAAGCTGCCTGAGTGCACTTAGGAAGGTTTGGTTAGGAGGCTAAGTAATACATGTAAGTAGGTGTATTAAGAATGAGCTATTTTATTATCCTTGATGTTTCTTTGTTAGAGGTCATGTAAGCCTAGCAACATACCCACAAAATTTATGTTATGATGTGTCATTCATTTTTGCATTTTCACTGTTTGTTTGGTTTGATCTCCATTGCTGGTCTTTTATAAGCGTCTTTGTAAAATATATGACAATCACAAAAAAAACTTACCTCTGGCTGCCGGTCATCTTGCTTTTCTGGAACTTGCTCTCCTTCTCTTGCCTCGGGTGTTGTTACGGGAACCTCTTCGACAGCTTCCGGGCGTTTCTTAGGCCTTCGCTTTTTTGGTTTCTTTGCACTGCTCTTGTCTTCCTCAGTTTCGCCGGGAATCTTGTCCTCTGGTCTCGTATCCTCTTCCGAGATGATACCATCTGCCGGCTGAACATCATCAGATGACTTTTTCGGTACTTCCTTGAATTCCAACTCTGTTCTGGGTATCCGATCGGGGCGGCTGAGTGTCATGCTCGTTAACACGTCCTCGTCCTCATCCTCCGGCTTGGCGACCTTCTTCAACTTGAAGCCCTTCCATTCGGGTGCTCCGTCTGGCTTCTTGGGCTTCTCCTTCTGCTGCGGCTTGGCGTCCTCCGGAACGTGCTCCTGCGGGTACACAACTCAGTGAGTGACAGCACGGGACAGAGCTGATCGACACCCAGTGGGTCACCGGGTGCAGGATTAGTAGCATGCTCACTTCCGCTGAAAGCAGTGACGATAAGACGAGCAGTGTCTTGTCAGTTGGCTCATTCGGAACGCGTGGTCTCAAGCTTGGTATTGAGCAGGATGCGATGGAAATCAGGCTAAATAGCTCGTAGGCTTCAGATGCGTTCCTAAAAACATGCATGCACGCATGACAGGATTCAGCATGCACCGGTGACATTGTGTTTGTTCCAGAATATCTTGTGGCTGCATTGTGTTTTATGTGATTGATCGGCGGGTGTGCATTTGTCGGAGCTTCATAGTGTCAAACATTATTCGCTGAACAACCTAACAACAATCATAATAATTCTTAAAAGCATTCCATCTGTCGAAACTTAAGAATAAAAGCCCAAATCAATTACATACACCTTTTAATACCACGGTAAAGGGCTACATAACATGTAACGCCAATAAATATACATTCATACAACGCCCATATCCTGCGTCCGTCATCGCCGTAACAGGGATAACTGCTTAGCAAGGGAATCATATCCAGCCATTAAAGCTATCAAAAGCAGGGAGCTTTTATGGTGCAAATAGTACCCTGAATAGTTGCAGTGGTATCTTATAACGACGAAAGGCTAAACTATGGTCACGCAATATTGAGCGAATTAAAGTTGCAGTACCAAACTACTAAAGCAAATGTAATAACTATGCTATAAAGAAATTATGTCTGTTGTACATAGATGCTTCACATAACTTGAAAGACACCACAATTGCTTTCGGTGAAACATGGTGAACAATTAAAAATAAGCACCACAAGCAGGTAATGGTTGATATTTTGCGACAGAGCTTTGGTAGCTGCAACTGAAAACAAGAGAAGCCATTGAAGGAGTTAAATATAAACTTATTCAAAGCAGCAGCAAATTCACATAAATAAACTAAACAAAACTTGCTAGAAACGTAGTAGCGAAGACTTAAAAGGGCACAGTTCACTTTTAACATGGGGTTTTGAACTGCAATAGCAGTTTCGTAGCTTTCGCTGAGACTAGCACAAATCAAGAGCTTTTACGGCCCAACGATCACCCTAGACGAATAAATTTCATTTCTCGTTCCGCCAAGAGTGCCTTGCTGAGGAATGCAGCTACGTCATCGTCAGACATTCAGCATACAGCCAATGCAGCATGCGTAGGTTTGAACTACACAATAACCGAAGGTTTGTTGTCAATAGTTAAAACACTATTCTTTAGAATTGTGTTTTTCTATTGAAAAACAAATCTGAGTTCCCTGACAATTTGGCAAAAGCTGCCTGAGATCAGTACAACTTGATGCTCTAGAAAACGGCTGCTCCAAAAATTCTGATTTTTTCAGGATTTCTAGTGGGCCAGGTGATCTACGTTCTGGTATGGGTCTCTCCTCCGCAGACAGTCTGGTGCACGTGCCACGTGACTTTGAAAATTCCCATGTTAAGCCATATGATTAGTCAACGCGTAATACGCTTCTGCGACAAACATGATTTAATATATAATGTAGTTCTTCCTATATTAAAACATAGACAAACATCGTTTTCACAAAAAAGGTTTAATTTTATTATCTGGTTATTTTGAGCATAAAATCATTAATCCACAGCAATTAACTAATTTCAGGAAAGTGAAATATTCCCTTTAAATCAACGCAGAATAGCCATTTCATCATTTATCATGTTATTGTTCTATCATCATTTTATAAGCAATGGAATCCGAGTTATAACAACATCACTGCAAATAGATTACGAAAGCTGTAAAAAAAACTGCTCAACCAAGACAAATCATATATTTTAGAAACAAGGCGATGTTCCCTTTATAAACACCTGGTTATGTGGAGAGACGTCAGGAGTGCCATCAGGCGAAGGCGGCCCATGTCTGTCGTCGTTTGTGATGCGTTTTGATCTACGAGTTTTCTTTGTCTTGGTGATGACTGTGATGAGCTCTTCATCAGGGCCTTCCTGGATGTCCTTTGTCGTTGTAACCTCAGTTACCTCGACGAGGTCAGGCGTCTCCTCAACAGTCGTAGTGGGTTCGGCTTTCTCCGGAATTTCTGGAAGGATTTCTTCCGTAGTTTCGGTGCCGTCTGTAGGCTTCTTCCGTTTGATTTTCTTTGTAATCGTGACAGTCTCGATTTCCTCATCATCATTCCGTTCAACATCAGTAGAGGTATGTTCACTTATTTCGGTGACTCCCGGGATTTCCTCAATCTGTTGATCCAGTCGTGTTTTGCATGGCCGTTTCTTCTTTGGCTTCTCCTTCGGCGCTTTTTCTTTCAGTTTGCGAGTTTTCTTTGTCTTGGTGACAACTGTGATGAGCTGGTCATCAGGACCTTCCTGGATGTCCTTTGTCGTTGTAACTTCAGCTACCTCGACGTGCTCAGGCGTCTCCTCTACATTCGTAGTGGGCTCGGCTTTCTCTGGAATTTCTGGAAGGATTTCTTCCGAAGTTTCGATTCCGTCCTTCGGCTTCTTTCGTTTGATTTTCTTTGTAGTGGTTATTGTCTCAACTTCTTCGTCATCAATGGTTTCAATTTCAGTAGTAGTTTGCTCACCAACCTCGGTGACGCCTGGGATTTTCTCAATCTGTTCATCCAGTCGAGTTTTGGATGGCCGTTTTTTCTTTGGCTTCTCCTTCGGCTTCTTTTCCTTCGGTTTGCGAGTTTTCTTTGTCTTGGTGACAACTGTGATGAGCTGGTCACCAGGACCTTCCTGGATGTCCTTTGTCGTTGTGACTTCAGTTACCTCGACGTCCTCAGGCGTCTCCTCAACTGTCGTAATGGGCTCGGCTTTCTCTGGAATTTCTGGAAGGATTTCTTCCGTAATTTCGGTGCCGTCTTTAGGCTTCTTCCGTTTGATTTTCTTTGTAGTCGTGACGGTCTCAACTTCCTCATCATCATTCCGTTCCACATCAGTAGAGGTATGTTCACTTATTTCGGTGACTCCCGGGATTTCCTCAATCTGTTGATCCAGTCGAGTTTTGGATGGCCGTGTCTTCTTTGGCTTCTCCTTCGGTGCCTTTTCCTTTGGTTTGCGAGTTTTCTTTGTCTTGGTGATCACTGTGATGAGCTGGTCATCAGGACCTTCCTGGATGTCCTTTGTCGTTGTGACTTCAGTTACCTCGACGAGGTCAGGCGTCTCCTCAACAGTCGTAGTGGGTTCGGCTTTCTGCGGAATTTCTGGAAGGATTTCTTCCGTAGTTTCGGTGCCGTCTGTAGGCTTCTTTATTTTGATTTTCTTTGTAGTCGTCATTGTCTCAACCTCTTCGTCATCAATGGTTTCAATTTCAGTAGTAGTTTGCTCACCAACCTCGGTGACGCCTGGAATTCTCTCAATCTGTTCATCCAGCGTAGTTTTAGTTGGCCGTTTCCGCTTTGGCTTCTCCTTTGGCGCCTCTTCCTTCGGTTTGCGAGTTTTCTTTGTCTTGGTGACAACTGTGATGAGTTGGTCATCAGGACCTTCCTGGATGTCCTTTGTAGTTGTGACTTCAGTTACCTCGACGTCCTCAGGCGTCTCCTCAACTGACGTAATGGGCTCGGCTTTCTTCGGAATTTCTGGAAGGATTTCTTCCGTAGTTTCGGTTCCGTCCTCAGGCTTCTTTCGTTTGATTTTCTTTGTAGTCGTGATTGTTTCAACTTGTTCGTCATCAATGGTTTCAACTTCAGTAGTGGTTTGCTCAGCTACTTCGGTGGCACCTGGGATTTCCTTAACCTGTTCATCCAGTGTAGTTCCAGTTGGCCGTTTCTCCTTTGGCATCTTCTTTGGCGTCTTTTCCTTCGGTTTGCGAGTTTTCTTTGTCTTGGTGACAACTGTGATGAGTTGGTCATCAGGACCTTCCTGGATGTCCTTTGTCGTTGTGACTTCAGATACCTCAATGTGCTCAGGCGTCTCCTCAACTGTCGTAATGGGCTCGGCTTTCTTCGGAATTTCCGGAAGGATTTCTTCCGTAGTTTCGGTGCCGTCGGTGGGCTTCTTCCGTTTGATTTTCTTTGTAGACGTGACGGTCTCAACTTCATCATCATCATTCCGTTCAACCTCAGTAGAGGTATGTTCACTTATTTCGGTGACTCCCGGGATTTCCTCAATCTGTTCATCCAGTCGTGTTTTGCATGGCCGTTTCTTCTTTGGCTTCTCCATCGGCTTTTTTTCCTTCGGTTTGCGAGTTTTCTTTGTCTTGGTGACAACTGTGATGAGTTGGTCATCAGGACCTTCCTGGATGTCCTTTGTCGTTGTGACTTCAGATACCTCAATGTGCTCAGGCGTCTCCTCAACTGTCGTAATGGGCTCGGCTTTCTTCGGAATTTCTGGAAGGATTTCTTCCGTAGTTTCGGTGCCGTCGGTGGGCTTCTTCCGTTTGATTTTCTTTGTAGACGTGACGGTCTCAACTTCATCATCATCATTCCGTTCCACATCAGTAGAGGTATGATCACTTATTTCGGTGACTCCCGGGATTTCCTCAATCTGTTGATCCAGTCGAGTTTTGGATGGCCGTGTCTTCTTTGGCTTCTCCTTCGGTGCCTTTTCCTTTGGTTTGCGAGTTTTCTTTGTCTTGGTGATCACTGTGATGAGCTGGTCATCAGGACCTTCCTGGATGTCCTTTGTCGTTGTGACTTCAGTTACCTCGACGAGGTCAGGCGTCTCCTCAACAGTCGTAGTGGGTTCGGCTTTCTGCGGAATTTCTGAAAGGATTTCTTCCGTAGTTTCGGTGCCATCTGTAGGCTTCTTTATTTTGATTTTCTTTGTAGTCGTCATTGTCTCAACCTCTTCGTCATCAATGGTTTCAATTTCAGTAGTAGTTTGCTCACCAACCTCGGTGACGCCTGGAATTCTCTCAATCTGTTCATCCATCGTAGTTTTAGTTGGCCGTTTCCGCTTTGGCTTCTCCTTTGGCGCCTCTTCCTTCGGTTTGCGAGTTTTCTTTGTCTTGGTGACAGCTGTGATGAGTTGGTCATCAGGACCTTCCTGGATGTCCTCTGCAGTTGTGACTTCAGTTACCTCGACGTTCTCAGGCGTCTCCTCAACATTCGTAGTGGGCTCGGCTTTCCCTGGAATTTCTGAAAGGATTTCTTCCGAAGTTTCGGTTCCGTCCTTAGGCTTCTTTCGTTTGATTTTCTTTGTAGTCGTGATTGTTTCAACTTGTTCGTCATCAATGGTTTCAACCTCAGTAGTGGTTTGCTCACCAACTTCGGTGACGCCTGGGATTTTTTCAATATGTTCATCCAGTGTAGTTGTTGTTGGTCGTTTCTTTTTTGGTTTTTTCTTAGGCGTCTTTTCCTTTGGTTTGCAAGTTTTCTTTGTCTTGGTGACAACTGTGATGAGCTGGTCATCAGGACCTTCCTGGATGTCCTTTGTCGTTGTGACTTCAGTTACCTCGACGTCCTCAGGCGTCTCCTCAACTGTCGTAATGGGCTCGGCTTTCTTCGGAATTTCTGGAAGGATTTCTTCCGTAATTTCGGTGCCGTCTTTAGGCTTCTTCCGTTTGATTTTCTTTGTAGTCGTGACGGTCTCAACTTCCTCATCATCATTCCGTTCCACATCAGTAGAGGTATGTTCACTTATTTCGGTGACTCCCGGGATTTCCTCAATCTGTTGATCCAGTCGAGTTTTAGTTGGCCGTTTCCGCTTTGGCTTCTCCTTTGGCGCCTTTTCCTTCGGTTTGCGAGTTTTCTTTGTCTTGGTGACAACTGTGATGAGCTGGTCATCAGGACCTTCCTGGATGTCCTTTGTCGTTGTGACTTCAGTTACCTCGACGTCCTCAGGCGTCTCCTCAACTGTCGTAATGGGTTCGGCTTTCTCTGGAATTTCTGGAAGGATTTCTTCCGTAATTTCGGTGCCGTCTTTAGGCTTCTTCCGTTTGATTTTCTTTGTAGTCGTCATTGTCTCAACCTCTTCGTCATCAATGGTTTCAATTTCAGTAGTAGTTTGCTCACCAACCTCGGTGACGCCTGGAATTCTCTCAATCTGTTCATCCATCGTAGTTTTAGTTGGCCGTTTCCGCTTTGGCTTCTCCTTTGGCGCCTTTTCCTTCGGTTTGCGAGTTTTCTTTGTCTTGGTGACAACTGTGATGAGTTGGTCATCAGGACCTTCCTGGATGTCCTTTGTAGTTGTGACTTCAGTTACCTCGACGTTCTCAGGCGTCTCCTCAACATTCGTAGTGGGCTCGGCTTTCTCTGGAATTTTTGGAAGAATTTCTTCCGAAGTTTCGGTTCCGTCCTCAGGCTTCTTTCGTTTGATTTTCTTTGTAGTCGTGATTGTTTCAACTTGTTCGTCATCAATGGTTTCAACTTCAGTAGTGGTTTGCTCAGCTACTTCGGTGACACCTGGGATTTCCTTAACCTGTTCATCCAGTGTAGTTCCAGTTGGCCGTTTCTCCTTTGGCATCTTCTTTGGCGTCTTTTCCTTCGGTTTGCGAGTTTTCTTTGTCTTGGTGATCACTGTGATCAGCTGGTCATCAGGACCTTCCTGGATATCCTTTGTCGTTGTTACTTCAGTTACCTCGACGAGGTCAGGCGTCTCCTGAACAGTCGTAGTTGGTTCGGCTTTCTGCGGAATTTCTGGAAGGATTTCTTCCGTAGTTTCGGTGACGTCTGTAGGCTTCTTCCGTTTGATTTTCTTTGTAGTCGTGACGGTCTCAACTTCCTCATTATCATTCCGTTCCACATCAGTAGAGGTATGTTCACTTATTTCGGTGACTCCCGGGATTTCCTCAATCTGTTGATCCAGTCGAGTTTTGGATGGCCGTTTCTTCTTTGGCTTCTCCTTCGGTGCTTTTTCCTTCGGTTTGCGAGTTTTCTTTGTCTTGGTGATCACTGTGATCAGCTGGTCATCAGGACCTTCCTGGATATCCTTTGTCGTTGTTACTTCAGTTACCTCGACGAGGTCAGGCGTCTCCTGAACAGTCGTAGTTGGTTCGGCTTTCTGCGGAATTTCTGGAAGTATTTCTTCCGTAGTTTCGGTGACGTCTGTAGGCTTCTTTATTTTGATTTTCTTTGTAGTCGTCATTGTCTCAACTTCCTCGTCATCAATGGTTTCAATTTCAGTAGTAGTTTGCTCACCAAACTCGGTGACGCCTGGGATTTTCTCAATCTGTTCATCCAGCGTAGTTTTAGTTGGCCGTTTCCGCTTTGGCTTCTCCTTTGGCGCCTTTTCCTTCGGTTTGCGAGTTTTCTTTGTCTTGGTGACAACTGTGATGAGCTGGTCATCAGGACCTTCCTGGATGTCCTTTGTCGTTGTGACTTCAGTTACCTCGACGTCCTCAGGCGTCTCCTCAACTGTCGTAATGGGCTCGGCTTTCTTCGGAATTTCTGGAAGGATTTCTTCCGTAGTTTCGGTGCCGTCGGTGGGCTTCTTCCGTTTGATTTTCTTTGTAGACGTGACGGTCTCAACTTCCTCATCATCATTCCGTTCAACCTCAGTAGAGGTTTGTTCACTTATTTCGGTGACTCCCGGGATTTCCTCAATCTGTTCATCCAGTCGTGTTTTGCATGGCCGTTTCTTCTTTGGCTTCTCCTTCGGCTTCTTTTCCTTCGGTTTGCGAGTATTCTTTGTCTTGGTGACAACTGTGATGAGCTGGTCATCAGGACCTTCCTGGATGTCCTTTGTCGTTGTGACTTCAGATACCTCAATGTGCTCAGGCGTCTCCTCAACTGTCGTAATGGGCTCGGCTTTCTTCGGAATTTCTGGAAGGATTTCTTCCGTAGTTTCGGTGCCGTCGGTGGGCTTCTTCCGTTTGATTTTCTTTGTAGACGTGACAGTCTCAACTTCCTCATCATCATTCCGTTCCACATCAGTAGAGGTATGTTCACTTATTTCGGTGACTCCCGGGATTTCCTCAATGTGTTGATCCAGTCGAGTTTTGGATGGCCGTGTCTTCTTTGGCTTTTCCTTCGGTGCTTTTTCCTTCGGTTTGCGAGTTTTCTTTGTCTTGGTGATCACTGTGATGAGCTGGTCATCAGGACCCTCCTGGATATCCTTTGTCGTTGTTACTTCAGTTTCCTCGACGAGGTCAGGCGTTTCCTCAACAGTCGTAGTGGGTTCGGCTTTCTGCGGAATTTCTGGAAGGATTTCTTCCGTAGTTTCGGTGCCGTCTGTAGGCTTCTTCCGTTTGATTTTCTTTGTAGTCGTGACGGTCTCAACTTCCTCATCATCATTCCGTTCAACATCAGTAGAGGTATGTTCACTTATTTCGGTGACTCCCGGGATTTCCTCAATCTGTTCATCCAGCGTAGTTTTAGTTGGCCGTTTCCGCTTCGGCTTCTCCTTTGGCGCCTTTTCCTTCGGTTTGCGAGTTTTCTTTGTCTTGGTGACAACTGTGATGAGTTGGTCATCAGGACCTTCCTGGATGTCCTTTGTAGTTGTGACTTCAGTTACCTCGACGTTCTCAGGCGTCTCCTCAACATTCGTAGTGGGCTCGGCATTCTCTGGAATTTCTGGAAGAATTTCTTCCGAAGTTTCGGTTCCGTCCTCAGGCTTCTTTCGTTTGATTTTCTTTGTAGTCGTGATTGTTTCAACTTGTTTGTCATCAATGGTTTCAACTTCAGTAGTGGTTTGCTCAGCTACTTCGGTGACACCTGGGATTTCCTTAACCTGTTCATCCAGTGTAGTTCCAGTTGGCCGTTTCTCCTTTGGCATCTTCTTTGGCGTCTTTTCCTTCGGTTTGCGAGTTTTCTTTGTCTTGGTGACGACTGTGATGAGCTGGTCATCAAAACCTTCCTGGATGTCCTTTGTCGTTGTAACCTCAGTTACCTCGACGTGCTCAGGTGTCTCCTCAACAGTTGTTGTTGGCTCGGCTTTCTCCGGTATTTCTGGAAGGATTTCTTCCATGGTTTCGGTGCCGTCTTTAGGCTTCTTTATTTTGATTTTCTTTGTAGTCGTCATTGTCTCAACTTCTTCGTCATCAATGGTTTCAATTTCAGTAGTAGTTTGCTCACCAACCTCGGTGACGCCTGGGATTTTCTCAATCTGTTCATCCAGCGTAGTTTTAGTTGGCCGTTTCCGCTTCGGCTTCTCCTTTGGCGCCTTTTCCTTCGGTTTGCGAGTTTTCTTTGTCTTGGTGACAACTGTGATGAGTTGGTCATCAGGACCTTCCTGGATGTCCTTTGTAGTTGTGACTTCAGTTACCTCGACGTCCTCAGGCGTCTCCTCAACTGTCGTAATGGGCTCGGCTTTCTCTGGAATTTCTGGAAGGATTTCTTCCGTAATTTCGGTGCCGTCTTTAGGCTTCTTCCGTTTGATTTTCTTTGTAGTCGTGACGGTCTCAACTTCCTCATCATCATTCCGTTCCACATCAGTAGAGGTATGTTCACTTATTTCGGTGACTCCCGGGATTTCCTCAATCTGTTGATCCAGTCGAGTTTTGGATGGCCGTTTCTTCTTCGGCTTCTCTTTTGGCGCCTTTTCCTTCGGTTTGCGAGTTTTCTTTGTCCTGGTGACAACTGTGATGAGCTGGTCATCAGGACCTTCCTGGATGTCCTTTGTCGTTGTGACTTCAGTTACCTCGACGTGCTCAGGCGTCTCCTCAACATTCGTAGTGGGCTCGGCTTTCTCTGGAATTTCTGGAAGGATGTCTTCCGAAGTTTCGATTCCGTCCTTCGGCTTCTTTCGTTTGATTTTCTTTGTAGTGGTTATTTTCTCAACTTCTTCGTCATCAATGGTTTCAATTTCAGTAGAAGTTTGCTCACCAACCTCGGTGACGCCTGGGATTTCCTCAATCTGTTGATCCAGTCGAGTTTTGGATGGCCGTTTTTTCTTTGGCTTCTCCTTCGGTGCCTTTTCCTTCGGTTTGCGAGTTTTCTTTGTCTTGGTGATCACTGTGATGAGCTGGTCATCAGGACCTTCCTGGATGGCCTTTGTCGTTGTGACTTCAGTTACCTCGACGAGGTCAGGCGTCTCCTCAACAGTCGTAGTGGGTTCGGCTTTCTGCGAAATTTCTGGAAGGATTTCTTTCGTAGTTTCGGTGCCGTCTGTAGGCTTCTTTATTTTGATTTTCTTTGTAGTCGTCATTGTCTCAACCTCTTCGTCATCAATGGTTTCAATTTCAGTAGTAGTTTGCTCACCAACCTCGGTGACGCCTGGAATTCTTTCAATCTGTTCATCCAGCGTAGTTTTAGTTGGCCGTTTCCGCTTTGGCTTCTCCTTTGGCGCCTCTTCCTTCGGTTTGCGAGTTTTCTTTGTCTTGGTGACAACTGTGATGAGTTGGTCATCAGGACCTTCCTGGATGTCCTTTGTCGTTGTGACTTCAGATACCTCAATGTGCTCAGGCGTCTCCTCAACTGTCGTAATGGGCTCGGCTTTCTTCGGAATTTCTGGAAGGATTTCTTCCGTAGTTTCGGTGCCGTCGGTGGGCTTCTTCCGTTTGATTTTCTTTGTAGACGTGACGGTCTCAACTTCCTCATCATCATTCCGTTCAACCTCAGTAGAGGTTTGTTCACTTATTTCGGTGACTCCCGGGATTTCCTCAATCTGTTCATCCAGTCGTGTTTTGCATGGCCGTTTCTTCTTTGGCTTCTCCTTCGGCTTCTTTTCCTTCGGTTTGCGAGTTTTCTTTGTCTTGGTGACAACTGTGATGAGCTGGTCATCAGGACCTTCCTGGATGTCCTTTGCCGTTGTGACTTCAGTTACCTCGACGTCCTCAGGCGTCTCCTCAACTGTCGTAATGGGCTCGGCTTTCTGTGGAATTTCTGGAAGGATTTCTTCCGTAATTTCGGTGCCGTCTTTAGGCTTCTTCCGTTTGATTTTCTTTTTAGTCGTGACGGTCTCAACTTCCTCATCATCATTCCGTTCCACATCAGTAGAGGTATGTTCACTTATTTCGGTGACTCCCGGGATTTCCTCAATGTGTTGATCCAGTCGAGTTTTGGATGGCCGTGTCTTCTTTGGCTTTTCCTTCGGTGCTTTTTCCTTCGGTTTGCGACTTTTCTTTGTCTTGGTGATCACTGTGATGAGCTGGTCATCAAGACCTTCCTGGATGTCCTTTGTCGTTGTAACCTCAGTTACCTCGACGTGCTCAGGCGTCTCCTCAACAGTTGTAGTGGGCTCGGCTTTCTCCGGTATTTCTGGGAAAATTTCTTCCGTGGTTTTGGTGCCGTCTTTAGGCTTCTTTATTTTGATTTTCTTTGTAGTCGTCATTGTCTCAACTTCTTCGTCGTCAATGGTTTCAATTTCAGTAGTAGTTTGCTCAGCAACCTCGGTGACGCCTGGGATTTTCTCAATCTGTTCATCCAGCGTAGTTTTAGTTGTCCGTTTCCGCTTCGGCTTCTCCTTTGGCGCCTTTACTTTTGGTTTGCGAGTTTTCTTTGTCTTGGTGACAACTGTGATGAGCTGGTCTTCAGGGCCTTCCTGGATGTCCTTTGTCGTTGTGACTTCAGTTACCTCGACGTCCTCAGGCGTCTCCTCAACTGACGTAATGGGCTCGGCTTTCTCTGGAATTTCTGGAAGGATTTCTTCCGTAACTTCGGTGCCGTCTTTAGGCTTCTTCCGTTTGATTTTCTTTGTAGTCGTGACGGTCTCAACTTCCTTATCATCATTCTGTTCCACATCAGTAGAGGTATGTTCACTTATTTCGATGACTCCCGGGATTTCCTCAATCTGTTGATCCAATCGAGTTTTGGATGGCTGTGTCTTTTTTGGCTTCTCCTTCGGTGCTTTTTCCTTCGGTTTGCGAGTTTTCTTTGTCTTGGTGATCACTGTGATGAGCTGGTCATCAGGACCTTCCTGGATATCTTTTGTCGTTGTTACTTCAGTTACCTCGACGAGGTCAGGCGTCTCCTCAACAGTCGTAGTGGGTTCGGCTTTCTGCGGGATTTCTGGAAGGATTTCTTCCGTAGTTTCGGTGCCGTCTGTAGGCTTCTTTATTTTGATTTTCTTTGTAGTCGTCATTGTCTCAACTTCTTCGTCATCAATGGTTTCAATTTCAGTAGTAGTTTGCTCACCAACCTCGGTGACGCCTGGGATTTTCTCAATCTGTTCATCCAGCGTAGTTTTAGTTGGCCGTTTCCGCTTTGGTTTCTCCTTCGGCTTCTTTTCCTTCGGTTTGCGAGTTTTCTTTGTCTTGGTGACAACTGTGATGAGCTGGTCATCAGGACCTTCCTGGATGTCCTTTGTCGTTGTGACTTCAGTTACCTCGACGTGCTCAGGCGTTTCCTCAACTGTCGTAATGGGTTCGGCTTTCTCTGGAATTTCTGGAAGGATTTCTTCCGTAATTTCGGTGCCGTCTTTAGGCTTCTTACGTTTGATTTTCTTTGTAGTCGTGACGGTCTCAACTTCCTCATCATCATTCCCTTGCACATCAGTAGAGGTATGTTCACTTATTTCGGTGACCCCCGGGATTTCCTCAATCTGTTGATCCAGTCGAGTTTTGGATGGCTGTTTCTTCTTTGGCTTCTCCTTCGGTGCTTTTTCCTTCTGTTTGCGAGTTTTCTTTGTCTTGGTGTCAACTGTGATGAACTGGTCATCAGGACCTTCCTGGATGTCCTTTGTCGTTGTGACTTCAGTTACCTCGACGTGCTCAGGCGTCTCCTCGACATTCGTAGTGGGCTCGGCTTTCTCTGGAATTTGTGGAAGGATTTCTTCCGTGGTTTCGGTGCCGTCTTTAGGCTTCTTTATTTTGATTTTCTTTGTAGTGGTCATTGTCTCAACTTCATCGTCATCAATGGTTTCAGTTCCAGTAGTAGTTTGCTCACCAACCTCGGTGACGCCTGGGATTTTCTCAATCTGTTCATCCAGCGTAGTTTTAGTTGGCCGTTTCCGCTTTGGTTTCTCCTTCGGCTTCTTTTCCTTCGGTTTGCGAGTTTTCTTTGTCTTGGTGACAACTGTGATGAGCTGGTCATCAGGACCTTCCTGGATGTCCTTTGTCGTTGTGACTTCAGTTACCTCGACGTGCTCAGGCGTTTCCTCAACTGTCGTAATGGGTTCGGCTTTCTCTGGAATTTCTGGAAGGATTTCTTCCGTAATTTCGGTGCCGTCTTTAGGCTTCTTACGTTTGATTTTCTTTGTAGTCGTGACGGTCTCAACTTCCTCATCATCATTCCCTTGCACATCAGTAGAGGTATGTTCACTTATTTCGGTGACCCCCGGGATTTCCTCAATCTGTTGATCCAGTCGAGTTTTGGATGGCTGTTTCTTCTTTGGCTTCTCCTTCGGTGCTTTTTCCTTCGGTTTGCGAGTTTTCTTTGTCTTGGTGTCAACTGTGATGAACTGGTCATCAGGACCTTCCTGGATGTCCTTTGTCGTTGTGACTTCAGTTACCTCGACGTGCTCAGGCGTCTCCTCGACATTCGTAGTGGGCTCGGCTTTCTCTGGAATTTCTGGAAGGATTTCTTCCGTGGTTTCGGTGCCGTCTTTAGGCTTCTTTATTTTGATTTTCTTTGTAGTGGTCATTGTCTCAACCTCTTCGTCATCAATGGTTTCAATTCCAGTAGTAGTTTGCTCACCAACCTCGGTGACGCCTGGGATTTTCACAATCTGTTCATCCAGCGTAGTTTTAGTTGGCTGTTTCCGCTTTGGCTCCTCTTTTGGCGCCTTTTCCTTCGGTTTGCGAGTTTTCTTTGTCTTGGTGACAACTGTAATGAGCTGGTCATCAGGACCTTCCTGGATGTCCTTTGTCGTTGTGACTTCAGTTACCTCGACGTGCTCAGGCGTCTCCTCAACAGTCGTAGTGGGTTCGGCTTTCTTTGGAATTTCTGGAAGGATTTCTTCCGTAGTTTCGGTGCCGTCTGTAGGCTTCTTCCGTTTGATTTTCCTTGTAGTCGTGACGGTCTCAACTTCCTCATCATCATTCCGTTCAACATCAGTAGAGGTATGTTCACTTATTTCGGTGACTCCCGGGATTTCCTCAATCTGTTGATCCAGTCGAGTTTTGGTTGGCCGTTTTTTCTTTGGCTTCTCCTTCGGCGCCCTTTCCTTCGGTTTGCGAGTTTTCTTTGTCTTGGTGATCACTGTGATGAGCTGGTCATCAGGACCTTCCTGGATTTCCTTTGTCGTTGTGACTTCAGTTACCTCGACGTTCTCAGGCGTCTCCTCAACTGTCGTAATGGGCTCGGCTTTCTCTGGAATTTCTGGAAGGATTTCTTCCGTAGTTTCGGTGCCGTCTTTAGGCTTCTTCCGCTTGATTTTCTTTGTAGTCGTGACGGTCTCAACTTTCTCATCATCATTCCGTTCTACATCAGTAGAGGTATGTTCACTTATTTCGGTGACTCCCGGGATTTCCTCAAGCTGTTGATCCAGTCGAGTTTTGGATGGCCGTTTTTTCTTTGGCTTCTCCTTCGGCGCCCTTTCCTTCGGTTTGCGAGTTTTCTTTGTCTTGGTGACAACTGTGATGAGCTGGTCATCAGGACCTTCCTGGATGTCCTTTGTCGTTGTAACCTCAGTTACCTCGACGTGGTCAGGTGTCTCCTCAACAGTCGTAGTGGGCTCGGCTTTCTCCGGAATTTCTGGAAGGATTTCTTCCGTAGTTTCTGTGCCGTCTTTCGGCTTCTTTCGTTTGATTATCTTTGTAGTCGTGATGGTCTCGACTTTCTCATCGCCATTCCTTTCAACATCGGCAGTGATTTGCTCACTAACTTCGGTGACACCTGGTATATCTTTATCCAACAGTCGTGTAAGCTCCAGCTGATCCGGTGCCTGCAAAAAGAAGAAGTTGTAATTGTAACGTCAATAAGAGCATAACATTCGAACATTTGACAGGATTTTTTTTTTTACTTTGCCCCTCTTCGTAGACGAAAAACATAAGAACATAAGGTGTAGTGAATTAAGTTTTTTTAATTCTTCGGAGTTGTTACAAAGTTGGTACGGATCAATCTCAATGTTTGAGTGGGAATATCGTCTTACGGTTGAGGAAGGTAAAATGTCATAGCTCAGCTTAAAGCTTAGTCATGCCTGATAGAGGCTAAACCTTTGACCTTGGGTCAAATACATTATTTCGTTTTCTTGCGGCGTTGCAGCTCTTTTCGTCCCGAGTTTTGCGCCGATTTGTCAAAAAAGGTTGATAGGGGCATAGTTTGTCCTTTGCTGACCTCTTGTTTTCAACTGAGCCGTTGACCTTTTTCAACTGAGCAGAAATTTGACCGGAGTATATTTTTGATGGCTTTATGATTTTTTTTAAACGCCCCTTACCGCGTGCCTCTACGTGGCCCAGTAGTCAGGTTATACAGGGGAGGGAATGCTTACTTAAACTTTGCCCGGCGAAGGCCCTACACGAGTTAATGTGAAAATTTTCTTTTTAGCTGGTCCCGGTAGCTCAGTCGGTAGAGCGTTGGACTCCGCGTGGTGAGAGCACGCGTTCCTAGTTATAACAGTCCGGGTTTGAAGCGCGACGGGCGATTAACGTTTATGGGCCTCCTGACAGGTATGGTTGCGGTTGGTGGCAGGCCGTAGCCAGGTGAAGTCAGTGAGGGGACCGGCCGCGCTGGCTATGTGCGCACCTTAAACTTTGGAAATGCTGCTAAAGTTTAAACCGCGCATGGCTGGGGTATTTTCCATAACGCGAGTGACTCTCCAAAGCCCCCGGCGTCCTATCTCCGAAAATACTGGGCCGATCGTCAAAATTCAAACGGCGTCTGATAGACCTGGAAAAACTGTCGAGCGAAGCCTATTGTCATTGACCTCGAGGTCACCTGTCATGTCATAGGTCAGGTCAAAGTAAAAATTATCAGCATTTTTGCTTGTTCACAATTTAGGCTCTGACCGCCGGTTGACAAGACTGATCAGGCTCATTTTTGGTTTACGCACTCCTTAATATATGCTTTAGATACCCTGAGGGTACCGAACTTTTACTTCAATTTTTTTTTTTTCAGGCCAAGGCCACGTCATCCTAGGTCACGAAAATTGTATATCATGTATCGGTCACGTGACGCATGTCTCATGGTCCATTTTACACGGATATTTCGAAAAAAATGTCGTCTGCGTCATTTGAGGTCATTTCTAGCTGAATTTACAGGTCAGGTCACTTTCAGGTCAGCAAAGGTCAAAATTTGAAAATGAAATTTTTTAACAAAAAATGGTGCTTATCAGATGCAGTTTGAGTTCAGAAATACGATGGTGCCATGAATATTGCTGTACGATGTCAAAAATGTACTGAAAAATTGTTTTGAAAAATATATAATTGTAAAATTTTGACAATAATGCAAATAGCTTGTCTATTTTTGAAGATATTGGGCTACAACTTGCTAAAGTAGTTTATCAGTGTGTGTTTTATCCAGGGGGAGGCACTCGCCTTGGCCGTATATGGGCCAGAATGTCTAACGATTTCCGCCATGTTGTGTATACCAAAGTCTTGAAAAGTTGATCACTGCAATCAAACTGCAAGCATGAAGCAGCAGCACTTTTGAGTAGTGTACCTCTCACTAAACTGCACCTCTGCTACCGTACATGCAATTTATATTTCTGGTATACACAACATGGCGGAAATCGATAGACAAAAACAAGTCACCAATGCTCCTTCCAGTATATATTAGAGTTCAGTGGTTTTATCACACATATTCCGGTGTTTGACAAAAATGAGAAACTTTTTGTAGAAATCAAAAAATATATTTTTGTAATTGTAAATACATATTTTTTCATTTTTTTTTAACCCTCGCCCGCACATGCCATTTTCCCATCCCAGAACGCACATGGGGGGGGGGGGGGTTGCCACCCCCCGCGCCATTTCGTTCCTGTTGGAGATAGAGCTTAGCGGTAAAGACCAAAAAGATTCTTTGGGAAGAGACGAATCCAATGATACCCAGTTTTACCTTCTCAGGTCAGTCATTGACCTTCCAGGTCAGGTCAAACTAAAAAATGTTGCTGTTTTGGGTCACCGTTGGATATCAAGTGCGCTGCTTAGCATATACCGATGACGATGCCGTTTTCTGGTGCCAAGCCAGCTAGAAGCTCTTTGTCACACTACCCGACCAAATTTTTGCTGCTGAGGTCATTTCAGGTCAAGTTAGGTCAAGGTCAATTATATGTGTTTGTATGTCTGTGTGTGTCTGTGTGTATACTGATGTGTGCACCGATTGTTTATGTGTCCACTTTACATGAAATCATGATCTGAGAAGCTTTTACCAAAAATGCAGTCAAAAAACTTCACAAAAAGTAAATTCAGCTTGCCTAAAACGCAATTATCTTAGATGACCTAGGTTGACCTTGACCCTGACCTTGACACCTGTACATCGTCGAACAACATGTTCCATGATAGGTGGGAGGTAAGACTGGCAAACAAGGCCGAAATCAAGGTGTCAAAAGCTCACAAGGCCCATAACAAACGCAAGATGTTGAGAATTAGCCATTTGGGTCATGACATGACGTGAAAAACAAGGTCATATCTCCGAAACCAAAAATCACAGAAACTTGAAATTTTCAGCAGACATCAAGAAAGGATAGAGGAGCAGCTATACGAAAAATCAGCCTTCTAGCTCTAAAAATGTCGAGTGCAGAGCCGAAAGACTACCTGGGGGGGGGGGGGGGGTGGCAACCCCCCCCCCATGTGCGGGCGAGGGGTAATGAGATAGCAGTTTGGTAGCTAAGTGTATTTGTAGTCCACTCTTGCAAATAAATTGGATCTAGCTTTAAAACTGAGTTCTTGAGAGCGTCAGCCGTAATTCAATATTTTGCATCAAAATCGGCCGACATGACGTCACTCTGAAGTCATTTCCGGCCAAACTATGGTAGCTAGGAAGTCGAAATTGTAACACAAAGTGTTAAATGTATGCCGCTGAAGGTACCGCGAATTTTGTGTTGATCCGTCAAATAAGATATTGCCGAAAAACGGGAGGGGGGCTCTGTCGAGCCCCCACCCCAGTCATGCGCGGGTTAACGTGGGTGCTATGGCAGAATTCTCCAAATTCTGCCATAGAACTGTAATTGCGCGATCGGAGGGTAGAGGGGAGGGTCAACGCAATAAGCTTCGCTTAGGAGGGGGGGGGGGCTATGTCCTTGTGAATCCTTCCATTCAAAAGGTTCGGACTAAATTTATATAAAAAGCTTAAGTACGAAGTAATTGGACGGACAGGGGAGCCAAACTCAATCCAAAATATAAAACCCACGCTTTGAGCTGGGATCACATATCTGACCAAGTGATTCTGATCAGTCGTTTTCACAAGATATGAATGATAATGTTGCCAAAGCGTCGCCAACTTTTTTATATGTTTTCGAGAAAAAAAACTTAAGATTCGAAAGGTTCTATGGAACTTAAGTGTTACGTCGATGCGTCGATGCGCGACAGTTACATACTCTTATGTGACAAAGTTTTCTGATTCGTAGAGGATCTAGTATCCACGAAGCTCAGCTTTGCTGCTCATACATGACATTTATGGTATTTATGGTATCTGAGTATGGCCGTGTCATAAAAAATGTGTGCAGCGCACAAAACATTCGTCTGCTCTCATGAAGCTTTGCCATTCATATGCTTTTTCTTTATAAATATAACTTTGTCCTTAACTCGCGCACCGACTGGGGTCCGCCGTCCATCCGCGTGAACTTCGCACCGACAGCGGAGGGGGGGGGGGAGGGGTGGATGACCGCCACCTGATATCTCGAGAACGAAGCAAGATAGTGACAAGCGGTAAACGGCATGGGGTACGCACGGACAAGATCTACAGTTGTTTTTTCTAGTCATTTTCAGGTCAGACTCAGGTCAAAGATAACGTCAAAGGGGAAAAAAGTCAAAATGGCGGAACTATACTCTGTTCCGTTTCAAGCTTGCGGCCGAACTGTCATGCTGAAAGCAGTGTGTGATTTCTGTATATACAGCTCTTACATTTAAGGAAGCAAATTCTTAAGCAGAGGAGCGACCTGTTGAAGAAACTCCGACCGCAAGCTTGATGTGGAACAGACTAGAGTTTTGAAGTTTTTCTCGAAGAACATTGGAAGTAGCCAAGCTAAGAACAAGCTAATGACACCATCGTGATCCTCTCGTCAATCCGCATCAATTCATTAATATGTTGACCTCGAAAGGTCAAGGTCAAAGTTTGACCTCAGGTCACGTAACCTCAAGGTCATCATGCATATCATCAAGTGCGCCTTGACGAGCTTAACACATTGAGACTATCCGCGCGACTGCATCTTGCTTCTGTAAGGAGTTTTTGCAAAAAAAAACTTTGGTGACCTTTGATGACGTCACATGACCCTACAGCTGCCCAATAGCAAAACAAGCCTGAAGGTAGTCAAGGTCAATCGCATATGAAGTCATTTTCCGACGCATTTTAGTGAAAAAACTATAATGGGGAGGTCAAGGTTTGGTCAACCTGACCTTTGGTCATCGATATCAAAATTCCGAGATAAACAACTTGTAGCTACCAATGACCGCATTATATCCTGCGACTTTCAAAGGCCTCCGTCATCTACTGTAGCTCTTACACGGTGACAAAGTTGCAAAAAGTCCCTACGTTTCCCGCTATTTACGAAAACCTCTGGGGGAGGGGGCGGATATCCGCCCCCCCCCCCCGTTGGTGCGCGGGTTGAAGTTTATACTAATTTCAAGTACCACGTTTTTTTCAAGAATATATCTTGGTATAGAAATTTGCAGGATTTTCACCTCCATGAAGCGTCACTACGCATCGGCTCAGTGAAGATTTAATGATGTTCTTCTATTTGAACCATCGCGTAATATTTTTACAAATTATCATTACGTAACAGTAAAAAAAACAACAACAAACAACTATCAACTTACACATCTCATTTTGTACTAATATGATCTTGGGTCGATTGATGGTTAGTTCGTTTATTTTGTTCGCCATTTTGTACAACATTATTCATTAACATCATTTAAAAGGTTAAAATGTTATTATACAAATCAAAACAGTTCGTGGGAAAAAAAGGAAACAGTTTGCGCCCTGTTTCCCCATAGGGAAGAATATGCAACGTTTTATTTAGGGAATCAACAACCTTAAATGAAATCATAGCTGCTTAACGGGCACAAAGTTCAAGTTCATTAACAAGTAACTAGTCACCATTAGAGGAATAAAGAGCAACGAAGAAAATAAGTACCAACCTGGTCTCTAAATCTGACAGATGCGTTGTCACACATAGCGAAGGCGTTATGCATTGATACGCGGGAAGTCAAACTTGCGTGAACATCAGCGTTTCAAGTAAAGGTCTCGCTCCAGTACGGCAACACGGTGGTAAAGCGATGGGCGAACAGCCCCGCGAGCGAAAAAGAAAAAAGCCATTGACAGAGCGAAGAAGAAGTGATCAGGCGAGGCTGCTGCGAGGGCCTGCACAAACCTCGGCGTCAGAAGGCATTGTCGCATCGCTGTCGGCGACGGAAGGCGACCCCCGGCGGTCGGGCCGCGCCGCGTCCGGGCGGGGAAGTGAACCCTGCGTGTAGCGTGTGGCGTGCTGAGATCATCTGTTCCGTAATTATTGTACACATGTACGGACGGTGTTCACTGACGAGACACATGACTCCCATGCTAACATGACAATGGAACAACCCGACAACATGATGACGGCACAGCGTAACCATTGATGACAAGTGGTAAGCACATCCTGGGACGGATTCGATGCATTGTTATCCATGCATTTTACATACTAGCATGCTTGGATTGAGAAGAAACATTAATTCAATCTGAGGCGACGGGTGTTCATGGATAATGGATATGGCTGGCAATGAAAATGATTAGAAAAACTGGCCTACGTTCTAAATAGTTTATTGATCTTTCGTCGAAACTCGATCTCCAAGCTGCGTACTAAATATTAAATTATACATAGGTACCTGCCGTTTCGAGAACCATAGGAAAATAAATACGTGTGATGCTGCCTTAAACAAAGCTCTGTTTCACTGGTTGCCTACTTTTTCCGAAATTAATAGGTTGCCAAAGACACGATTAAAAAGCGTTATTGGAAAATGCTTGAACCAATTAGTGTTTTTACGTTCTTTTGCATTATAAAAGGTATGAAATATAATTTATTCACCAAGAAGAATGTTTCACGCTAAACTTACTTGCCTATTTCTTCAATTTCAGTTTTTGTTAAAAGTTTTGTGAAATGCGTTATACATTAAGGAAGGATCTTTAATATGAATAACGAAGCGATAAAATAAAGTGGTATTATTTCCATATTAATGGATGGTAAACGCTGGCGGTTATTAACATAATACACAGTTTTGTTGGCTGAAATAAGAATAATTAATATTTAAGCCAGTAAAAATAAGCTCGAAAAACGTCATTTAAGTTACCTCAGGCACGTCACTTCTGCGTTGTTTGAGGATGCTTGTATCAGCGGTGGTTTCTTGAACTGGGCTTTGTGCTTCTTCAGGCAAGTTCTCGGTAGGCTTTCGAGTTTTCTTTGTAGTTGTGACGACTGTTATCTCTTCTTCGTTGTCGGGTTTCGGGGTGATGTCCTTGACAGTTGTAGTCTCTACGACAGTAGCATGATCATCGCCTTCCTCTGTAGTTACTGTGGTCTCGGGAACATGCGGAATCGAAGGCAGTATCTGGTCAATGTCGTCCTCCGGCCGTTTTGGTTTTGTTCGTTTGATTTTCTTTGTCGTTGTGATGACCTCAACTGGCTGGTCGTCTTCTTCAGTTACTTCAGTAACCGTTGACTCAGAGACCTCCTTGACACCAGGAATGTTGTCAATCTCCATATCCAAAGGTGTCTTTGTTGTTGTGTCTTGCTTTGGACCTTCGGTTGGCTTATCTTTGGGCCTCTTTGTTTTCTTTGTCTTTGTTTTTACAATAATCTCCTCCTTGTTGTCTGGCCCAGGCTGCACTTCCTTTGTGGTTGTGACCTCTGTTACCTCAACAAAGTCTCCCGACTCAACAACAGTAACGGTAGGTTCAGCTTCGATGGGCACCTCAGGAAGCACTTCCTCTGGAGTCTCTTCGATGTCGTCAGGTTTCTCCCTCTGGATACGTTTTGTCGTAGTAACTAATTCTGTTACCTCATCATCAGCTTCCTCTACCTCGGTTTTTGTCGTCTCGGAAATACCTGTCAACCCCGGCAATTCGGCTATAGCTTTGTCGATTGGAGCTTCCTCAGGCCTTCGTCGTTTGGGTTTGTCTTTCTTTGGTTTCTTCTTTGGTATGGTATCCCCTTCAATGGGTTTGTGTATTTTCTTGGTGGTTGTGACGACTGTTATTTCTTCTTCGTTGTCGGGTTTCGGGGTGATGTCCTTGACAGTTGTAGTCTCTACGACAGTAACATGATCGTCGCCTTCCTCTGTAGATACTGTGGTCTCGGGAACATGCGGAATCGAAGGTAATATCTGGTCGGTCTCGTCCTCCGGCCGTTTTGGTCTTGTTCGTTTGATTTTCTTTGTCGTTGTGACGACCTCAACTGGCAGGTCGTCTTCTTTAGTTACTTCAGTAACTGTTGACTCAGAAACCTCCTTGACACCAGGAATGTCCTCAATCTCCATATCCAAAGGTGTCTTTCTTGTGTCTTGCTTTGGACCTTCGGTTGGTTTATCTTTGGGTCTCTTTGTTTTCTTTGTCTTTGTTTTTACAATAATCTCCTCCTTGTTGTCTGGCCCAGGCTGCACTTCCTTTGTGGTTGTGACCTCTGTTACCTCAACAAAGTCGCCCGACTCAACAACAGTAACGGTAGGTTCAGCTTCGATGGGCACCTCAGGAAGCACTTCCTCTGGAGTCCCCTCGATGTCTTCAGGTTTCTCCCTCTGGATACGTTTTGTTGTAGTTACTAGCTCTATCACCTCATGATCAGCTTCTTCTACCTCGGTTTTTGTTGTCTCGGAAATATCTGTCACTCCCGGCAATTCGGCTATAGCTTTGTCGATGAAAGCTTCCTCAGGCCTTCGCCGTTTAGGTTTGTCTTTCTTTGGTTTCTTCTTTGGTGTGGTATCCCCTTCAACGGGTTTGCGTGTTTTCTTGGTGGTTGTGACGACTGTTATCTCTTCTTCGTTGTCGGGTTTCGGGGTGATGTCCTTGACAGTTGTAGTCTCTACGACAGTAACATGATCGTCGCCTTCCTCTGTTGTTACGGTGGTCTCGGGAACATGCGGAATCGAAGGCAGTATCTGGTCAATGTCGTCCTCCGGCCGTTTTGGTCTTGTTCGTTTGATTTTCTTTGTTGTTGTGACGACCTCAACTGGCTGGTCGTCTTCTTCAGTTACTTCAGTAACCGTTGACTCAGAGACCTCCTTGACACCAGGAATGTCCTCAATCTCCATATCCAAAGGTGTCTTTCTTGTGTCTTGCTTTGGACCTTCGGTTGGTTTATCTTTGGGTCTCTTTGTTTTCTTTGTCTTTGTTTTTACAATAATCTCCTCCTTGTTGTCTGGCCCAGTCTGCACCTCCTTTGTGGTTGTGACCTCTGTTACCTCAACAAAGTCGCCCGACTCAACAACAGTAACGGTAGGTTCAGCTTCGATGGGCACCTCAGGAAGCACTTCCTCTGGAGTCCTCTCGATGTCTTCAGGTTTCTCCCTCTGGATACGTTTTGTTGTAGTTACTAGCTCTATCACTTCATCATCAGCTTCTTCTACCTCGGTTTTTGTTGTCTCGGAAATATCTGTCACCCCCGGCAATTCGGCTATAGCTTTGTCGATGGAAGCTTCCTCAGGCCTTCGTCGTTTGGGTTTGTCTTTCTTTGGTTTCTTGTTTGGTGTGGCATCCCCTTCAACGGGTTTGTGTATTTTCTTGGTGGTTGTGACGACTGTTATCTCTTCTTGGTTGTCGGGTTTCGGGGTAATGTCCTTGACAGTTGTAGTCTCTACGACAGTAACATGATCATCGCCTTCCTCTGTAGTTACTGTGGTTTCGGGAACATGCGGAATCGAAGGCAGTACCTGGTCAATCTCGGCTTCCGGCCGTTTTGGTTTTGTTCGTTTGATTTTCTTTGTTGTTGTGACGACCTCAACTGGCTGGTCGTCTTCTTCAGTTACTTCAGTAACCGTTGATTCAGAGACCTCCTTGACACCAGGAATGTCATCAATCTCCATATCCAAAGGTGTCTTTGTTTTTGTGTCTGGCTTTGGACCTTCGGTTGGTTTATCTTTGGGCCTCTTTGTTTTCCTTGTCTTTGTTTTTACAATAACCTCCTCCTTATTGTCTGGCCCAGGCTGCACTTCCTTTATGGTTGTGACCTCTGTTACCTCAACAAAGTCTCCCGACTCAACGACAGTAACGGTAGGTTCAGCTTCGATGGGCACCTCAGGAAGCACTTCCTCTGGAGTCTCTTCGATGTCGTCAGGTTTCTCCCTCTGGATACGTTTTGTCGTAGTAACTAATTCTGTCACCTCATCATCAGCTTCCTCTACCTCGGTTTTTGTCGTCTCGGAAATACCTGTCACTCCCGGCAATTCGGATATAGCTTTGTCGATTGGAGTTTCCTCGGGCCTTCGCCGTTTGGGTTTGTCTTTCTTTGGTTTCTTCTTTGGTGTGGTATCCCCTTCAACGGGTTTGCGTGTTTTCTTGGTGGTTGTGACGACTGTTATCTCTTCTTCGTTGTCGGGTTTCGGGGTGATGTCCTTGACAGTTGTAGTCTCTACGACAGTAACATGATCGTCGCCTTCCTCTGTTGTTACGGTGGTCTCGGGAACATGCGGAATCGAAGGCAGTATCTGGTCAATGTCGTCCTCCGGCCGTTTTGGTCTTGTTCGTCTAATTTTCTTTGTTGTTGTGACGACCTCAACTTCTTCTTCGTCTTCTTCAGTTACTTCAGTAACCGTTGACTCAGAGACCTCCTTGACACCAGGAATGTCCTCAATCTCCATATCCAAAGGTGTCTTTGTTTTTGTGTCTTGCTTTGGACCTTCGGTTGGTTTATCTTTGGGTCTCTTTGTTTTCTTTGTCTTTGTTTTTAAAATAATCTCCTCCTTGTTGTCTGGCCCAGGCTGCACTTCCTTTGTGGTTGTGACCTCTGTTACCTCAACAAAGTCGCCCGACTCAACAACAGTAACGGTAGGTTCAGCTTCGATGGGCACCTCAGGAAGCACTTCTTCTGGAGTCCCCTCGATGTCTTCAGGTTTCTCCCTCTGGATACGTTTTGTTGTAGTTACTAGCTCTATCACCTCATCATCAGCTTCTTCTACCTCGGTTTTTGTTGTCTCGGAAATATCTGTCACCCCCGGCAATTCGGATATAGCTTTGTCGATTGGAGTTTCCTCAGGCCTTCGCCGTTTAGGTTTGTCTTTCTTTGGTTTCTTCTTTGGTGTGGTATCCCCTTCAACGGGTTTGCGTGTTTTCTTGGTGGTTGTGACGACTGTTATCTCTTCTTCGTTGTCGGGTTTCGGGGTGATGTCCTTGACAGTTGTAGTCTCTACGACAGTAACATGATCGTCGCCTTCCTCTGTTGTTACGGTGGTCTCGGGAACATGCGGAATCGAAGGCAGTATCTGGTCAATGTCGTCCTCCGGCCGTTTTGGTCTTGTTCGTTTGATTTTCTTTGTTGTTGTGACGACCTCAACTGGCTGGTCGTCTTCTTCAGTTACTTCAGTAACCGTTGACTCAGAGACCTCCTTGACACCAGGAATGTCCTCAATCTCCATATCCAAAGTTGTCTTTGTTTTTGTGTCTGGCTTTGGACCTTCGGTTGTTTTATCTTTGGGTCTCTTTGTTTTCTTTGTCTTTGTTTTTACAATAATCTCCTCCTTGTTGTCTGACCCAGGCTGCACTTCCTTTGTGGTTGTGACCTCTGTTACCTCAACAAAGTCGCCCGACTCAACAACAGTAACGGTAGGTTCAGCTTCGATGGGCACCTCAGGAAGCACTTCTTCTGGAGTCCCCTCGATGTCTTCAGGTTTCTCCCTCTGGATACGTTTTGTTGTAGTTACTAGCTCTATCACCTCATCATCAGCTTCTTCTACCTCGGTTTTTGTCGTCTCGGAAATATCTGTTACTCCCGGCAATTCGGATATAGCTTTGTCGATAGGAATTTCCTCGGGCCTTCGCCGTTTGGGTTTGTCTCTCTTTGGTTTCTTCTTTGGTGTGGCATCCCCTTCAACGGGTTTGCGTGTTTTCTTGGTGGTTGTGACGACTGTTATCTCTTCTTCGTTGTCGGGTTTCGGGGTGATGTCCTTGACAGTTATAGTCTCTACGACAGTAACATGATCATCGCCTTCCTCTGTAGTTACGGTGGTCTCGGGAACATGCGGAATCGAAGGCAGTACCTGGTCAATCTCGTCCTCCGGCCGTTTTGGTCTTGTTCGTTTGATTTTCTTTGTCGTTGTGACGACCTCAACTGGCAGGTCGTCTTCTTTAGTTACTTCAGTAACTGTTGACTCAGAAACCTCCTTGACACCAGGAATGTCCTCAATCTCCATATCCAAAGGTGTCTTTGTTTTTGTGTCTTGCTTTGGACCTTCGGTGGGTCTATCTTTGGGCCTCTTTGTTTTCTTTGTCTTTGTTTTTACAATAATCTCCTCCTTATTGTCTGGCCCAGGCTGCACTTCCTTTATGGTTGTGACCTCTGTTACCTCAACAAAATCTCCCGACTCAACGACAGTAACGGTAGGTTCAGCTTCGATGGGCACCTCAGGAAGCACTTCCTCTGGAGTCTCTTCGATGTCGTCACGTTTCTCCCTCTGGATATGTTTTGTCGTAGTAACTAATTCTGTCACCTCATCATCAGCTTCCTCTACCTCGGTTTTTGTTGTCTCGGAAATATCTGTCACCCCCGGCAATTCGGATATAGCTTTGTCGATTGGAGTTTCCTCAGGCCTTCGCCGTTTAGGTTTGTCTTTCTTTGGTTTCTTCTTTGGTGTGGTATCCCCTTCAACGGGTTTGCGTGTTTTCTTGGTGGTTGTGACGACTGTTATCTCTTCTTCGTTGTCGGGTTTCGGGGTGATGTCCTTGACAGTTGTAGTCTCTACGACAGTAACATGATCGTCGCCTTCCTCTGTTGTTACGGTGGTCTCTGGAACATGCGGAATCGAAGGCAGTATCTGGTCAATGTCGTCCTCCGGCCGTTTTTGTCTTGTTCGTCTAATTTTCTTTGTTGTTGTGACGACCTCAACTGGCTGGTCGTCTTCTTCAGTTACTTCAGTAACCGTTGATTCAGAGACCTCCTTGACACCAGGAATGTCCTCAATCTCCATATCCAAAGGTGTCTTTGTTTTTGTGTCTTGCTTTGGACCTTCGGTTGGTTTATCTTTGGGTCTCTTTGTTTTCTTTGTCTTTGTTTTTACAATAATCTCCTCCTTGTTGTCTGGCCCAGGCTGCACTTCCTTTGTGGTTGTGACCTCTGTTACCTCAACAAAGTCGCCCGACTCAACAACAGTAACGGTAGGTTCAGCTTCGATGGGCACCTCAGGAAGCACTTCTTCTGGAGTCCCCTCGATGTCTTCAGGTTTCTCCCTCTGGATACGTTTTGTTGTAGTTACTAGCTCTATCACCTCATCATCAGCTTCTTCTACCTCGGTTTTTGTCGTCTCGGAAATATCTGTTACTCCCGGCAATTCGGATATAGCTTTGTCGATAGGAATTTCCTCGGGCCTTCGCCGTTTGGGTTTGTCTTTCTTTGGCTTCTTCTTTGGTGTGGTATCCTTTTCAATAGGTTTGTGTATTTTCTTGGTGGTTGTGACGACTGTTATCTCTTCTTCGTTGTCGGGTTTCGGGGTGATGTCCTTGACAGTTGTAGTCTCTACGACAGTAACATGATCATCGCCTTCCTCTGTAGTTACGGTGGTCTCGGGAACATGCGGAATCGAAGGCAGTACCTGGTCAATCTTGTCCTCCGGCCGTTTTGGTCTTGTTCGTTTGATTTTCTTTGTCGTTGTGACGACCTCAACTGGCAGGTCGTCTTCTTTAGTTACTTCAGTAACTGTTGACTCAGAAACCTCCTTGACACCAGGAATGTCCTCAATCTCCATATCCAAAGGTGTCTTTGTTTTTGTGTCTTGCTTTGGACCTTCGGTGGGTCTATCTTTGGGCCTCTTTGTTTTCTTTGTCTTTGTTTTTACAATAATCTCCTCCTTGTTGTCTGGCCCAGGCTGCACTTCCTTTGTGGTTGTCACTTCTGTTACCTCAACAAAGTCGTCCGACTCAACGGCAGTAACGGTAGGTTCAGCTTCGATGGGCACCTCAGGAAGCACTTCCTCTTGAGTCTCATCGATGTCGTCAGGTTTCTCCCTCTTGATACGTTTTGTTGTAGTAACTAGTTCTGTCACCTCATCATCAGCTTCTTTTACCTCGGTTTTTGTTGTCTCGGAAATATTTGTCACCCCCGGCAATTCGGCTATAGCTTTGTCGATTGGAGCTTCCTCAAGCCTTCGTCGTTTGGGTTTGTCTTTCTTTGGTTTCTTCTTTGGTGTGGTATCCCCTTCAACTGGTTTGCGTGTTTTCTTGGTGGTTGTGACGACTGTTATTTCTTCTTCGTTGTCGGGTTTCGGGGTGATATCCTTGACAGTTGTAGTCTCTACGACGGTAACATGATCATCGCCTTCCTCTGTAGTTACGGTGGTCTCGGGAACATGCGGAATCGAAGGCAGTACCTGGTCAATCTCGTCCTCCGGCCGTTTTGGTTTTGTTCGTTTGATTTTCTTTGTCGTTGTGACGACCTCAACTGGCTGGTCGTCTTCTTCAGTTACTTCAGTAACCGTTGATTCAGAGACCTCCTTGACACCAGGAATGTCCTCAATCTCCATATCCAAAGGTGTCTTTGTTTTTGTGTCTGGCTTTGGACCTTCGGTTGGTTTATCTTTGGGCCTCTTTGTTTTCTTTGTCTTTGTTTTTACAATAATCTCCTCCTTGTTGTCTGGCCCAGGCTGCACTTCCTTTGTGGTTGTGACCTCTGTTACCTCAACAAAGTCTCCCGACTCAACGACAGTAACGGTAGGTTCAGCTTCGATGGGCACCTCAGGAAGCACTTCCTCTTGAGTCTCCTCGATGTCTTCAGGTTTCTCCCTCTGAATACGTTTGGTCGTAGTAACCAGTTTTGTCACCTCATCATCAGCTTCCTGCTCTTCGGTTTTTGTTGTCTCGGAAATATGTTTTGCACCTGGGATATTAGAAATGGCATTATCTACAATTGATGTGTCTGGTTTTTGCTCCGTGGCTGGGTGTTCAATAGGCGTTGAAGTCTCAGAGACTGTGTCCTTCGGTTGTTCGGTTTCTTCATGCAGGGGTTTGGCTGCGCGCCATTCGGGTGTTTTGTCCTGGAAGTATTGAATTGCGTCAAATTGCGATTGTCTATGTTGGCAGGTTTAAGTTGTTTACGTCCCACATAGGACGGAAAATATATATACTACTTAAATAAACGTTTAGGATAGCCTGAGCTTGATTCGGCTGGATTTGCAGTAAATTAAGTACCAAGGCTCCTAGAGACTGCTTTCAAAAAATGTAGCTTTGTTTCTCCACCAATTTGAAAGGGGCGAGCATGAGAGACTATGATCTAAGCACATACAAATGTTTTGGTTAGTAGGAGTTTACCGTGTGTTTTTGTATGTCTGCGTTTGAATGATGTATGGTGTGCTAAGGTCAGTGATGTGATAAGTTATGGAAAAGAAAGATGAATCCTTAACTTATTACCGTCCACAGTGATGACTTAAGATCCAATGTGTGTCATGTAAGTAATATGATCCAATTGGGAAACCTGGAACGCTTCAAAGTTCAAGCAAGAACAAAGCCAGATTTCAAGGATCTTGCTTAACTTTGCCGATATTTTTTTTTCTTGCGCAATGGTACCTTTTACTCTGAGCCAAACGTGTTACCTATTTTATTTTACATATTTAGCATCTTTTTAATAGGGCACGACGGTTTAAACATCGCGTCAAACCATTCAATATATATTGGTGTTTTGTAAATTTATTTAAGTGCAGCATGTTCAAGATGAAGTGTGAGCGGCTGCTTTAATCCCTCGTCGGTGTCCTGTGGAGCGTGCTGAGCCGTTTATTTAGGTTGTTAGCCGGCCATCTCGATGGCCGTGGCTGACCTCTCGCTCTGCGGTCTCAGCCGGCGGGGACGTCGTCCCGGGTGGCCGGTGTGCCGGAGCCGTCTCCTCAGGCCGGTCGCGGACCGCCTCTACATCTACTGGCGGCTGTAAAATGACGCCCGTCAGCACCGCGGCGCTGCGGCGGGGTCTACCAAGCCCGCGACGTCGACCGGTGCCCGGCACACAGGTACGGAGCTTGAGGAATACGGTGGACGGCCGCCCATCACCGGGAGTCGAATTTGGGCTGGGCTCTGATGGGATATTTGGCAGGAACAGGGAAGGCAGGGGGCGTTTTCTCCAGAACACATGCATTGGTGCAGTGATCAAGCAAGTGGAATGCATGACAGACATCAAGGCACACAAACGCGGCATCAGGGCTAGGCGCACGGTGCGAGCTTGCCGACACAAGGTGATCAAACACAGAACATGACTTGTATCACGGCATCCATAGCTGAACAGTCAGGTGACTGTTTACTAGCTTGTGAATTGCAAATGCATCTACGTTCATTGCTCAGTCGCTTGGAACACACAACCTGGACATTGATGTATTGTATGTCTGATGAAGCACAACAATAAATTGTGGATGTGTAGGTATCAGCGGGGTAGAAAAAGCATGTGACCGCAGAGGATTTGCGAATAGCACATACTTGGTCACAGCCTCACGCACATGCGGTTGATTTTCGTCATGCAAAAATGATAAAAATTAAAAACTTACCAATAACTCACCACATGTTTACACAAAAGTATCATTTAAAAACAGATTGTTCAGAAGAGCAGAGGGAAGGAGTTACTCTGCCCAAAGAAAGAAAACCCGACGCTCTACGCGACACAAAAGATGAGTCGCTGGTGAACCAAGTCACAACTTAGGCAACCAACTCAACTTAAACGCACTCAAAAGGTTATTCAAGTCTTGTGATAACCGCGCGAAAATGTCGGCCACTTCCGCGGCCATACCACTGTTACAAAAACAAAAATAAAAACGAACAAAAATGTTCGATTGACTTGTTAGATCTAGACACACTGTCATTGCAGTTTATTGCAGAAAAACACGCTGCTGACATCTCATTTTATTTCATATATTCAGTGGTTATAGTCATTACGTCGTTACAAGCACACAGTCAAAGACTCATTTTACTCCGATGTTCCTATCTCCCTGTACAGTCAGTCGCATGATATTTACACACGGCCGTAGTTCTGTGGGGTGGGGTTAGCGGGGGACTGGTGGCGTCCGACTGACCTGTTGCGAGGGCCGCTCCTCCGGTAGGGGCTCCGTTTGTGACTCACTCAGAGTCTCCTCTGTCTCCAGGGCGGTCTGCTCCTCAATGATCGGCTGCACCTTCTGTTGTTGGGAAGATAGTGGTTTCGGTCACACACGGGTCGGGAAGATAGTGGTTTCGGTCAGGCACGGGTCGGGGAGACGAGTCGATGATATGTAGATGTGTCGTGGAGATATTGATGGAGCTCGATAACAGTGATATAAGCTAAATGCTTCTGGAAGACAGTGATGCCATTCATAATTGCTTGGAAGATGGGGATGCTATCCCATTCATATGCGAATAATAGAAGCATCTTAAGATTTCATCGAAACATCTTCATAAGCAGGTCATATACGACATTTTGAATCACCATGCGACCAATAAGTTGGTGCTTAGGTTAGGTAACTTGGGTAATTATATTAGGTAATTAATTGTTCAATGCACATTGCACATCAATGTAACTAAGTATTGTACTTTGACTTCTGAATTCAAGAGGATTTCTTGCTAGTTAAGACTAAGATTAATAGCTATTTTCACTGTACTACTGTCATTATTGTTCAATCTGTTTTTCCCCGAAGACAGCTTTACAATATTGTGAGGGAAGTTCATGTGCTTCTCTACAACGTGCAGAGAAGAAGCTACATTGGTCTACATGGTGTAGTTATGGTTAGCTTGATGGAGATGCATGAAAGTGGAACACCGTAGTTCTAAATACATAACGATTCGGCACGGTGAAACTGATAGATGTCACAAAACATGAGCCAATGAAGCGAAGTCACCTTAAAAGGAGCTACCAAAAAGAAAAATAAAATAAAAAAGGACAACAATGAGAACGACCGAATTAAATGTTTTAAGTATATCTACAACGCTGCTGTAAGCTTACCTTCATTTGTTTAGTATCTCATCACTATTGACGCATGCAAAATTAAAACTAGGGAAAAATATGAATGCTATTGCTGACGGATACCTCCATATGGGCTTCTTCCCCTTTATGGATTCAATGAGTTCCTCGACGATAACCTCTTGTGTTTCTTGAGCTTCCTTTGGCTTTGTTTTCTTCTTGGTCCCTTTTTTATTTGGGGGTTCGCTTGATTGATCTCCCGTTGAGGGAGTACTTGTCTCTTGAACTGCATTCATTTGAACTTGTTTCTTCTCTTCCGACTCCTTGGGCTTTTTTGTTGGGACGGGCTTCAGTTTTATCTCCTCTTTAGTTTCCTTTTCTTTCTTAGGTTTCGGTGGAGCTGGTTTCAGGTGTACTTCTTCCCTGTCCTCAGTCTCCTTTGGTACTTTGCCTGGGACAGGTTTGAGAGAAACCTGCTCCTTGTGAGGGATCTCGACTTCCTTTGGTGGTACAGGCTTTAGTTTTGCTTCCTGTCTAGTTTCCTTTTCTTTCTCAGGTTTTGGCGGAATGGGTTTCAGTTGTACTTCTTCCTTTTCTTCAGCCTCCTTTGGTACTTTGCCTGGGACAGGTTTGAGAGACACCTGCTCCTTGTGAGGGATCTCGACTTCCTTTGGTGGTACAGCTTTTAGTTTTACTTCCTCATTAGTTCCCTTTTCTTTCTCGGGTTTTGCTGGAATTGGTTTCAGTTGTACTTGTTCCTTTTCTTCAGTCTCCTTTGGTACTTTGCCTGGCACAGGTTTGAGAGACACCTGCTCCTTGTGAGGGATCTCGACTTCCTTTTGTGGTAAAGGTTTTAGTTTTACTTCCTCTTTAGTTTCCTTTTCTTTCTCAGGCTTCGGCGGAATTGGTTTCAGGTGTACTTCTTCCTTTTGTTGAGGCTCCTTTGGTACTTTGCCTGGGACAGGTTTGAGAGACACCTGCTCCTTGTGAGGGATCTCTACTTCCTTTGGTGGTACAGGCTTTAGTTTCACTTCCTCTTTAGTTTCCTTTTCTTTTTCAGGCTTCGGTGGAATTGGTTTCAGTTGTACTTCTTCCTTTTCTTCAGCCTCTTGTGGTACTTTGACAGGAACCGGCTTGAGAGACACCTGCTCCTTGTGAGGGATCTCGACTTCCTTTGTTGGTACAGGTTTTAGTTTTACTGTCTCTTTAGTTTCCTTTTCTTTTTCAGGCTTCGGTGGAGTTGGTTTAAGTGTACTTCTTCCTTTTCTTCAGCCTCTTGTGGTACTTTGCCAGGAACCGGCTTGAGAGACACCTGCTCCTTGTGGGGAAGCTCGACTTCCTTTGGTGGTACAGGTTTTAGTTTTACTTCCTCTTTAGTTTCCTTTTCTTTCTCGAGCTTCGGTGGTGGAATTGGTTTCAAGTGGACTTTTTCCTTTTCTTCAGCTTCTTGTGGTACTTTGCCAGGAACCGGCTTGAGAGACACCTGCTCCTTGTGAGGGATCTTGACTTCCTTTGGTGGTACAGGTTTTAAATTTACTTCCTCTTTAGTTTCCTTTTCTTTTTCATGCTTCGGTGGAATTGGTTTCAAGTGTACTTCTTCCTTTTCTTCAGCCTCTTGTGGTACTTTGCCAGGAACCGGCTTGAGAGACACCTGCTCCTTGTGAGGAAGCTCGACTTCCTTTGGTGGTACAGGCTTTAGTTTCACTTCTTCTATAGCTTCCTTTTCTTTCTCAGGCTTTGGTGGAATAGGTTTCAGCTGTACTTCTTCCTTATCCAGTGTCTCCTTTGGTAATTTGCCTGGGACGTGTTTGAGAGAAACCTGCTCTTCCTGAGGAATTTCAACCTCCTTTGGTGGTACAGATTTAGGTGCGGCCTCCTCCCTGTCTGTTTCATCCTCTGTAGGTTTGGGTGGAATCGGCTTTAACACATCATCTTGATCCACCTGGACGTCGTCTGGCTCCTTGTTTGGTGTGAGGTTCAGAGATACATCACCTGTTTGTTCCATACCAACCTCTTGGTCCGCCACATCTTCCAACCGTTTTTCACTGTCATCCATTTGCTGTTTTGGCTCGGTTTTCGGGATCCCGTCTTCCTCGCTTATCTCCAGCTCTAGATCTTGGAGCCTTCTTTGCTCAGGTGATGCTTGAGTTTTTGCGTTGAGTTCAGATTCACCTTTCTGAGCTGCAGCCTTCTTAGGTACTGGTTTGAGCTTAACACTTTCTCTCTCTGGCTTTGCTTTTGGTTCCTTGGGTGGGATTGGTTTCAGCGATGTCTGTTGCTTATGTGGTACTGATGGTTGTTGTTGTTGAGCTATCGGTTTCAATTTGTGGGCCTCTTTGTCCGTTACCTTTGACTGCTTCAGGGGAACCGGCTTTAACTTGACACTCTCCTTTTCTTCAATGGTTTTGCAGGCTTTGGTGGGATTGGTTTCAGCTTGATCTGTTCTTTGTGTGGCACTTCAATTTCTCTTTGCATAACTGTCTTAAGCTCAATGTTTTCCGGTCCATCTTGGGGGTCCACGTGTTTTAGAGGAACGGGCTTAAGACGGATGCTCTCGGCGTCTTCCAATCGCTTTGGCTCCTTTGGAGGTACTGGTTTCAGCGTCACTTGTCCCTTATGTGGAATCTGGGGCTGTGTTTCCGATGCTGACTTCAGTTGTATATCTTCTCCTTCTTCAAGTGTTGTCAGCTCTTTGGAGTGAACTTGTTTCAACTGCACTTGGTCTTTATGAGGCACCTCAATTTCCTTAGCCGGGACTGATCTCAAGTCAATGTCTTCTCCTTCTTCCAACATATCTAGTCCCTTGAAATGTACTTGCTTCAACTTAACCTGGTCCTTGTGAGGGAGTTCTGTCTCCTTCTCTGGAACGGGCCTAAGAATAATGTCATCACCATCGACTGGTGGGTGCGACTCTTGTGGCGAGACCGGCCTTAGCTGTACATCTGCGCTGTCTTCTGGCGCTGACTGAGAGTCGGGCTGGGTGGGCTTCAGTCGCACACTGGTCCAACTTGGAAGATCCTCATTCGTCTGACTTCCACCTGCGCCGCTCGGCCTTTGACCTGCCTCCGACTGTGAAGAGGCAGTGTGTTAGTTTGTTACGCTCATGAACAGCCATATCGCGGATAGGGCTCGCATTGGGCTGGCTCATGCACAAATAAGCAATGCTATTGGGAAAGCGATTGAATAAAGCGTTGACTTCTTGTATGCTAGCAAGAAGCACACAAATGTAAAAGCGTACCAGAGTAGATTTATCAGGCACGAAATAAGCATATGTAAACGGCAAAAGCATTAGAAGCGAAGCAAAGCGAAGTAAGCATTTCTGTTGAAACCAAGCTGGCAATGCAATGCGTGGCCGCGTTAAAAGAAACGTTTAAGCGTATGTTGTTAGGCGTTTATTCATCAGAATGAACTGTTAAAGCGTTAAGATGTTTATCACGCAGTGACTATACCTTTATTTTTATAGGCTTCAGAAGCTCCCTGGAAAGGAGATACATGGGTTAAGCGCATGTAAATGCACATTACACGTTTATAAGATACACATATTGGGGAGACAGGTGTAAGTCCATGGTGACGACTTGGGGAGAATGTTGATAACGTACCACTTGCCAACACCTTTAAAACCCCTTTTGTAAAGGAAAGACGCTGCGACATTAGAGTATTTGGTTTAAAATATCAGCGCATATACCATAGAACAATGGTATTAGAACTTCACTGGGATGTAGATATTGGATAATTACGTGGCAGAGGCCTGAACTCACTTCTTCTCCCGGATCTTCCTCGCCGTCTCCTCCTGGATTCGTTTTCTTCTCTTCCATGCGTCGGATGCGCTCCTGTTCGCGCTTTTTCCGTTTTTCGACGGCCTCCTGACGCTCCTTGATCAGTTCCTCGCGCTCCTCTTCAGACAATTCTGTCGACGGACCGAGTCGCCGTTACAGTCACAAAACAACAGCTGCTACACTTCATCGTGTGTTTAATGGTTGTTATACACAACTCAAATGACATTAAGATGTACGCTGAATAACGACAACTCAAGAAACTCAAAATAACAAAATGATATTTATTTTTAAATTACTTTAAAATACACAAAGCTTTCGGTCGCATAGTTACGACCTTGATCACTGTGTTGCACAATGTTTCACAATCATAACATCCGTCAAACACTTACAAGCCATATCTCTGTGATATCGCTTAACAAATACTACACATCACAATACCCACGCTATGCCTGTCCGTGTTTGCTCGGTATTTCATCCAACCCCAACCATTCCATCAAATCGTCAGACAACCGAGTGCCATCCGTGCCGAGGGGGACCGTGCGTGTCGAGCACGGGCGTCGACTCACCCTGCACCTCCAGCGTGGCGGTGGAGGTGGCCTCTCCGGCCGGGTTGACGGCGCGCACCGTGTACTGGCCGGCCATGTCTGGAGTGACATCGCACAGCACCAGACTGACGCGGTCGTCCACGTACAGGATACGCACGAAGCGAGAGAGCGACAGTCGTAGGTCGTTGTGGAACAGCGTCACCTCTGTGGGGAGAACGGACTGGTGGTGAACGAGATCGGCAAGTGGAAACGTGAATTTCTCATCCCATTCGCTGCTCTTGCATGTCTCATTAGCATTTTGATTATGAGGATCATCATGTGAAATAGCAGCAGTACATTTTTTTTACTAGTTTATGCTTTATTGTGGAACCGTATTGTAGTTTATTGAAATGGCTTGATACGAGTATGTGTCTACATAAATAATATTCTAATTTTCTATGGGGAATTAAGCTAGACAGCTACGATTGTGTTCGGGAGGGAGTGGGGTTCGCTGGCGCCAACGAAGCAGCGTTGCTGTCTGACCTGGTCTCGGTACACCCGAGACGGCACACTTGAACTCCACTTCGCTCGAGTTCTCCTTCGCCTTCTGGTCGGTGAGCTCCGTGGTGAACTTGGGCGGCTGCTGGCGGGCTAAAACAGGGAGACAGTTTATCAGACCGCGTATTCTTTTTTTTTACTCTCAGCGCCTGCACTTCATATCGTCTGATAGTATTTTGTCGTTAAAAGTAAGTGTGTGTTCGTAAGTATGTTCGCAAACTATTTTCAGTTACTTCACTAATGCTGTTTGGAACAAGAGGTTAAAACATCAGTTCCTTACGACTGGTATTATTTAAAACGTAATATTATTATTAACGACTCAACTTTTTCCTCGAACTCTACCATATTAGCCTGTAGAAGAATGCTGATCAACTTTGTATCATCGTTGTTGAGTCCATGACTTACCACTACTGGTCAAACAGGGCCGTTGTCTTGTTTGGTCCCCTTGATAAGCATCGGCTAGCTGCAAAATACGCATGCATTGGGGCATGCGGCTGCAAAATAATCTTCACGCGTAGTTAGCTCAATAAATAAATGAAAACACAGCACACTTCTAGCTACAATTCCCGGACTCTCACTGCAGTTAGTATCAAACATTACATCGTTACGCTCTTGCATGTCACAACACAAAGTTTGTAGCGAGACAGTTGGCAGGTTGTTTGACTTCGATGTTGTTAATTTCCAAAAACGCATCACCTCATTTCACATTCTGTCTCTGTCTCTGACATGATCTGCCTCTCAAGCTGCAGAAATTCATTAAGTTCATCGAGCTCCTCGGTGCTGCAGCTACGTCGTAAAGGGAAAGCCCTCCTTTCAGCACCTGCACGCTTTGACTCTTCAAGCTCATGCGTCTCTAGATCTCGGGAAATCTTTCGAGATCGCTCGATTGAGCTCCTCGAGGACGACAGCTCATCCAAACTACCCGAACGGGCTGCTCGTAGACTTCCGCTTCCTTCAGAGCCTTCTACAACTCTTTCTCCGAGCGTGTCATCACTCTCATCTCCGGAGCTTGCTAGCGACGGCCGCGGACTGTACTCTGATACGGCCAGGGTGGCAGCCAGAGCTCTTTGATGCGCGGAGGGTGGTGGTAGGGCCGCTAGTCGCTCCACAGCCGACCAGCGCGGCATCTTCAGCTTGTCCAGCAGTGAGCGCATGGTGCCATGCAGAGAGTGAGACGCGCTGTAGCCGCGCGGTAGTTTCTCGCCCACGGGATTGACCTCATCAGGACTGGGCGTTCGCGACTCTGAACTCCCTGGCTCACTGCGCTCACTGATTGGAGACAGGATGGACGGAAACCCTTCCTCCTCTGGAGCTGGTTCCTCGTCGTCTTCTTCAGCCTCATCCAGGAGATCTTCTTCTCCTTCACTTCCGGCCAGCGTCTGTTCATCATCGTCATCATCTTGAGAATCCTCTGCGTCGGTAGTCTCGGGCTCCTCGACGTCGTAGCTGTGCTCATGCAGGACAGAGTGTGGTGAGGTGACCTCCATCACCCGAACCCCGTCGGACGAGGCAGAGGCTACGCTGTCCTGGCGACCCTTGGTTAACAGGGCACGCAGGAACAAGGCAGGGTCATCTTCAGACATCACGGAGCAGATGCTTACATTGCGCTCGCGCTCTTGTGCTGCCTCATGCTCGTTGCCACTGCTCTCCAAGCCAAGACTTTTGTCAAAAGCTCCACTGTTAGCCTCTGAGGCCTCTCTGGCAAGTGTAGATTCCAGCCTGAGAAACTCATCGATGCTTTCTCCAGAGTCGATTTGTGTCACTTCGGTTACGTCCTCCATCTTGGTGTGGACTTCGGAGGTGCGTGATGCATCATCAGTCGGAGTTGGCGATGTGACTGTCGGTGCTTGCGTATCATGAGCGACCTCAGTAATTGAGACCCGGCTAGCTGGCACACAAGGGTCACTCATGCTCTTGAACACAGCGCTTGTGGCTGGCTGACGACATGAGGTGCTGATGGGATCCTCCGCTCCGTCTCCGGCGTCACGCGGACCTCGATGACCTACATCGCCATCCTGCCAACCACCCATACCTCGCAGCATGGCAGGTATGATGTCAGTGTAGTCTGCCCCGTGAAGTGACAGACTATCATCAACGCGGGAGCTGCAGTCTCCCTCGGCATCGGCACCATGCCATGCCGGGATGTCATCATCCGTGAACAGACTCAGCATCTCGATGGCCGCGGAGATGGAGCCGCGATGGCGGCTGAGGTAGTCGTTCATCAGGCTATCATCGTCCGCAGTCTCGCTGTTGGCCGCGCGAAGCTCCAGCAGGAGGCTGCGCTTCCGCTGCACCTCGCTGGCGGCTTCCATGTCAGAGGCAAACACACTGTCGTCGCCCATGGACATTTCTGCGATGCTGACCGTGGAGGCATCCATCGGAGGCGGCACACCATGCTGGGTTAGTGATTCACCGCACGCGGGGTCGGCGGCGCGGCCGGAGTCGTTACCTCGGATTGCCGCCTTCGTCTCTTCCATCTGCACCACCCAGTCCGGCTTCCGGTAGCTGGGAGAGTCCTCGTCGTGACCTGGATGCGGGGAATGTGGTCAGGTGCCTGAGGGAAGCTGGTGTACTGCGTGCGTTTCATGATCGATACGTTAAGTTTTATGGGAGCTATTCTTGCGTTACTGGTGCTATGCAGTAAAATAGCAAGAGTCCAGAAGAAATGGAAGGCGGAAGAAAATAAGAAGACAATACCACAAGAATAAATCAATTGAAGCAGAGACCAGCGCATGAAACCAAACCGAAGTGTGCTTAGTAGTCAGTATGAGCTCGACATCGACCGGTGAGTGATGACAATGATAATGGCGATGCCGTCGTTGATTAATCTATAAAGTGTTAAAAGTGATATTTCTGGTTTAAAATGGGACAAAACATTGTTTTCAGTGAATCTTTTTTAATTGCAATGAGTTGACTCTTTCAAGATTATATATACTTGCAACAAATTCACTCACTGGTCGATGCATGATTACCGTGTTATTATCCTATGTGTCAGTATTTATGTAGGTATGCTGAAAACTCTGGAAATGAAATCTGAGTAACCGTCCCAGAGCCGTGCCTTTGTCAAGGCAAAGAGCCAAGAAGCAAAATATCTGAAACAAAGTTAGTACGGTGAGTTACATCAGGCACAATGTACCTCTCAATGAAGGTACCGTTCAAACAGACATGTTAGCATCAAATAAGCGAATAGCCCTTCGCTGCATGCAACACATTATAAGGACGAAAAATTGAACGAGTTTCAACAAACGCATCAGCATGAGATAATATGTGAACCAGCACCTGATCCCATTTTAGTGATGTTTGCGTGACACTGAACACCATTTAAAAAGTACAGTTCGATGTAAAATGAGAAACCAGACGTTGTAACACTTGTGATCAAATTCTCGCACATAAGCAACACAATGATTTATGAAAAGTGTAAACATTTGCCAAAATTACAACGCCTCGCCCTGACAGACCGAGCTGCTTACGGTACTGGCACCGGTACCGGCCGCCAATGCGGTACTCACTGGGCGCGGACTCTACCAGCAGCTGGGTACTGGTGGTTGCCACACCCCGTTCGCTCTCGGCCTCACAGGTCAGCACGCCGGCGTCGTCAGGGAACGCCTGCAGCACAGTCAGGCGCTGCGTGCCGTCCTCCAGCGCCTCCACCTCAAAGTCGCGGCCCGGCTGGATCACGCGCTCGTTGAGGTACCACGTGACCTCGCACGGTGCCTCGGGTGCCAGGCGGCACTCGAACCTGCCGTCCAGAGCGGGAGTAGGATTTCAGTGGTGGCCCTGGTAATACATGCCGCGTGTGCGTCGGGAGCATGCAGCATAAGTAGATCAACAATCAACAAGTCAGGCTGAACTATCCTGATCTCGCCCTTTTGTCAAAATCTGCGCCACTCGCTATGCTTGGCATTGATTGTGGCCTCAGGAAGTTCCCCATTAGAATACATTGACCGTATTTCTTAAATTATCTCTTTTCCTGGACTGCAGTAGATTACTTTTTGAACAGCTCGATAAAGCTTCCTTAATTGAAAACAATTTTCGTTCTTTGCGTTACTCACGTGATGGGGCTGCCTTCCGGCACACTGGTCGTTCGCGGCAGCCGGCGCACGAAGCGCGGTCCGAGTTCATCGGGTGCGTCCAGCAGGTCCTCCTCACTGTGGTCGTCCACGCTGAGCAGGGTGCCCACCGTCATTGAGGCGATCTCCGAGTCCTGCACGTACTCGTACGGCTCGACGCTGACGTGAGACGTGGCCTCGCCGGGACCGACGGCGTTGGTGACGCGGCAGGTGAAGGTGCCGGCGTCCTCCGGGTACACCTCGCTGATGTAGAGCGTGCACACGCCGTCGGGCGACATGGTCACCTCTACGTCACGGTGCTCGTCCATCGGCTGGCCTTCGTGCAACCAGGCGACGCGGGTCGGAGTGGGCGAGACGATCTTACAGGACACCTTGAGCTCTTCGCCGTCCATCAGCTTGATAACCGGTGTTAGGCTCGTTACCTTCGGCAAGTCGGAAGGTGCTTCCTCCTCTTCAGGAAGTTCCTCAGTCGGAACCTGCTCCTCAGGTACCGGCTCCTTTTTAGGAGCCGCTGGCTTGTCTGGCACCTCTTCAGGTGCTTCTTCAGGTCTTTCTTCAGGCTTTTCTTCGGATATCTCTGGCTTCTTCTTATGCGCCTTCTTTGGCGTTTTCTTCGGAGTCTCTTCTGGCGCCGTCTTTTCGTCTGGCACCACCTGCTCTTGGGACTCGGATTTGGTCACGGAGACTGGGCTGGATCGATCAGCTCCCACGCTAGTCTCGGACGGCTGCTCTGGGGCTGGCTGGGTGACAGAAGGCTCACGAGGCGCCTTCTCCGGCGAAGATCGCGGCTGGATGGACGCCGCTGAGGACGTCATGCCTGCCTCATTCTCTGCAACACATGTGTACTCTCCAACATCCTTCGGTCGCATCTCACTAATAACGAGCACAGTTTTGTTGCCGTCACTGGTAATGTGAATGTTCTTGGTGTTCTTCAGCCTCTTGTTATCACGCATCCAAGTGAAGGTGACCTCAGGCTTTGCGGTCACCTCTGCCTCATGACCACTGTTTCTCCTAGCGGGACATGCTGGGTCGGACTGGACGCACGAAACTGGGAGCTTGCAGCTCCGCCTCGTCAGGCAGCTCTGGCGAAACGACCAGCGTGGCACGTGACCGCGCCTCACCACCGCGTTTGTTGCCACCACCTCAACGACACCCTCATCGGGAGTGGAGGCGCGGGACAGCACCAGTCGCGACTCGCGGTCGTCAGTGATCACCGTGTAGCCCTCGGTCTCGTCGACAGGCTTGCCGTTGTGGAACCAGGTGATGACCGGTGGCGGCAGGCCCTCGAAGGCCGTGTGGTAGGTGACATCGGCTCCCGGCCTGGCGACCACCGCTCGAAGGGGAACCACCAGCGCTGGCGGCTGGCTACCCTCGGGCAGACTCTCCAAATCGGTTCCTGTGGCAAAAGGTTCACGGTTGTCGACTTTCTTAAACATGTATTAGCTCTTTGAAAAAATATTGGTCCATAGATATTATCGCGGATGGATGCATCTAAAGGTGAAAACAAAGGCTTGAACATTCATCACATCTTTGGGTCAAGAGCAAGCCATTACAGCTGTAATGAACGAACCTTCGACAATGATGAGGTTGGCGGTATTCTGATCCCGACCGAAGGGGTTCTCTGCCAGAACGGTGTAGTTGCCGACGTCTTCCGGCATCACGGTGGGTACCGTCAGCCGCGCCACGCCCGTGTCGGGGTTGAAGGACGGAACAAAGTCGTCCGAGGGACGGATCTGTGGAGTGAGAACACGACGGAATGTCTATAAATGAATCTTGCTCTCCTGACTCGATTGTCAACTGACACATCACAACATCTAGTGAATACTGAATGTTGTCAATGCAATGATTGTGGATAGTGATGATGAAAAACGATATTTTAGACACCTGCGACGAAGAACGTTCCAGTAGCATCTACAATGAATTAAACAGATTATTTTTTTAAGACTCACCGGCTGTCCTTCGTGGAACCAAGTGATTTGCGGCGGTGGCGAGCCGATGACCTTGACCTCCCAGGCCAAGGTTTGACCGGGTCGCACTTGGCGAGGGTTGAGTGGCTCCACAATCTGAGCCGGTGCTCCTTCTTTTGGTTTCTCTGCAAAAATTGGTGAAAACAGGGTCAGCTTGGTCTTTTTTTGTTTTTAATTGCACGTTGCAACAATCATTGTTATGCAATGTTACTGATAAAATGGTCAGCATTTTCAAATGACAAAAGATATGGGGCAATGTGAAAATCGTCTTTGAAGTTCCTCATATTTATATACATACCTAAGCGTATCCTTATTTAGCTGGCTTACTCAGCCTAAGTGCGATACAATTTGCACTGGCATTTTTCGACATTACAGATCATTGCGTTGTTAATTTTATGATTCATGATTGTTAATGTTATGTTAATGTTATGTCACGAGGTTTCATTATGTTAAATTATTGTTAAGTAAAGACACGTTTCAAACACTGAAGCGGTTATTAACATTTTGCTTGATGCATTGGTATCCTTGGCAAAACATCAAAACGGAGAAAACTTGGCGAAAAAAAAATGATTAGTTATATTTTATTAACACACATCACAATTGCTAAGATATCGTTAAGACTCATTAAAGTAAATGACACTAGAAACTGAAAGAAATAAAGCGGGATCAATGAAAATGTCACGACTCAATCACGTTGGCATAAAATAATCGTAATGTTGTCGCTTGCCTGAAACGACAAGAACATGTGAGTAAACACACGCAAGCATGCTTTATTTAACAAACAAACGAAAAAGGAAAACAGAAAACGAAATCAGCAGAACTGAGAGATGCAATCTACCTTGTACCACCAGGCTAGCCGTTGATGTGGCCGAGCCTCCGGGATTGGTCACTTTGCAGGTGTAGTGTCCGACGTGCTTGCGCGTCACCTTGGTGATCTCGAGCACAGCTGTGGACTCGGTGCTCCAGCTCGTAGTATGCTTAGTCGTTTTCAAGTCAACATTATTCAGGAACCACGATACCGTAGGCGCCGGATTGCCCTCAAACTCTACCTCAAAGGTAACAACATCGCCTCTGTTAGCGACCACGGGCTGCATCTTTCTAGTAAAGCGAGGAGGCTTGATTTTCTGTGCGCCAGGGCTGGGAAGAATACCATGCGACTTTTCTTTGTCTTCGGCTTCTCAGTTGGAACATCTTCGCCTGGGACTTCTTCCACTTGAACATCTCCCTGATCAGGAACATCTTCAGCACTGTATTCAATTACCTCCTCGAATTCATCCTTTTCTTCCATTTCATGAGTGAAAACTTCCTCAGTAGTAACACTCTCAGGCTTTTCTTGTTGATCGGGCTTTTCTTGGCTTTCAGGCCTCATTTTACGAGGCTTTACTTTCTTTTTCTGATCGTTTTCTCACAGGTTTCTCCATTGTTGAATCGACTTCAACGGCTTCCTTGGAAACAATTTCAAAGTCTTCGGTTGTCCATGTTTCTGAAGACCTCACTGACGTCCTCTTCGGTCGCCCTTTGGGTCGGCTTAGCTCGTCGAACCTTGGGAATGGCACCCGTCTCTCTTCCATCCTTTGGTTTCGGTGACTCTTCACCAAGCTTTTCGGGTTCCGTTGGAACCTCGCTTGGAATATCTTCCTTGTCTTTTGGCACTGGCTTCTCTTCTGTTTCTGGAAGATCCTCCTTCTGTGTGTCTGTATCTTTGGGAGTCTTGTCATACGGTTGAAGCTCTACTGGCTCTCTTTCAGGCAGTGTTGGAACGTAATCTGGCTTTATTTGACCATCTGCCTCTTTTGGTGTTTCGTCTGCTGGTGCTTTAGCAAATGGCTTAAGGGTTATTTCTTCTTGTGGCTCTTCGCCACGAGGTCCAGGCTTACCAGGCTTAAGCCTATATTCTAAAGGCTTATCATCTTCAGGAAGTTTCCCTTTTCCGATTCTCAGACCTTCCTCGTCTTCAGGTGTCTCCTGGTCCGGTTTCTGCCCCTCTTACCCACCTTCCTTTCTCTGGAGACTTATCCTTTTGCTTTTTGGGACCTTCAGCTTTTGGAGCTTTCTTTAAAGTCTTGGGAGTTTTGTCTTTCTTTGGCTGATCGGGCATATCCAATTCAAGCTCATCAAGTTCAACGTCGTCATGCGTAGGCACATCAGTTGGTGCGAATGGCTCTACTTCTATGATCTTCTGTTCCTTTTCCTCAGTCGGTATTTCAGCTTCCTCTTGTTCCGGAAGCTTCTTTAGACTAACGTCTTCCATTGTCACATGTTCAGGCTCATAATCCTTCCGTGCGGAAGGTTTCAGCTTGGGATGTGCCCAAGGAACTTCCTCTGGCTCCTGTAATTTTACTGGCGCTGGTCTCTTTTTTAATTTTACGTCCTCAGGATGATCCTTGGCCTCTGTGTTGGGAGGTACAGCCGCTTGCTGTTCCTCTGGTTTCTGCAGAACAACTTCAGTTTGCCTTTGTTTTGGTTTCTTGACAGCAGCCTCATCGTTTTCTGTGTGATTTCTTCGTCAGTTGGTGCATCCAACGACACCCAATCTTCAGGTGACTGAGCACATTCAGCTGGCACCTCAGTCACACCCTTTTCTGGTCTTGTGCCCTTCTTGTGCTTTCTACCTCTTGGCCATGGCTCCTTTTCGGGCTCCTCTTTCTTTTCATCAGCAGGTTCCGATGGATGAAGATCTTGCTCCGACCTGTCGTCCGGGTGCGCTGCTGCGGTTGTTGGCCCAATGGCTGCTCCTCTGTAGGCTCAGCACGTGGCGTAGCTTTCAGTTTGGGGTGAGCCCACGGAACTTCCTTCGGTTCTTGTGGTTTAGGGTGCGCCCATGGAACCCCCTTTGGTTCCTGCTTTTGGGTAGGTGATGCGGTTTCTTCTGGCGCTTTGCCTTCCTCTTCGCGTGCTAGTTCATCTTCTGGCAAGTCCGTAGCTGCTGGCTTTTTGAGGTTTTATTCCTCTTGGCCGAGTCGTCTCTTCCGGTTTGGCGGGACTTGCTCGTGGTGTGTCAGCTTCATCCGTCTTCTCTGGTGTGCTTTCTCTTTTTGCTTCTTGGGAGCTCTCCAGCAGGCTGGGTGTCGGCTTCGGGTCCAGTGGTTGTCTGCTCGATATCCTGCTGTTGAGGAATTGTTGCCTTTTCCACCATCTCAAAAGATTCAGCACTTGAGCTTTTCACAACGTCAATCTTTTCAAATGATGATTCGCTGCTGCTCTTTACGACTTCATAGCCTTGTTCATCTGCAACGCTTTGCGATGTTTTACAGGCTGCGTAGGCTTCAGCTGCACCGTCTCTAGTTTTTGCTTTTCAATACCTTTTTCCTTCCTGTTTGGTCGGCTTAAGCTGAACATTTTCACGTGCCCAGGGAACTGGATGCGCCTTGACCTCTGAATCTTTAAGCATCTCACTGATGTTTTCAGTTTCTTCAGCTTCTTGTCCGTCCGCTGCTTCCTCGCCTTTCTTAATGGCTTGAGGTCTACCTTGCTGAGTTTGGGTTTCTCGACTGGCTTACTTTCTGTCACAGTTGGCTTTAGTTCTGCCTTGCGTCTCGCCCATGGTGGCTTTGCGGAGTCGCTTTTCGTTTCGTCTCTCGTCGTCAACGCCTGTTTCCACCGCACGTTCTGGCACAGGCATTTCCTCGAGTTTCGGAACTGGTTTTAGTTCTACCGGTTCTAGTTTAGGTTTCTCCGGCCTTTTCTTTTCTGGCTTTTCTGCTGTGCGCAGTTGCTCTTTTGCGCGAGCCCAAGGCACCTGCTGCTCTGCTTCAGGTTGGAGGGACGCATCTTGTGGGAGCTCTGATGTCTCACCGCGTGCGTCCATGGACCGTCGGCGCAGAGTATCAGCCTGGTCAGGCACCGGTCGGAGTTCCACCGTGGCCAGCTGCGGTTTCTCCAACACCTTCTTTTCGACGGTCTCGACGGCTTTCAACTGTACGCTGCCGGTAGCCCATGGTGCCGTATCACTCGTGTACTGTACCCGTTGGCGCACGAGGCCACGTGCCCACGGAGAAGCTTCTACTAGCTCTTCTTCTGTGGGTGATATGCGTCCGTCCTCGGCGGCCATCGGCTGCTCTTGCGGTCGCTGCTGTGGTTGCTGTTTTTGTCTTAGCCATGGTCGCTGCTCCTCAGGCTTAACCTGCTGCCAAGGTTGTTGGGCCTGTTGTAACGGCTCCTCAGGCTGCTGTTTCTGCTGAGGCTGCTGTTGCCAGGGTTGTTGGGGTTGCTGAGGCTGCTGCTGTTGCCACGGTTGTTGGGGTTGCTGAGGCTGCTGTTGCCACGGTTGTTGAGGTTGCTGAGGCTGTTGCCACGGTTGTTGAGGTGCTGAGGCTGTTGCCACGGTTGTTGGGGTTGTTGAGGCTGCTGTTGCCACGGTTGTTGAGGTTGCTGAGGCTGTTGCCACGGTTGTTGGAGCTGCTGAGGCTGCTGTTGCCACGGTTGTTGAGGTTGCTGAGGCTGTTGCCACGGTTGTTGGGGTTGCTGAGGCTGCTGTTGCCACGGTTGTTGAGGTTGCTGAGGTTGCTCTTGCCACGGCTGCTGAGGCTGCTGAGGATGCTGAGGCTGCTCGGGCTGCTGTTGCCATGGCCGCCGGGGTTGTTGTGGCTGCTGTTGCCATGGTTGTTGAGGTTCCTGAGGCTGCTGTTGCCACGGTTGTTGGGGTTGCTGAGGCTGCTGTTGCCACGGCTGCTGCGGCTGTTGTTGCTCGTCATGCTGTTCCTGAGGCTGTTGCGGCTGCTCAACTTGCGGCTTCTGCCATAGCTGCTGCCACGGAACCTGCTGTGACTGCTGTGGCTGCTGTGTTTGTGACAGAGGAGGCTGTTCGAAGGCCGGTTTGAGCGGCACCTGTTCGATGCGAGGTTTCTCCACTGGCTTGGGCTGCTGGCGCTCCGTGGGACGGAGGCACACGATCTCAGACGGACGGCGGCCCATCGGTGAAGCCGAGCGAGCGCGGTCCGTCGAGCCGCGCCGGCTGCCCGGCAGGCCTTCCTCGGGCATCAGGAACGAGTAGCGCCGACCGCGGTCGTCCTCGCTGATACTGATGTGCGAACTGACGCTCATCGTATCGCTCCAATCGTCGTCGTCTTCCACGTGGTGAAGCTCTGGACGCTCCAGCTGGAATTTGGTCGGCTTGTGAACGATGCGCTCTGCGCGCTTCAGCGTCTTCTTGGCGTTGGCCCATGGCACTGTCTCGGGTTTCTCGCTCTTCTTCGGAGTAGATCGCTTTTTGGGCGGTGCCTTCTTGAGCGGCGCCGCACCCCACCACCGTTTGGCGGTGTTCACCTTCTTCTCACGCTGAGATTCGTCATCCTCCGGCGTGGGCGACGGAGTCTTGGGAGTGACCAGTACGGGGACCTCGATACGAGAAGGCGGCCACACTGGTTTGTCCGGTTGACCCGGCTGTGCTGACTGTGTTGGCTGAGCTGCCTTGCCCTCTTTGGTCTCTGGCAGCACGGGCTTTTGTTCTGAAAATGCATCAGACAACGCATAAATGTCAGTAGGATCTACTGCAGGGTGCGTTCTTTTAGATGACCATGCTCCCCGACACTCAACAGCGGAACAGCAAAATCTACGTGATACTGGAACATCGTGTTCCAGCTTTCAGCGAATGCCGTTTGGTACATTTCCTACTGTACTAAAACTACTGGCTCATTTTGAACTGTTCATGAGCACTTCTAGGCACCATCTTTAATTGAAAGGACATATCTACCTACCTAACACTCCAGAGTCATTCATTCATTCATTCTTTCATTCATTCAAGAAAAAGCACGTCATCAACAAGCCAGCTCAGGCAAACACAGATACGGTGCCTGACTTCCCGTCCCTTGTCGTGCAATTTGTCCTCCCGGGTGAAAGGTTGCGTCGCTAATTATACCAGGGTTCGTGCTCGGCTCAGGCGACGGTCGAGACACCGACGCCGCCAGCATCCCCTCCCCAGACTGTGGGGCGGGGACAGGGAGGGGGAGCGGGCGGGTCGACCAATCGGCGCTCACGCTGCCGTGCCGCCCCCAGCGCGGGAGGAGCCAGTAGCTCGGCGGCGGCGACGTGGGGACGACGGGGCTGGAATTGGCGACGGTGGCAGTTGTGGTGACGGCGTGGAGAAGGGGTGAGGTAGTGGCGGAAGTGGTGCGACTGAGACAGTGGTGCGATGGGCTGAGGTGGTATCGTGACGGTAATGTTAGTGACGATGCGGGTGATTAGGTTGGACTGTCAACATACATAACTGCACGGGGTACGAGAACATAAAGCCAGAAGAGAGCTTCAAAACAGGACGGAAGAGCCCCTGCTGCTGTAAGGTTAACGATGCAGGCAGGCTCAGGCTGATGAAACCGAGGACGTCATGGCACATCAACTACCGGAATGTGACACGACGAAGTCCTGAGCATTTCAACGACTACCTGACCTGGCCTGTGGGAAAGGACGATGGCTGGGGAAGAATGAGCCTGTTACCAGAGAAAAGTGAACGATTGGTGAGGACTTGAGCTTGGCGATGTGTGGTGAATGGTGATTTCTGCGGGCGTGTAAAGTGGAACGTAAAGGCTGATAAATGGCGTAGTGAAGGACGGGTGTGTAGTATGCAATGAAAATGTATATGAGAAAAATGGCTCTGATTGGCAATTGAAAGGGGGAGGATTGGGTATGGTTGAATTGATGCAATTGTTGAAAGTGAAATTAATTGTTGGACTGGACATAGTTGAGAGTTCTTGGTGTAAAATGTGAAGATTGGATTTGAATTTGTGTTATGCACTCCATTATTGTTACCAAACGCTACCTTATCTGTTGGATCTATCGCTCGTCTGCCTTCCTCCGAAAGTGAAGCCTCGCTTCTGACCCAGTCACTCGCCATTTCTTGTAGCATTTCGCCACAATTTTTAATTTTATTGGAGTCGGCCGTAGCTCCTGCACGCCCATTCCGCCGCGGCTTGGCTGCGCACCGTGCAATGTGTCCGGTGGAAGTCTATTTCTGTCCTGAGCGCCCACCCTACTGTCCGCTGGCACGCGTCCTGTGTCCGCCCTCCAAGACCCGTTTTTGTCCGTCGAGACGGCTTTTCACCGCCCGGTTCATTCACCCCCGTCTCGCTGGCCAGCTGCGTCGCCGCCGTCGCCGCGTGGTCGTCGCTCGTGCGTCGCGCGTCGATGAGAGTGGCGATTGCCGTGGGCCGTCGGCCACGCTGCATATCTCCTACGATCCGCGCCCCTGTTTACTGAACTGCGAGGGTGATGTTCCGCGCAAAGACGTGCGTGCCAGAGATAGCATGTGGCGGGCTGGCGGACTGTCCCAACCACAGAACCCGCGCAGTTACGTTGGAAGTCGTTATTCTGCGTGCGTGCGAGTATACAAATCCCGCTTCCCTCCTGCTTTGCGTAGCAGGAGGTGGGCTACCCACTATTTATAGATCTGTGTTTACATAGTGCGTATGTGCCAGTCGGCTCGATCAGCCGAAGGTGTTTGAGATGTGCTATTTGTTACGCTGAAGGGAAAGCTTATGCGTTTTCACGTAGTCATACATTTTGTAGAAACCAAGATGGCTAAAACGTTTTGGCTCCATTTGATCATGCTAGTCGTATGCTCTCCTGTCAAGCAGCTCTCGGGTTCTGCGTAACCGATGTTTTAGGTGTTCCGCGAATCTCTGCGCCCGGACTCCCGCTGAGTTTGCTAACACCCGGCCGAGCTGACGCTGGCCGCAGTCGCTCCCATTTATTTGTCTTTCCCGCGTTGGAAGCGGCGAGCTGCGGCCAGGGCCCCGAGGTCATCTGCTGACGCTGTTCGGGGCTGTCGCGGCGACCTGGGGCGACAGCAGCTGGCACCGCGACGGTGTTAAATTACCGTCCAGTCTTGGGCGACCCCTCCCCGCTCGTTCCGCGACGATCCCTCCCCGGCCACCCTCCCCTCCGACCCCTCCCTGTCCGTCCCTCTACGATCGTTCCCCTCCGCAGCGCTCCGCGGCCACCGCCTTCATAATCCATATCACGGTTTGTATTGCCGAATGCTAATGAACCTCTTGAGTAATGTCTTGGTGAATTTGCCGCGATGTGTGCGTTATCCTCTGATTTTCTTTTTTTGTGACAGATCTATTGAGAAATGAAGTGCATGGTTGCGATCTCAATCTCGTTAGAGCTTATTTTGTGAGGTGTTGGAAGGCTACTTTTAAATATATGATGATATTTATGGTCAACATACCCGTTTTCTGCACAGGAGTAGTAACGCTACGATTGCCGGCCAGTTGTCAAATCTATCGCCGTGGTTAGTGTTGCCGAATGTCGTTAGCGGTGTAAAATAAATCGAGTATCTAGTGAGCATGTGGTTATTTACTGCGGTACCTTGTTTCTATCCGCACCAAGGTTAATTAGTCCGTTAATTTAGTGGTTTAAATGTGCTTACGCAGCCAAATGAAGCTATCTCCAAAAATAAACGTCTCAAATATCCATTCGTCGGCATGATGTTAAAAAAATGATGTTAGGCAAAGTATGTCTGCGACAAAAAGAGTCACATTTCGTCAAAACAAGAACAGTACACATTTATTATCGCCAGGTGAGTCGTACTGAATACAAAAACCTCGTGTTAGGTCAGTTATCAAAAGCACCCGTTGGTATTAGAAAACGATCGACGTAAAAAATCGAATCGATAAGACACTCCGTTTCTGCATTAGTGGACGTGGAACATATGTACATGTATGGTGATAAAAGGACATCTTACAGGATAATCATTGAATACTGGATACTCATTAATGTCGAGTTAGCATGTGATTGTCTGTGTGCGGGCCGGTGGGAACCGGCAGGAACGGTTTGGGTGATTTGCATTATGTGCATCGCACGGGCAGCTTTCGGATGAAAGGATACCGTCACCAGTACCCTCCCTATAGCATCACCAGGCAGCACCAGTCACCACAACCGCCACCACTACCACCGCTACCGATTGGTATACCTTTGGGACAGATCCCGGGGCAGGGTCTAAACAACAAACGACTGGGACAGCTACCTGAGCGCTCCGACCCGGCGGATCCCGCCGCCGGTCGTCGCCGCTCATTTCTCACCGGAGTCATCCAACTCGGACTCCGACTCTGACTCTGACTCACTTTGGACCGTGAGCCGCGCGGAAGCCTCGCTGGTTCCGGCGCCGTTGGTGGCGCGGCACGTGATGGTGCCCGTGTCGTCCGAGTACGTCTCGCAGATCTCCAGCACGGCCGTGCCGCCCGTCAGTGTCATCTGGTGGCGACGAGGATGACGGCGATGAAAATATGAGGTTAAAGATAAGGTGTCGCATTGATTGATAACGCTACAGAATATTGTCAATTGGCACTGTTTTGAATCGATTTGCTTGCATTTGTTATTTTAGTTATTCGATAATGTCAATGATTTTTATCAGTTGCCCATGAATGTACGGTTGTGAAAAAGTTGTATCCATGAAAAATGGATGAAAGGTTCATACAAAGATAATTAACACTCCATCCTTATAGATTCATTTGACATAGGTATTTTACAAGAATTGGGACCGTTCCGTGCTTCTATCCTCAGGATACTGAAATCCTTCTCCTCCAAGCCGCAACCCCTCTCCGGGCTGGACAGGCAACTTTATCTCATGCGGGCTGCTCCCTTGGAGCGGCACCGCTGCTCCCGAGGGAGCGCACCCCGTAGCCGGGTGCAGTGAGTGCCTTGGGGCCGGGTGGCCTGTCCTCTGGACGGGCTCAGCCCCGGCGACTCACTAGGGTGCCTGCCCAGACCAATGTCTCCCCCTACATCCTATCATCCTCCCGGCTCTGAAATGGTCTCATTGGACCGAAAGGGCCTAACCCAACAAAACAAAACAAAAATTACAAGAAAAATGATCCGGTGCGTGGTCGTTTGCATTTGCACCAGCTCACCCTGAAAGGAACTTCATGTGTTTCCGGCACGCTTGCATAACGGGAAACGTCGCAGAGAGTGGCGTGGAAGGGGAGCGAATTTTCCGAATTGCGAAATTTAAATAATTAAAACATTGCAAAAAGCTACCACGAATGCCTCGCGTGACCAGCTCGGTTGCCAACTCTGCACCAGATGTGAGAATTCTCTCAGATCCCGCTGCAGGGTGTCCCATAAGTCTGCGGTCTCCCTGTGCCAACTGTCACCCGCGGCGTCCAAACAGCCGCCCCAATGGCCGCCATAAACACCCGTCCAGCCAGAGGTCTTTGCCGGCCCGTGTGAGGTGGGATTTAGATGCCAGAACCGGCCCGGTGCCAGGAACGTGCCTGGCATAGGGCTGTGTGTCTTCTGGCGCCAGCATTCCAGACAGAGCTGAATTGTACTCTAGCCTTGGCAGCGATGCGCAGGCAATAAATTTGGTGGGATATGGTCTTCTTACGAAATATTTTTACAACACGCAACCTTTAGAATGCATAAGTTTGGCAGTCTTTTGTGAGCGATAAATAGTGTAATGCTTCTATGCTCAGCCGTTTGATAAAATACATTTTGATACATAAATGTCAGGCTTCGAAAACATGATCTCGTCAATTGAGAAATTTGAAGTTTGTTCGACACTTATCAGTCTAATACAGCATAGGGGCATTCCACGTCAAATCAAACACCGAAATCCGTCATCCCCTTCGATTTTTCTGAAAATTTGTAGGCAGACTGGGCATGGTTCAAAACTGAGTTACGTGTCATATTTTCGAAATTTGATAACGTATCGCCGAGATATAGGTCATCAAATATAGCCAAAAATGCCACACATCATTTTTTTAAATGCTTATAACTCTGGTTCCTTTTCTGGTATCAAAATGATATTAACAGGGTCTTGTAGGCAATTGATAAGGCTTTGATTTTTAATTATAAATTAAATTGAAGTGACCTTGAAATGCATTTGACCTTGAGTTACAACAGAAAAATTTAAATAGCAAAAAACACGCCACCTTCGATTTGAGTAATTTTTACATATTATGTCCGTCACAATGTTCCTAACCATCTGTGAAAAAATTGGAGTGGGCCATTCATAACTTTCGCGGCAAACGCCGTTTTCATGCATCAACATCACGCAACCGCGCGTGACCTTGAAAGACAGAGTCAAGACATGATTGCTTGTGTACACTTTCTGAAATGAATGATTGCTGATTAGTGATATCCCAAACTCTGCGAGAATGGAAATGCATAGTCATCGTAGTCAAGCATTCACGTTCCATCGTAAAAGTGTCTCAGGCAAACGGTATTTTGCGGTGAATTTTGAGCCGTGTGGAAATGCATCATGAAATAAATTCAACGAAAACATTATCACGCAACGATATCTTCACGTCTTTTGATCTTCACTATACGAAAGAGCATACATTTTTGAGTATGTATGGGGAATTTCTAGTTAATCCGATAATAAATATGGCAGTTAGAGTCCTGCTAAGAGTAACATGTCGCCGGCTGAGGCGGGATCGGCCGACGCGGGAAACGCAGCAGTCACAATTTTGTGTTTACACGTTCATATTTCAATTGTTTACCAACCTATTTTCAGAATTCTTTCACCATAAGATTGCCTGTACATTTCTTAGTCTTCTCACAAAATTTGACGCGAATCGAACGTAATCAGCGGTAAGGAGCGCGATGTAAAGACGGAACCGTTCCGTTCCGTCCCGGCACAGTCTACAACTCAGGCGGCGCGTAGCGGTCGGCGCCGGCTGCCGAGTCGCCGCGTCGCCGCGGCCACAGGATGTTCACTTTACACCGCTATTACTAGAACAGTTGTGAACCGATTTTCTTATTGCTTGCACGATGAGATGTGCAATTCAATTCTGGACAGGTAGCCATAAGTAATTTCGCATCAATATTATGAGATACTGGCGAAAAACAGGAGGGGTGGGGCGAAATTCACTCTTCCCCCTCCACTGCACGTGCTAACATACGTTTGCATATGTGCCATTTTCTTCAAAACTTATGAATGGCCCACTCTAATTTTTTCACAGGTTGTTAAGAATATGGTAGGCAATAAAATATATGAAAATGAGCCAAATCGAAGGTGGCGTGTTTTTTGCTATTTCAATTTTTGTGCTTAAGAACAGAGTTAAGCAAATTTCAAGGTCATATATTTAAGTCGATGCAATTCTAAACAAATGCTTAAGAAATTACCTTAACAGTAAGGTTTATTTCATTCAAATCAAACAAGTACAACCAAAGTTATGGTCGTTCAAAAATATAAAGATGCAACATTTTGTAAAAATTTGATGCCCTATATTAGAAGACCTGTGGTCAGAATGTGCAAAAAACATCAATGTAATGTCCGGGGCGACACAGGAACTCGCTCACAAATTTATAATGAAATCGCTGATGGTAAGGTGCAAAACAGCCGATTTTTGTTCGATTTGACGTGGAATGCCCCATAGCATTTTTTCCGTCATAAAACACGATCCGAAATCATGTGTGTCAAGTTCTCGCCTCTGAACCTACCTTGAACTCCCCGCTCTGCGGGATGATCTGGCCCTCGCGCAGCCACGTCGCCGTAGGGGTGGGCTTGCCGGTGATTTTGGCCACAAACCGGGCGGGCTCACCCTCCATACAGATGACGTCCTTCATCGGGGACACAGTGGGGACGATCTCCTGCTTCGGAGCTGAAAATAGAAATAATCCACATATTAGACACCGATCCATGATCACGGTCCGTTAACACATTGTGCCGGCTTTACCATATAACTACAGACTACTCTAAATGCTTACGAATAAAACATACGTCATTTCCCACTTTCAGCTTCACTCACCTGTGACTTTCAGCGGCGCCTTCATGGTTGATTTGCCTGCCGAGTTGGTCGCCACACAGGTGTATATTCCCTCGTCCTCCTTGAAACACTCGGAGATCTTCAGCACGAACGTGTCGCCGTCCTGCTCGATTTGAAGTATTTGGACGGCTTTACCGGTTGTCCATCCTTCAGCCATTGCGGCGTCGGAGCTGGAGGCGAAGTGTGAAGGCATGTCAGAGGCTAATGATCGTTACAGCTGGTGGAATGCTTAACTTCAGTGAAAAAATCGCACGGTGAAATGTTGTATTGATCAGTGAAATTGATGGAATCATAGACCACTATATACCTATATAGTGGTCTATGATGGAATTGATTGATGGCTTGATGAAATAAGAGAAAAGGGCTGAGGAATTGCTACATTGAATCTAATCCATAAAGCCGTCTTTTACCAAGTGTCACCCTGCAGCTGAATTTTAATATTTCCTCCCACTATTTAACACCACGTCTAACTAACCTGGCTGCCCGGAGAAGCGACACCGCAGTGTGGCAGGGTGTCCCTCCTGCACCGTGACGCCCTTCATGGGCACGGTTATCTTTGGCGGAACCTCCTTCCCCTGGGCTTTGGGTTTCGGCTGCGTGGTGTCCTCTGGACCCTCAGCGACTCGCAGCTGAAAAGAGAAATTGGGCATCAGCAATTCAGCAAATCGATTCACATGTGTGAATCACCTCTAAATGGAGTTAGTTCGACTCTTTAGGTTCAGTCAAACGCCGACTAAAGGTGTTCTTTGACATCAGCGAGTGGTTTCATTCGAAGATAGAAAATGATGCTCGATTCCTGATGACAACAACATTGCTGTTCAAGGACTGATTAAACGCATCAAAGAACCATTTATCCGACTTCGTGCGAAGTGATGTCATTTCAACGAAACTGAGTAAAAGAAGAAAAACACACCCAGACAAGCAAAAGCGACACATGCCTGCGTCGTTGACCGAACCTCCTCTAAACGTGCGCACGGCCCACCCACCTCAGCCTGGCAGCGCGCCTCCCGGACGCGTTGATGGCCACACACTCGATCGGCCCGCAGTCGTCGGCAGTCGGCTCCAGCACAGTGAGCGTGTAGGTGTCCCGGTCGCTGGCCACCTTGTGGCGACCGTCAGGTTCCACGTGGTCTCCGCTCTGAACAGACGGGAGGGCAATGTGGTGTCAAAAGGAAGGGTGGAAATTGCGAGAAGCTGACAGAGATGCGATTCTAATCCTTACCGACATTTCAATCTCCTTTTGTTTACGTCTCATCGCTCATTTATATTATGTGTCTTTCTAGTTTCTTCTAAGGTTTTCAGATTACTCTCATAAATGTATTTGTTCATCTACCTTTCATAATCGTTTCAACCTTCCACTAATCTGCCAATTTTCTCTCTCACCTTCAGCCAGTAGACGTCGACCGGTTTCGTTCCGGCCAGCTTGGCCTCGAACGTGACAACCTTGGTGCCGGGCCAGAGCTGCACGTCGCGCGGGGTCTGGGTGAAGTTGGGCGGCACCTGGACACCGTGCGGCAGTGGACGTTCCTCCACCACCAGGTTTGCGGAGCAGCGCACCTGGCCGTGCTCGTTAGAGGCCACGCACGAGAACTGACCCGAGTCCTCGCTGTACACCTCCCGGATCTCGAGCGTCGAGTGCCGACCGGTGGTGGTGACCTGCGGGGACGACGAAGACAGCAAAGTGTGAGATGACATCGTAGCATATTCATTGTTCATTACTGCATAGATAATTGCTTGCATGTTCGCCTTTGCTCATTGTGACTAGTGCCAGATCACAGATGGCATATGAATGTGGCGATACACAATCCATATTTCGACCAACTTACCTTGAAGTCGTGGCTGGGCGTGATCGGGAAGTCCTCTCGGAACCACGTGATCTCGGGCGGTGGCACGCCCACAAAGTCCACGTCGAACCGGGCCCCGTTCGTCTCGAAAGCCCGGCTCGGCTGCATCTTACGGGTGAAGATCGGTGCACGGCCTGGCGCCTGGAAGACACACGAGACGTAAGTGGTTTGCGTGATGCCTAAAATACAGTTTCATTATTACTGGAATGTGTTCGATTTCAGTAATGACGATCGTTGTTGCAGTCCGACTCTTACCAGGCGCCTTTTATGTGATTAGCTCACCTCCTTTCCGGGTGCTGCGGGTTCAGTGGGCGCTGAGGCTGTGCCAGGTCGGGCTGCTCCCGGCTTCTGTCCTGCCTCAGCCCTGGACAAAACAAACATGAAAGCGTGATCAGTACAGTGGTATATGCGAGAAAACATACCATGCTATTTAAGGGTGGTATACTCTTCATTGTTTGAGATGAACACATCTCGTCTCATAGACCACTGTGGTTTAGACAGCATTCTAAGTTTTGCTGTGCACCTATTGTAAGCTGTTATTATTTGCAATGGTTATATCAATATGAGTTAATTGATTTGATGCTGATTGATATAAGATACATTAATCAAAATGAATTAAATTTCCACCGGTGATCGGGGAAGCCCATGTTGGTCGACTCACAGTTTCTGGACGTAGATAGCCGCCATGCCCTTGGCCACAGAGCCGAGCGGGGTTCTTTCTTGCGGCAGCTGCAGAGTGAAATTGCCGTCAATCCCCGTTCTAGACATGAACTCCATCACCCCAGCCACAATCACATTCAACGATAATTAACGTGTAAAGCTCTCGTAAAGCTTTTATCTTGTACTTTCACATTCAAAGTCGGAGCTATTTTTATGTTACTGAGATTGAACTGATATCGCAGCATCTACGCTTCATGATAGCCCTTCATAATATTCATTGCATTGCAACACACTGCTGAATGCATGGCTAGATATGTGCTGGCAGTTGGCACAAAACGCTCGTACCTGTTTGCCGACGTCTGAAGCGTCAGAGCCCCGCTTGGACCGCCTGGGCGCCTCGGGCTCCTCCACAACTTTGCTGTGTTCTCCCTGATAGAGAACAGATATGCCGGGCCGCACTTTCTCTTCGAAGACCCGCTCGGTCTCCACCTCTTGGCGCTCGCTCTGGTATTGTCGCAGGTCATAGTCATACCAGGCTAAAAGAGGAACTGCAAGTTATCGCGGGCAGCGGCAGGTGGCAGCACGGTGCTGATGTCACATGCGGGGCAACGCTCAAGGACAAGGCACAAATGCTGGGTGTGGTCACATATAAAGACGAGGACAGTGACATTAGTCGGGTAACATGGCTAAAATCACGAGGCACTGTCTAAAAGCATCAAGTCGCACGTAGAACACTACTCTGCAATCAACTGACACCAAAAATTCGCTAACGGTTATGGCAATCCGTTGTCTTCTCGGCCCCAATGTGGTCACACATTGATTGCATTTCACGCAGGTAAGCATAACCAGCTGCAAAGTTTTATGAGGATGACACCTCGGTTACGGGTTAGGACGCACATTCTATCAGGCGACAGAGGCTCGAAGAAAGCAAATAAAAACAAAGCAAAGCCTAGGAAAAAATCACTTCAAACCGCCAAATAGGTTTATGCGCAAACGGAAACTCATGCACCTGAAACGGCTCCTTACCTGTTCACTTCAAACGCTGCTGAGCAATAAGACGGCGGTGTTATTGGCTATAATAAGTCAGTGAGCGGCGGCGGCAGTTTTGCGGCCAGCGCTGTGACGGAAGTGTAGTGTGTGAGATGCCCAGCGGCGTTAGTCGTGCTGTTTATGTGCTGGTCTCTGCTTCCCCTTACTCCCGATATACAAACGGCCACCTGGGAGGCTCTGGTAACCCAGGTCGCCGTCGGATGGCGCGCGCGGCGTGCCGCCCGGCCCACTCACGTTTCGGCGAGTTCTTGAGGACGGCACGGTAGTCGTCCTGCCGAGCGTTGATGTTGATCTCGCAGGAGCAGTAGGCCTCGCCGGCAGAGTTGCGGGCGACGACCTCGATCTTGCCGTGGTCGTACTGACGAGTTTTGGGGATGTCCAGTCGCCACATACCGTCGTAGGTCAGCTTGTAGCGTGTTGCCCTGTGGACGGTTTATTACAAGTTACTACCTGGCTCGTATCGTGCTTCGATCGCTTTTGGTGTGATGGCGTAGCCGGCGGCTAGGCCGGCTACGCCCCTAGGCCGGCCGCCAATAGTTATATTCCATCTAAATGGATATTAAAACACAACCGAAAAGCCTACCTTCCGGAGCTCATTCGCCATCTCCTGATACTATTTTACGCTGTATACCACCGAGCATACCAGCTTTCGGCACTCACGTTGACGATGGTGTGTCCGTTGATGAGCCACATGACGCGGGGTCGCGGATGGCCGGTGACTCGGCAGCAGAAGCGCGCCCAGTCGCCCTCGTTCACCGTCACCGGCTCCGGCTTGGTGACAAACACGGGCGCCTCGCGTGGCGCGCTCCTCCTCCAGGGGCGCGTCGGGCGCCCGGTTCCAGTGGGACTCCATCTCCTGGATCTTCTTGACAGATTCCATGCCCTTCGGCAGCTGGGACTCGTACACGATACCCCGGCTTGCCCTGATGGAAGGAAGAGGGCCGTCACGTAGGGGTGGTAATGGTTACATTTAAATTTTCGTAACTACAGAACGGAGACCTCTGAATGATGGTCTAAGCGTCCAACCCGTTGAGCGGAAGACGGAGAATGCTGAACGGTTTGATTCGATAAGTTGTCGTTTTCTTAGTGCTATCGCCAAATAAGATGCAGCCTATCCTTCCATGATAGGACCAATTTCCTTCCGTGACATTCCCAACCCTTGCGCTACCCTGCCTTCGGTTCACTCTCCTCTACTGACCTTATCTTGTCTGATGATGGCCTTGGTCTCGTCCATGCCGTACAGGTTGGTGGCGCGGCACAGGTACTCCCCAGAGTCCTCCGGGTACACCCAGCCAAAGTTCATCGCCACGTAACCAAAGTCGTAGATCGGTGTGAAGCGGTTCTCTGCAACGTCACATACGTGGAATGTCAGCGGCTGATTGGGGTTTCATGGAGGTCGATGGTCATACATCTGATATGTAAGACCCCGTACTTCATTTGCCAGCAACGCAAATTGATGAATGAGTACTTGTTATGAAGATACCCCGAATGCCGTTTGCCCTCCTATTCAGACCATCGACAGAATACTCTATGAGATCAAGGTCGTGCTTCTTGCGGTTTTACCCATCTGGTTTTAACGCATCAACTCACTGTATGGCAGTGGTCTGCCGTTGAAGAACCACTCGACCTTCATGTTGGGGTCTCCAACGGGCGCCAGCTGGCACTCAAACTTGGTCTGTTCCATCTCCACCAAGTTCGGCTGGCTCTGGATCTGGGTGACGAACCTGTGTACGAGGCGAACACATGGTCAGACAGCTTTCAAACTTAGTAGGAACAGGCTCATCTTTATACCTGTCTTCTTCAGTAGCTCTTTTTAATGGACCGACATTGGATATAAGCGTAATCGAGTTTGTAACGTCGATATTTTAACAGGTGCCCCGATCTAGTTTAGTGCCATTCCCCGTTCAGTTGAAGGATGATCACTGTACCTCGGCGGCTGTTTGCGGTCGGC